ACAAAAAAATTATACTATTAAATATTGTGTGTGTGTTTATTTTATTATTATTATATTTCAAATTTTCTAAACATTTAAAATTTTAAGAAATTAATATATTTTAAAAAAATCTAACACAATCAAGTGGATGTTTGATATAGAAAAAAAAATTACATATAAAACAAATTCAGTAAAAAATAAAAAAATTAAGTTTTTATTTGGTATAGATAATTTAGTTTAAGAAATATAAAAGTAAATAGAGGAATCTAGATGGATCGATAAAGAAGAAATAATTAATCCGGTAAAGTATAATTTTAACAAATGAAAATTCATTTATAATTAATTAAAATTAATATTGTTACAAATACACTTGTCATTGACCTAATTAACGTTATTATTACTTTGTAATAAAAAATAATGATCTAGTGTGATTCTCATTTTTTAAAATAATAAACAATTAAAAACTGATTTTTGTGTATATATGTGGATAAAATTTTAAATATGCATATGTCCCCACATAAAATAATACAACTAATATACCATATTGTTCTTTCTAATTACTCACGATAGATATAAAAATATACTTTCTATATATAATTACTTCCATTTAAATTATTGCACATGTATATATATATATATTCAATTATAAACATATATAATTAGAAATAGAAAATAAATTGTTTTATTCATTTACTTTAATAATTAAGTACATCCTTAATTTTAGTTTTTACTATTAGCAGCCGTTTCTTCACCATGCCGTCGCCGATCCCGTGCCGGTGAACTGATCCGGATCCGGATTCAAATGGATTCATCGGCCGCCTGCTTTAAGATAGCTTCCCGACCGCCGCCGGCGGGGGTAAACTTGGACCGGAGGGCGGAACCGGGCCTTTCGGCAGTTTACCGAACAATATTTCCGGCTGATCGAAGGCGGATTCATGGAACCGGTTAGGCGACGAAGGCGGTGGGTCCCGACTCGGACCGGAAGGGGGAACAGGTCCCCTGGGGAGTTTTCCGAATACGACTTTGGAGCTTGAGACGACGTCGTCTGCTTGCCCTAAAACCGCCGCTGATAGCGCAAGGACAAGGCCGATCACGAGGATTTTTGTTGTTTTCATTTTTACGAAGTATATTTTTTAGGATTTTTATTTTTTGTTGTGATTTCTTTAGACTTTATTTATAAGAAAAAAGTTAAATGCCACGTTTTCATTTTTTAAAATATTTATTATATTTACCTAATTCTTAAATAATACTTAACTGCTGTAATTAAGAAAGTTATTTATAATATTTAAATTTTATAAGGTTAAAAATAGATTCATTAATTATATTAATTCTTTAATTATCATCTTTTATGAATATATCATAATAATTAAAGTATTTTTTTTAATAAACTATACAGTAAAATTCATATGGGTGTGTTTGTTTGAGGGTTTGGATTTTGAGTTGGGATTTTAACAGTAAAAATTTTGAATTTGAATAGTTGTATGATGTGATATAAATAGATATTGATGTGATATTTTGAATGTAAAATTGATTTTTAGTATAATATAAAAAATGAAAAATGGGTGTTTGATTTGATATTTTTGAGGAAAAAAATGGATGAATACTGTAAATCCAATCCAATCCCCCAAACAAACACACCCATAATATATTTTGAATTAAGATAATATAATACATATAATATTTATAATTCTAATTAAACTTTTTCATATTTATTTAATATTCTTATAATATAGATATATATATACAGAATTAAGTTATGACCATACGGACTTATATTAGTATACAAAATTTATATTAATAATATTATGTCATTTTAAGATATAAAATTATATATATAAAAAGTTATTGTATAAATATAATACTATTTAAAGAATATGATAGAAATTTGTTTGATTGTAAATTATTTTCTCTTTCTTTTTTTTTAAAAAAAAATTAGATTTGTGTAAGTATTTTTATTGGTCATTACAACAAAACAAACCCTTTCTTTATAATTATTTAAACAAACAAAGATTGATTATATATATACAAATTTAACCTTAATTTAAAACACTGCAAAAAAAAAAAAAAAAAAAAAAACCGTGAAATCCAATAAAAAAATATATAATAAATAATACTCCCTCTGTCCCAAACAAGGTCCAACATTTATTTTTAGCACCGGTTTTTAGGTGGACAATATTAAGTAGGATAATTTAGAGATTAGGTGATGTGACAGAGAGAGAAATATATATTTTATTTTTTTTATTTGGATGATGTGAGGGGATAAAGTGTGGATAGAGATTAAGCATAATTAATTATTTTTTATTTTGAAAATGTTACAAGGAGGGAGTAATAAACTATACAATTAATAAATAAGCATAATTTTTAAAAGTGTAAAAGCAAATTTGACCAAGTATATTTTCATCGTGTGTAGTTGAAACAATGATACATCTTAAATAATGTAGGGTTTGTTTACACTATCAGCACCCAATCATCTTCCTTGTTTAGATAAAATTTTAAAGATATTTGAAATTTTGTAAATGAATAGTTGTTCTAATGTTTTTAAATTTGAAATATGCTTTAAATACCTGGTTTGACGCAACAAAAAATTATTTTAAACAAGTTCCCGGATATAGTGCGAGCTGAACTCTTAACGTCAACCTTATACTTTTACTATTCATTACAATAAACAATTTCTTTATATACCAATTTAATATTTCTTTATTATGAAAACATGCATGACCAAAACCAAAGACACGATCTTTGAAATACAAAAATGGAAAGCAAATTTGACCGCTTAATAACCTTAATTCCTCAAATATATATATATATAATATTAATTATTATAAACATAAGTCAAGATAAGTCTTTCGAAAAATTAGCTTCAGAATTTAAAAGAAATCCGAAGCTATCTTCTAAAAGTTCCGAAATGTGTCTCGGATAGCAGTCCGAAGAGTAAAACTCGTTGCCATTTAAGTGGCCTCCGAAAAATAGTTCGAAATTTTCGAGACCTGATCCAAAGTTATATCCAATAAAGGGGGAGTGCAATATATATCCATTAGTGGCTATGGCGGACCGAGCTGCTTATAGAGCTCCTTGTAAGCGAGATAAAGGACACATTCCTTTGGCCCAGTTCGATGATTTCCCGTATGCTTGCAGAAGTACTTCAAGTGGACGAGTTTGCAGCAGCCGAGCATCTGTCCGAGGAGAAGGAACAGCCAATTGATGGCTTTTTTCTTGTCCACCGGAGCAGACGCCATACAGTTTTTCTGGTTGCACGTCACACAGTGGGGCAGGATCGGATTCTTCCACTAAAAACTTCTTTTTTTTTTATTTTTTATGTAAATTACATAAATTGTAACAGTGTCGATTTTTTTTTAAATTTATTTATTCCAAGTACAAATCAAAAATACAATTGAAAAGTAATATTTACTTTTGCTACAAAATTTAATAATAGTATTTTAATTATAGCGAAAAATTAAAATTAAAATTTTTTTTACATAAAAATAATGATATAACAATAAAATAGAAATATTTATATAAAAAGTAAATCTATAATAACTAAAAAAGAATTAGGTATTTGTAATTGCATGACTTATATATTTATGAATGGAAGCAGTAATAATATTTAAATCAAAATTTAACTAAAAAAAACTCAATTTATTTTTTTTTTTTTTCAAAAAAACACATTATTACACTGAGAACTTTCTATAACTATTGTTGAGATTCGCTATTGATTTTCAACGGTCGTCCATATATTCAAGTTTGTAGAATTTTGTTAAAATTTTACTATTCATCTCATTTTTTTCCCCCAAAAATATCAAATTAAATACCTATTTTTTATTTTTTATATTATACTAAAAATTAATTTTACATTCAAAACATCACATCAATACCTATTTATATCACATCATACAACTATTCAAATTCAAAATTTTTACTGTTCAAATCTCAACTCAAAATCCAAACCCCCAAACAAACACACCCTTATAAGGATGTATTAAAATGGTTGTGTTATATATATATATATAATTATAGACCTTTAGCTATTATTATTTTAATTTTTCTTAAAAAAAAAACACATTATTACACTGAAAACTATCTTTCTAGAACTATTGTTAAGATTTGCTATTGATTTTGAACTCCGTAGTTCATATATTCAAGTTTTTAAAATATTTTATAAGGATGTATCAAAATGATTTTGTTTTATATAGATAATTACAGACTTTTTTGCTATTATTATTTTTTTAAAACCCTTGATTTATCGGAATTTCATTTTATAAAAGTTAAACATATCTATATTTTATAAATATATATATTTATATTTCAAAACACTAAATAAACAAACTCAAAGATATTTAAATAAACAAATATTACGCTTTAGATTGAAGTAAGTTTTTTATATAAAATATAAATCGGTAATATATAAATAATATTCTTAATAAATATTTATATGTTTTAATATTTTTAAAAAATGATATATAATAATAAAAAATAAAATTTTATATAGTATAAATAAATAGTACTATTTTTCATTTATAATTAATATAAAATTAATTTTATAAAAAATAAAATATTTTAATATAAATAAAATATTAAGGAAAAATATAAAAATTTAAATGAGTCCAATATAATATAATATTTAAAAAAATTAAAAGTACCAATTTTAGACTTACACCAATGCCCTTAATTTTTCTATATTTTTTTATTATTATTATTATTATTATTATTATTATTATTTTTATTTTTTTCGCACAGTAATATTGTATTCAATTAATCACATTATATCGTATTAACCCTAAAACTATTCACTTATATTAACCTTGTAACGATAATATTTATTTAAATTTGATTTTGAAATAATATTGAGCGTTGTAGATTGATTACGGTGCATTTTAGAATATATTTTAATATTTCCGGGCTAATAACATAACTACCTTTTAACCTTGTAACGGTAATATTTGTTCAGAATTGATTTTGAAATAATATTGAGTTTTTAATTATGGTATGTTTTAGAACATAGCATATTTGCGTGTTCAAGAAGCATGCCTCAGAATAAAGTATCTGCGGCACTTCTGTCAATACATCATCATCGAAGCAAGAGGGAGCAGCACGCGCTGTTAGGTTCGCTGGGGGTGGCGTTCCTATCCCGGCGGGGCTTGTTTAACCGGTTGGGGGCGTACGATCCTAAGCCATGATGCCCCAAAATTTATATTGATTCCTAGTTTTCATTCCCATGTTCTTCTTCTTCGAAACCCTAATTTCTATTCTCTGATTCTTTGTTCTATTCCCATGTTCTTCCTCGAAGCGCTCTCGTTTACCTGAGGATCGACCAAATTGTATGTTCTACCCTCTCTCCCTTTTAATCTCCTTTTGCATTTATCTTCCGAGGCTGCAAGTAACTTTAATACAGATATGTGGAATCGGATGAGCGGCTTTCTTGGTTTCTTGGAGGGTTAGGGTTTGATGGGATTAAGTGGATTTGGATATTTCAATTTCAAGTTATGGAATTTCAAAGTAAGGGTTGCTCGTGAATATTTTAGACGTTTCTATTTCAAAAATTTCTTGTGCCTTGATCCGATTGTTACAATTAATTTTCATCGGTTAATCTTTTCCTTCTCTTCAGTTTTCTGTTTTTTTTTTTTTTTTCAGAAACATACAGGAAAGAGCGGTTCGACTCTGGCTGTTGTATCAATTGTTGCATTTTATTTCAATTTCAAAAAGGTTTCCACGTTTCCTATGTCGCTCTAAATGTAGTGTTTTCAATTCATCTTCCCCTTTTTTTTTTTATTACAAATGCTTTCTCAATTTTCTTCTCTCTTTTGCTCTTTGAACTCAAACGTCAATTCCTGTTATCAAATCGTGTTTTCCAGTGGATGGTTCCTGCAGTGTGCAACAAAAGAATAAAGATGGCTCATGATGATAGCCAACAGGTATGATATCCTCAGATCAGTAATTGATTTTGAACGCAAACTACTTTGGTAGGAAGTGGAAGTGGCATCCGATGTCTGAGTTTTTGGAATATCAATGTCGCATAACTGTGTGCAGAAATGAGTTGAGTTTGCTGAATTGGCGGCGGAAGGGGATAGGGCTTTAACGGCAGAGATCGCAGAGATCTCAGTGCTGTATGAAAGTAAGTGATTTTATATTCCTTTTTTATTAGAACTATATATTACCTTATGTTATTCTTTATTAGTGTTTTGATTCGTTAATTTCTTCTTTCGTTTTGTTACTTGTTAAAGTGATATGAACAACTCAAAGTTAACAACTGATCACTTTTAAAATATAAATTAGTAACTTTTTATTGAATTTTCAAATTAAAATATGTTGTTTTTTAATTCCTTTGTTATTTTTTCTCTCACATATGAACTTTTTTCTGTTATAGACAATTGCGGATAATGGTTTTCTTTTAAAGCTTACGGGATGGTAAATTGTGTAATTTCACAAATCACTCTTTAAAATGAAAAGAAAAATCTAAACCATCTAGTGATTCTAGGCTACGCACTTGTATTTTTTAGAGGTTATTCTTTCAAACTAGAGGGTGGTGAATTTGGGTGATTCCACAAACCATCTCTTAAAATACAAGGGAAAACCTAAACCTTAAATGTGTTTTTCAAAATAAGTAAATAAATGATTGATTATTGTTTTTTTCCCACAATTACTCTTGCCCGTCAAAGCTAAACAATTGAGGTTTTGATTACTCCCTTACAAGTGTTTTTTCAAAAAAAAAAAAAAAAAATTCTTTTTTTTTTCATACATTACTCGATTTCCATAGCTGAATCGTTATGTTCTAAGTTCCTTCTTCATAGCCAATATAACAATATTATCTTATTTTTGCTGCTTGTATGTTAATATTCAATCTTATTTGAGTGATTCTACACACCATTTCTTAAAGTGAAATGTAAAATCCAAACCTTAAATGTGTTCTTTCATTAAAAAATAAAATTTGATCATTGTTTTCTTTCCCCTAATTACTCTTGCCTGGCTGCCTGTCAAAGCTAAATAATTGAACTTTTTAGAGGTTATCCTTTCAAACTAGAGGAGTGGTGAACTTGGGTGATTCCACACACCATCTCTTTATAATTACTCTTGCCCTTCATGTCAAAGCTAAATAATTGAGATTTTTAGAGGTTATCCTTTCAAACTAGAGGGGTGGTGAATTTGGGTGATTCCACACACCATCTCTTAAAATACGAGGGAAAACCTAAACCTTAAATGTGTTTTTCAAAATAAATAAATAAATGATTGATTATTGTTTTTTTCCCACAATTACTCTTGCCCGTCAAAGCTAAACAATTGAGGTTTTGGTTACTCCATTACATGTGTTTTTTCAAAAAAAAAAAAATATATATTCTTTTTTTTTTTCATGCATTACTCGATTTCCATAGCTGAACCGTTAGGTTCTAAGTTCCTTCTTCATAGCCTATATAACAATACTATCTTATTTTTGCTGCTTGTATGTTAATATTCAATCTTATTTGAGTGATTCCACACACCATTTCTTAAAGTGAAATGTAAAATCCAAACATTAAATATGTTCTTTCATAAAAAAATAAAATTTGATCATTGTTTTCTTTCCCCTAATTACTCTTGCCTGCCTGCCTGTCAAAGCTAAATAATTGAAATTTTTAGAGGTTATCATTTCAAACTAGAGGAGTGGTGAATTTGGGTGATTCTACACACCATCTCTTTATAATTACTCTTGCCCTTCATGTCAAAGCTAAATAATTGAGATTTTTAGAGGTTATCCTTTCAAACTAGAGGGGTGGTGAATTTGGGTGATTCCACACACCATCTCTTAAAATACGAGGGAAAACCTAAACCTTAAATGTGTTTTTCAAAATAAGTAAATAAATGATTGATTATTGTTTTTTTCCCACAATTACTCTTGCCCGTCAAAGCTAAACAATTGAGGTTTTGGTTACTCCATTACATCTATTTTTTCAAAAAAAAAAAAAAAACAAATGTTCTTTTTTTTTTTTTTCATGCATTACTCGATTTCCATAGTTGAACCGTTAGGTTCTAAGTTCCTTCTTCATAGCCTATATAACAATATTATCTTAGTTTTGCTGCTTGTATGTTAATATTCAATCTTATTTGAGTGATTCCACACACCATTTCTTAAAGTGAAATGTAAAATCCAAACCTTAAATGTGTTCTTTCATTAAAAAAAAAAAAAATTTGATTATTGTTTTCTTTCCCCTAATTACTCTTGCCTGGCTGCCTGTCAAAGCTAAATAATTGAAATTTTTAGAGGTTATCATTTCAAACTAGAGGAGTGGTGAATTTGGGTGATTCCACACACCATCTCTTTATAATTACTCTTGCCCTTCATGTCAAAGCTAAATAATTGAGATTTTTAGAGGTTATACTTTCAAATTAGAGGGGTGGTGAATTTGGGTGATTCCACACACTATCTCTTAAACTACGAGAGAAAACCTAAACCTTAAATGTGTTCTTCAAAATAAGTAAATAAATGATTGATTATTGTTTTTTTCCCACAATTACTCTTGCCCGTCAAAGCTAAACAATTGAGGTTTTGGTTACTCCATTACATGTGTTTTTTCAAAAAAAAAATATTTTCTTTTTTTTTTTCATGCATTACTCGATTTCCATAGCTGAACTGTTAGGTTCTAAGTTCCTTCTTCATAGCCTATATAACAATACTATCTTATTTTTGCTGCTTGTATGTTAATATTCAATCTTATTTGAGTGATTCCACATGCCATTTCTTAAAGTGAAATGTAAAATCCAAACCTTAAATATGTTCTTTCATAAAAAAATAAAATTTGATCATTGTTTTCTTTCCCCTAATTACTCTTGCCTGCCTGCCTGTCAAAGCTAAATAATTGAAATTTTTAGAGGTTATCATTTCAAACTAGAGGAGTAGTGAATTTGGGTGATTCCACACACCATCTCTTAAAATACGAGGGAAAACCTAAACCTTAAATGTGTTTTTCAAAATAAGTAAATAAATGATTGATTATTGTTTTTTTCCCACAATTACTCTTGCCCGTCAAAGCTAAACAATTGAGGTTTTGGTTACTCCATTACATGTGTTTTTTCAAAAAAAAAAATCAAATGTTCTTTTTTTTTTTTCATGCATTACTCGATTTCCATAGTTGAACCGTTAGGTTCTAAGTTCCTTCTTCATAGCCTATATAACAATATTATCTTATTTTTGCTGCTTGTATGTTAATATTCAATCTTATTTGAGTGATTCCACACACCATTTTTTAAAGTGAAATGTAAAATCCAAACCTTAAATGTGTTCTTTCATAAAAAAAATAAAATTTGATTATTGTTTTCTTTCCCCTAATTACTTTTGCCTGCCTGCCTGTCAAAGCTAAATAATTGAAATTTTTAGAGGTTATCATTTCAAACTAGAGGAGTGGTGAATTTGGGTGATTCCACACACCATCTCTTTATAATTACTCTTGCCCTTCATGTTAAAGCTAAATAATTGAGATTTTTAGAGGTTATCCTTTCAAACTAGAGGGGCGGTGAATTTGGGTGATTCCACACACTATCTCTTAAACTACGAAGGAAAACCTAAACCTTAAATGTGTTTTTCAAAATAAATAAATAAATGATTGATTATTGTTTTTTTCCCACGATTACTCTTGCCCGTCAAAGCTAAACAATTGAGGTTTTGATTACTCCCTTACATGTGTTCTTTCAAAAAAGAAAAAAATGTTCTTTTTTTTTCATGCATTACTTGATTTCCATAGCTGAACCGTTAGGTTCTAAGTTCCTTCTTCATAGCCAATATAACAATATTATCTTATTTTTGCTGCTTGTATGTTAATATTCAATCTTATTTGAGTGATTCTACACACCATTTCTTAAAGTGAAATGTAAAATCCAAACCTTAAATGTGTTCTTTCATAAAAAAAATAAAAAAATAAAATTTGATCATTTTTTTCTTTTGCCTTCCTGTCTGTCAAAGCTAAATAATTGAAATTTTTAGAGGTTATTCTTTCAAACTAGAGAAGTGGTGAATTTGGGTAATTCCACACACCATCTCTTTATAATTACTCTTGCCCTTCATGTCAAAGCTAAATAATTAAGATTTTTAGAGGTTATCCTTTCAAACTAGAGGGGTGGTGAATTTGGGTGATTCCACACCCCATCTCTTAAAATACGAGGGAAAACCTAAACCTTAAATGTGTTTTTCAAAATAAGTAAATAAATGATTGATTATTATTTTTTTCTCACAATTACTCTTGCCCATCAAAGCTAAACAATTAAGGTTTTGATTACTCCCTTACATGTGTTTTTTTCAAAAAAAAAAAATGTTCTTTTTTTTTTCCATGCATTACTCGATTTGCATAGCTGAACCGTTAGGTTCTAAGTTCCTTCTTCATAGCCAATATAACAATATTATCTTATTTTTGCTGCTTGTATGTTATTATTCAATCTTATTTGAGTGATTCCACACACCATTTCTTAAAGTGAAATGTAAAATTCAAACCTTAAATGTGTTCTTTCATAAAAAAAAAATAAAATTTGATCATTGTTTTCTTTCCCCTAATTACTCTTGCCTGCCTGCTGGTCAAAGCTAAATAATTGAAATTTTTAGTGGTTATCCTTTCAAACTAGAGGAGTGGTGAATTTGGGTGATTCTACACACCATCTCTTTATAATTACTCTTGCCCTTCATGTCAAAGCTAAATAATTGAGATTTTTAGAGGTTATCCTTTCAAACTAGAGGGGTGGTGAATTTGGGTGATTCCACACATCATCTCTTAGAATTCGAGGGAAAACGTAAACCTTAAATGTGTTTTTCAAAATAAGTAAATAAATGATTGATTATTGTTTTTTTTCGACAATTACTCTTGCTCGTCAAAGCTAAACAATTGAGGTTTTGGGTACTCTTTTACAACTGACGGGATGGTGAATTAAGTGATTCCACAAACTATTTTGTAAGTGGAAGGGTAAATCTAAACCTTACATGTATTTTTTCAATTTTTTTTTTTTTTTTAATTTTCTTTTCTAACCCGCTTTCCTCAATTTCCGTAGCTGAATGGAAGGGTAAATCTAAACCTTACATGTATTTTTTTAATTTTTAATTTTTTAATTTTCTTTTCTAATCTGCTTTCCTCAATTTCCGTAGCTGAATCGTTTAGGTTCTAAGTTCCTCTTCGTAGGCAATATAACAATATTATCTTATTTTTGCTGCTTGTATGTTAATATTCAATCAGCATTTGTACGCATTTAGTGTATGTAGTGTAGACTTGTTGTTTCATTTTGGTATTTTTTTCTGAATGCTTAAGAATGAATGAAATCCTATATAAAGAATATCTATATATTGCACAAAGGTATTTTCTATACTAAAGAGTTATTCAATTTGCATCTATGTGTATTCTATTTTGGTTTTTAACACATTTTTAAGTCAAGATTCTTCACTTAAGTACCACAATCAATTTTCCAAGCAATCAAATCGAACTTCCAACATAACTCTAGTTTTGGATATTTTCACTTTAGTACCACAATCAATTTTTCAAGCAATCAAATCGAACTTTCAACATAACTCTAGTTTTGGATATTTTCACTTTAACACCCTAATGTGATGAGGTTAAATAAAAAAAATGATATATATTTTCTAACCAAACATGCGTTTGTATTTAATTATTCCTCTAGTTTGTGGGTCATGATATTAACCTGTCATTGAAAGGGGTTCTTCACTATGAATGGCTACAGAGGTATTAAACATTGTTATATCTAATTGTTTATATTTCTAAATTACTTAACAAATATCTAATCATCAGTTTCTACATTTTTCTTAAGATAATTTTTACATAATTTGTTGTTTTCCAAGTTACTTACAAATATGATCACCAGTCACTTTTTCCTTCAGAATTGTTGGTTGTGATGCAGAATGATAGTTGATAGTTGGCGTATGGTGTCAACGTATGGAGTGTAGGTTGGCGTATGGTGTCAACATATGGAGTGTAGGTTGTACAGTCACTGATTATTCACACTTTGACTAGGAAAAGGGAAATGCTTTTCCAGATTTAGAGCTGCTGACGCTGGCATAAGATGGATGTCATGCTCTGTTCATCAACTGCAATGACTCACCAGGAAAACTACAACAACTAGTGGGTGATTTTTTTTTAAACTGTTTTGTTTCAAATATCCCAATCTGCTTCTTTATGGATATATTTTGTCCTTTACAATCAAGCAGATTTCTTCTTTCAAATTGCGGGCGTAGCCTCATATGGTTGGAAGTTTTTAAGGTTATTTGGTTTAGATGATTGGATGTGGGCTTGGTTTTAGGCATCCTGCAGAGTTCTTGGTGTGGAAGCAACACCACCAGCTGGTTACATTTGCATTTCCTCACCAACCAATTATTGCTTTATTTAACTAAGTCGTATTTTCCATAATTTTGTGCAGGAATTGGAACCTAAGGCTGCTCTGCATCCAAACACTTCCCAGTCTGAAGAAATAGCATCTAGTAAATGCTGGTATGTTATTTTATCCCTTTCTTTTCTTTATCATTTCTTTCTTGCTAAGTTGCACCACACAAAGGGTTATTTTCAGTTTATTTTACAATAATAACTGACCGATATTTTCAATTTAAAATTGGAGATTTAGACCTAAGTGACAATCTTGCTGTGTAGACTTGAAGGATTCAAAATTTTACTAGACTTTTCTCATTCTAATTGTGACTTTTTTCATTCACTTACAAATCAGAACAAACATGGGGTCACACAACAAGCATCATTTCTGTATTTTGTTTATATTAAACTTAGAAGTATCAGAACCAAATTCCTTGATCTGTAAGCTTTGCTATAGTGTTTTTGTTGATCTTGATTTAATTGTTGTTCTACATCTTGTTCCTAAATGACTAACTTATTTGATTTTACTCTTTTTGTATTCCAATGCCTTAAAAGCTATTGCCTTGCGTTTGATTTCTAAGACCCTGGAGATGATTAATTACTGTGGTTTTGAGGTTTCAAGCAAATAAATAGGAAAAAAAAAATCAAAGTTAGAGAGCAGAGATTTGTATGAATTGTCGATTATTCCAATTATTTGACTGATATCTTGGCTTAACACTCACACACACACACTTCTTTTCGGGTATTGTTAGCTCCAAATCCAATGCAGAGACATAATTTATATTTAATTTCCTGTAATCCAAAATACTTTACAATTATATGATTGTCTATTTCTACACTTTTCTGTTGGTATTGTTGCTACAATGCAGAAAGATGGTCAATAGTTTGCATAGGGAGTGTAGGATCTACAATAATTGAGCAACTAATAAGGAAACTTGCTTGGAGCTTGTCCAGGTATGTGTTATGTTTTGATGCCTTTCTCTAATGTTCTGTGAACATGTCAGTGGACTCTGGCAGAAAATGGATGTGATGTCACATTCATCAGCTACAATGACTCAAAGAGGAAAACAACCACAACCCAATTGGTGATTTTTTTTTTTTTTTTTTATATCATTTTGTCTTTATTTGATAGTTTATTCTACTACTAACGGATTTGTTTAGGTTATTTGGTTTAGTCGATGATTGGATACAGGGTTAGGTTTGGGCATCTTGTGGTGTTAATGGTGTGGAAGCAACACCAACGATTAAATCAATCAATATGGCTGGTTACTCCTGCATTCCATCACCAACCAATTATTTGTTTCATTTTACTGATGTCTTTATTATTTCACATTATTTTGTGCAGGAACTGAAACTATGTCTGCTCTTATCATCCAACACTACCTAATGTGAAGAAATGGTATGAAATAAATATTGTAGTACGATCTGCATTCATTGAACAACTGACAAGGAACTTGTACAGTTATGTGATATGTTTTGATGCTTTACCATATCCTCCCATAAATTGCTTGATTATTTACTCTTTGACTTGGCAGGTGAAAATGTCTCTCAGAATTTAGAGCCACTGGACTTTGGCATAAAATTTTTATGTGATGTCATATTCATCAGCTACCATGACTCACAAAGGAAAACTACCGCAACCCAGCAGGTGAGTTTTTTTCATCATTTTGTCTTTATGGATTAACTTGTTTATATTTAGCAAAACAAACTGAAGTCCATTAAGAAGCTACCTCCCTAAATTGATTCTGTATTCTCCTTCTACTGGATTTGTTTAAGTTATTTTGTGCAAGAAGCAAACTACAGCTGCTCTTTACAACCAACACTAGCACCAAATAATTGTTGGTACGTGTTTTATCGCTTCTTTTTATGACAATTTCTTCCTTGTTAAGATGCAGCACGGATAGAGTTATATTTAGTTTCATTTTTATAATAATTTCAATGCCTATATATTATGCTCGGCCAACAAAGGGATTGGACTCTTTACAGGTCTGGCAACGTAGCGTTGGGCTAAATTGTCTTGGTAGTGTGTGGTTGTGCTTAACATACTAGACTTGTGGTCTCTTTTGTGCTTCTTGTGGTGATGTTAGTTGTGTTTTTATATAGTATGTTCAGTTTGTTGCGACATATATTAGATTCAAATATTTTGTTTAACTGAATTTGTTTGTGACAATGTTGTTTTGTTTGTGTTGATTTTGATAATTTGTTTTGGTCTGAGTTTTTGCATGTTATGTTATTTAATCTATATTTAAACATACTAAGTTTGTGGTGTTTTTTTTTTTTTTTTTTTTTTTTACTGCTTTTGTTGTGTTGGTTGTTTTGTTGTATAATTTGTGCTAGTTTTTTTTTTTTTTTTTTTTTTTATGTTGGTTGTATTGTTTTGTTGTATAATTTTTTGTTTGTATGTTGTGTTTATTTGTGTTGTTTGTATTGTTTTTCCGTATTGTTTGTGCTTCTAGTGTCTTTTGTATTGTTTGTCTTGTTATGTTGCGTTGTTTGTACTTATGTATTGTTTTTTATGTATGGTATGGTGCGTTTATGGCCTCTTTTTGTGTTTCTTGTGATACTGTGTTTTTTGTGTTTGTGTCTTGTGTTTGAATATGGTATGGTTAGTTCATTGTGACAATGTTGTGTTGTTTGTATTGGTAATTTGTTTTGGTTTGAGTACTCTTTCTTAATGTTATATTTAATCTATATTCAAACATACTAAGCTTGTGGTGTCTCTTTTTGCTGCTTATTTTTATGTTTGTATTGTTTTGTCGTATTATTTGTGATTGTATATTGTGCTTATATATGTTTGGTTTGGCTTTTTATGTAATATTTATGCCTGTGTGATGCTTGTGTATTGTATTTATATGTGGCATAATGCACTTGTTGAATTTTTTATGCTTCTTGTGCTATGTTGCTTGTGATTGTATGTTATATTTATATATGCTATGGGCAATTCATTGTGATAGATACTAAATTCAAATAATATTTAACTAAATTTGTTTGTGGGATAATGTAATATTGTTTGTGTTGATCGATTTGTCTGTTTGAGTTTTTACTTGTTGTAAGTTAATATTAATCTATGTTCAAACATACTAAGCTTTTTGTGTCCTCTTGTGCCGCGTTGGTATTATTTTGCAATATTGTTTGTGCTGTGTTTATATATTGTATGATTTGTTTGTGTTTTTTTGTGTTGAGTTGTTTGTATTGTTTTTGCTTGTTTGTTGGTTTTTTTGTCTGGATGTTTATTGTTCCTTTTTTGTGTGACAATGTTAAACCCATTTGTGTTTGACCCAAATGTGTGTAGTTTTTTTGTTTAGTAACGTCGGACAGTTGGTTAGGTTTGGGAATGATCTGTTATACATAGGATACAGATGTTCTATACTCTTCTTGGTTGCATAGTGTGTCCGTAAGATTTTTTAAGTGGCCTGGTGTCTTAGATCTATCTCTTGGCTTTCTATACAGACCAATCCCTCTGCCCTGTCTCTTGGCATAGTATGTCCGTACAATTTTTTAAGTGGGCTAGTGTCTTAGATCTATCTCTTGGCTTCCATACAGCCCAATCCCTCTGGGCCTATGTTTTGGGCTACTTGGAAACACTAATTATTTTTAGTAAATATTGATTTAAATTACACTAAATTTTATTTCAATTTAAATATACACCTCGTCCTAAAACAATGAATAGACCCAATAATACATGGAAACACACCCATGTTCATGAACCTTGCAATTCAACGCAATTAATGCAAAATATTTCTGCATATTATTGCCCTTCATCACACTATGGATGATGGGACAAGGAAATTGGAATGGCATTATCAACACGCAATATTGGAATTAATATTTTAAAATCACTTGTAAATTTTAGCTTTGTTCATCCAAATATATTTTTATCATAAGAAACTTTCAATACAAATTAAATATATATATTTATTTATTACTAGTATGATTTTTCATATTAAATATCAAAAACAAATATTTTAAATCAAACATCAAGGATAAACACACTCATTATGATACATAGTTAAAATAATGATACTAAAAAATAATAGTTTGTACACAAATATATAAAAAATCAACGAAATTACTGAATTTATTTTAAGATTAAGTTGAAAATTAATAGTATCATTATAAACTATGGGTGGCCCTAAAATAATTTTATTGTCATTAAAGTCAATACATAAATTAAAACATTAAAGACAAAAAACACTCATAGTGTGTTCACGTGATATAAAAAATACATGGTTACAGAAAATTATACTAAAACATATCATTATAATGCTTGTTTTGTTATGTTATATATGTGAACCACACAGCCGCGTTGAGTATCAGTGCAAAACAATATTTTAAATCTTGGTTTGTCAAAGATCGCTATTCATAACAAATGAGCATTTTAAATATGTTTAAATATATTAAAATTGATTCGCTAATATATATATTATTATAATTCTACCTTATAGTGGAATTTATTTTTTTTAAAAAATTCTATAATAGTTAAAAATAACCCTTTCATGTTTTGGTTGTATCAAAACCAGTAATTATGAAGGTATATTTATCTTTTCTTTGCTTTTTTGTTTTTGGTTAAATTACGACACAATTTGAAAAGGGATTTGTAGATATATGTTTTGATAAACGACGATTCAATAATTCATTGGCTTGGCCAGAATCAGACAAGACAACACATAATTTATACAAGAGCAATGAACAGCAAAGCTCCTGCTGCAGATCTGTTCCCAGACTCTTCAAAAACATCAGACATGGGATGAGATGAGATGAGACGAAATGGATTCTCTCTCAGAAACCCTAAATCAAAGATAAGATATATTATATATAATTAACCTAAATCACAAGTCACCAGAGCAGAAGACATCTTCCCCTCCTCTTACAGAAACAGCACCACCGTAAGATCCACCACAAGATCCGTCCATGAAAACCACCACCGCTGTAATGTCGTCGTGGAAATGCCTCCTCACGCCGGGTTCGATTTTCTTCATGTCCGAGAATCGCATCTCCCGTTTCCTCGCCGCCACTCGCAGCGCAGCTTCAACCAGCCTGCCCGCAATCCCCTGCTTCATCAGAAACAAAATTAATATCGAACATCCATATATAATCAATCTTGAGCGACTTATGACGATGCATGGCTTACACGGCGAGGATGGCTGCAAACGATATCGATCGCCTCCTCGTTGCTGAGATGCTCCCATAATCCATCAGACGCCAATATCACAAACTGATCCTCGCACTCCACCTCATGCACAACTATCGACGGCTCTGGACTCAGAATCGGCCTCTCGAACGGCTCCGGCACCCTGAATTTAGCCGGCAATGGCTCCCTGTTGAACTCCGGGCATTTTAGATACGCATCGCCGATCGATCTCGACACCTGAAATCATAACCACAGCTATTATTAAGTAAAAGAACAAAAAATTAGTAATTACTAAGTTAACATATACAAGTTCTTACTTGTATGAGGCCTTTCACTCGCCAAACTTTGTGCTTTAGAACAACTATCTGCGGATCGTTAGGATGCAGTGCCTGCAGCTCATCTCTTATCGATTCTTCTTTAGCATTGTGATCCACTGACAGCTGGACGGCTCTGATTTCTCCATCTTCATCCACCCTGCCCATGACTGCCCGGGAGTCGCCGGCGTTGGCGACGTATAAAGATCCCTCGCATATCACGGCGACGAGGCAGCACGTCCCGACGGAAGCCATTTGTGGCTTGTCGCACCATTGCTCCCTTGCTACGGACAGAAATTCATCTTCCGTCGCAAAGAACGCCCTTCTTATGACATCCGCCGACATCTCTTGATTCTCCGAAGCAAATCCTGCGAGAAGTTTTAATCATTAGTAGTGAAATTAAAGTGATTGATCTGATCTCTGAGGAGATGAAATTGAAACATACTCTTGAGATTATCGAACATGCGTTCGTTTACATATCGCGACGCCTCCGGGCCGCCGTGTCCGTCGTAAACGCCGACAAAAGTACCATACGGCCCCGACTGAAGGTAACTCAGTGGCCCTGACTCGAGCCGGGCCTGATCCTCCAAATACGCATTGGCCTGAACCATAGCCATCGAGAATTCGCCGGAAAAGTGATGGCCGGAGTTGTGCCATATTCTCCGGTCGCCGCCACGGCGGTTTCCGTCGCCTCTTGATCTCCAATTTCCGGCACCCCCAAGCAGTGTTTTCCAATAAGGCTTCACCATATTGTATTCACACAACTACGTACGTACAAATCAGAATTCACACACAACCTTAAACATGGTAAGAAGAAACTCCAATTAAAGCAACAGATCACTGAGATATGATATGATCCAAAATAGAGATAGATAAGTTTGAGATATATAATAGTATACCCAAATATAGCAGTAAGCGAGCAGAGTGGGCAGACAGCATAAATGTGAAAGAAATTAACAAGAAGATAAAATTGAAAAAAAGTATGGGCAGATCGGAAATGTGTCTGGTGGAAGAGGAGGACAGGGAAGCAAGATATATTTAGATGAGAGAATATGGAGGGGTGCAGTTGCAGCATACCTTGAACCTGGGTCGAGCTACTGTGGACCTTCCATGGCAGTTTGTTGCACTTTCAGCAACAGTCTTAGCTGTGAGAACCCATCAAAGAACTGATGCTGACAGAGTTTGTTCCTGGATCTATCAAATGGATAACAAAAAGAGAATTTCGTGTCTTGGGATTTTTTGAGCAGGATTAATTAAATTATATTTTTGTTTTTATTTTTATTTTTGTGTCAGAATGAGATCTCAGATTAAATGATTGTTGTGGTAGCGAAGGGACCGCCGCTCATCATATACAGTACCGATGTGTTAATTTATTCGCCATTCGCCATTCGCCATCTTCAGATTAAATTTTAGCACTGCTGAAATGAGATATATATATACACACACTTGTATTTCACTATTTTGTATCGTTTGTAAAATTATTGTAAATCGTGTTTGTAGATATTGATATAAAATTATGAACATGCTGAATGATTGTGATGTGTTTTGCTTATATTGTTTTGATATTTAAATTTTGATTCGAATTTTAAAAAATTTGAGGTAATAGTTAATATTTTATGTGATATTTTGAATATATTATATGTATTTATTGTTTCAAATAAAATTATTAAGCACTTTTAATACGGAACTTATTAATTATCAACCAATAATATTAGATGTACTACTATTATTTTCTAACTTTATTCTATCAAGTACTGATGTGGTACCGAATCTGCATGTAACCGGACATATAACCTACCATACAATGAACTTACTCCCTATCTATCTATCTATCTATCTAGATCTATATATAATGTATGTGAGTGTGACAATTAATGATCTGATTGAATATATAATATATACTGAACAAGAAAGAAAATGAAATACATTTAGCAAGGAAAAAAAAAAAAAAACATTATTTATAGTCAATTTTTTTTTTTCTTTAATTCCTTTAATTTTACTTCGAATATCACTATGTTTGCAAAGATATATTTTTGCCATTATTTATTTATAGTATTTTTTTAAAAAATATTATATTAATTAATTAATTTTTTTATATATAATATTATATCAAATATTAGCTATAATATTTGAAATTAATCTATGGATAGAGATTATCAAAACTATTCAATCATTTTACATTTAAAATTTTATACGTATAACATTTTTTATGAAATATATGTATTGAATAATTTTTAATAGAATAAAAAATAACTATGTATACGACAAATTTTGTACCTTTGTCGTGTTGCTTATATATTTTTCAAGTCATAGTCCCAATATTATTGAGATATCATTCTACATAATTACTTTGAGTACTAAGAAATAAATTATTTAAAAATTAAATGTATCATTTATATATAATATAATATTGATTGATATTTTTGAAATAAAATAGTACTTTTAGTGCAATTTTTTTAATCATTATTATTATTTTCATAAGTTATTAAATATGTACTATACCAATCAAATTAGAATATATAAACAAAAAGTTTCGACTGTACTTCACATTTAAGTTTATTTATTAACTTTTATGAGATCATCTGTTAGCAGGGGGGGCATAATATCCATAACATTACATTATATAAATAGAATAACTATGTTAGAATATTTGTAATATTCGTAATTAAAATTGATATCATCTATAAAATTCTAATTTACTTTTAGTCCATATACAAAACTCAAATGAAAAAATTTATTTTTGGACAGAAGGAATATTTCATTTTTTTAGTTTATAAGTACCCATGGAAAAATAAAAGGAAAATGTAAATATTATAATTTATAATAATAAACGTTTTAGATCTAATAATATGGTATACAATAGTTGATAATAAGCGAATTGTAGTCAATAATGTTCTATATTATGTTGAACGGCAATACATTAAAATAATGACATATAAGACCGTAATTAAAAGTCTATAATTTTGATAAAATTTTATGGTAAGAACGAGAATTAAATAATTATGTATTAAGTACAAGTGTTGGGACGGATTTGGTTTGTATTCCTATTTATATTTTAAATTTACATAGTAATTGTATATAAAATGTTGTAAAGAAAAATATTATATTATTTAAGAAAATAATATGCATTGCAAAATAAAAAGATTGAAAAATAAATAAAAAAAATAAAAAATCAAAGAAAACACATGGGGTTTGTTTATATTTTACAAAAAAATAATGTCATTTCTTTACAAGATTTACTCCTCACAACTAGATGATCAATGAATCCATCAACTCTCACTGCTATAGCAGTGCAATGGGCAGATGATCTTGTTGTTAGCTCACATTGATTAAAACTGTAATTTGGAAGCCATTTATTAAGATCAAGCAACACACCCAAAAATAGTGAACAAATTCCAATCTAACCAACTTTGACCATGTTTCCTCGCCGTCTCTCCATTGTGGTGAGGAGCTGTTCTTTAGCGTGCCTCAGCGTGTCGAGCACTTCCTTCACTGTTCCATCGAGAATTTTCGGATCAATGGCAGGCTTCTCTGGCGGCGCCAAATCAACTGTGACTAAAGCCATTGAGTTATCTACATGGTTTCCGGGATCTTGATCAAAGCTGCAATGAGAAAAAACCTCATCAGAACACAAACAATTATGAGTGCGATCATTAGTCGAGTCATCTAACCGATTACGATATGTTTGGTTGTAAGTTGTAACTAAGTTTGATCAAAGCAGTGGAAGAAAACTTCACCTCAGATCATCATGAATTCCAGTACTCTTGAGCTGCTCTGAAGCTAGAGAGTCTGTTGAGGCATTTCGTCGAACACTTTGCTCCATAATCTCTGCCTCTTTGAAATTGTCTGCAAACACAGAAACTGAACTATTGTTTTGAGGAAGATCTGCGGTGCAGGTTTTTTCACCATTCATTTCTGGTTCTTTTGTGCTTGAAGAAGCAGTGGATGATGAGGATACAGAGGAAATGTCTGTACTATCCATCAAGTAGGAAATGCTCATGGATGCAAGCTTCTTGATCAGGAGTTTCAGCTTCTTTTCAGCCCTGTTTCTTGATTTCGATTCTTCCTTCAACAGATTTTCCAGCTCCATCAACTATGGATGAAAAATTGATTTATGAATAAAAAAGATTGAAATTTTGAAAAAGCAGAGATGAATTCCATTAACAGAGCAGAGCAGACCTTATTCCCCAATTGCTCAGCCTCATCTCTTGCCTTTCTTGAAGCTGTTCTCTCAGCTAGCAATCTCCCTCTTAAACAATTCACAGTCCTCTCAGTATCTTCTCCTTCCATCTGATTCTCACTGACAAAACAACATCAAACCATTTCATATATGACATTTAATAAAAAGAGAAAAAGAAGATGATGAAATTGCAGTTCCCAAATACACCTTACCTCCATTTAGCATCTGCATTGACTCTTTCTGCCATAGCTTCTGGATCAGTTCTGTGAAGTTTACCCAATCCAGTCAAATCTCCATAGCAGGTAAAGTAAACAGATAGATGGAAAGTTTGTGATCTTCTACAACATTCCCTACTCTAGATATTAGGAGTGAGTAATAACTGCTTTTCTTTTTTGGGTTCAAATTTCAAATCAGGATTTGGACTTTAGCCCCCACCAGAATGGCTTTTAGCTCTGTGCACTCTCTGGCACTGTCTCCAATTCTGCTTTATTTGGAAGTGTCCTTCACTCATTCACTATGGCAATAATTTTACCAAAAAGGAAGGAAGAACACTGAGAGCATTGCTATTCAGGTCTATGATTGCCTTAATAGAATACAAAGAGATAAGAAACAAGTGTCTTGCTGCAGGAATTTATTATTGAGTGGAATGAAGAAGGGGCAGCTCAAAATGTCTACATCTGTATTCAAAGTGAAGAGAGAAAAACTGTGCATTGGCAAGTGCAGCCACATGGCTACTGCCTACCTCATATTTAAGCTTTGTTTGCCTTCAAAAATGGGAAACAGAGTAGCTCCCATAAACAGGACCATAGCTAACCTTCCATCTTTCTCTGTCAAAAATTTGTTGGAGAAAAAGTTGGGGGGCCAACTTCAAATTTTATTATGTCCCCAGATTTCAGTTGGGATTTTGGGATCATCTTCTTTGTTGGTTCATGGGTAATCAATTGGGTTTTCAAGATTGCATTTTTATTTGTGTATTAGTTGCAACCATGTGTGCCCAAATAGAATAAATTTGGTGATTGATAAATTTGATAGCAATTGGTGATGCTAAATATTAATGTTTAATTTTAAAATAATAAATATAAATTTATTATTAAAATAATTGTAATCAATTTTAAGAAACTCTACTCAAATTATTTTTTGTCACCGGTGAACCCCTAAATGGACGTGAAAGTTACTAGTACAGGAGCTACGGAATATATACTTGGCCTTGGTTCCTGAATTTTTCCCTATTTTCGCTCATGGCTGCCTTAAATCCCTAAACCCTAAATCCCCTCTGGCATTAGCGCTTTCAAATTCGCGTTGACTTGTCGACCGAGCATTTCAGGTCAAAATCCCAACCGCACGCCCATACCATGAGTTAATTTGCCGCTTAATTGGATTCCAATTTTTCGCAGCGACCGATTTCATAGATTTCTTGGCCGTCGATTTCCATTTCTCTCTCAGAATCGAAAGGTTTTCCGTTCCCTGGTACCTGGAAACGATTTGCAATTCCGGCTATCTGGAAAGAAATTGCAATTTTCAGTTCATATTTTTGTGTTTGTTTAATGATGTCGGAATCGCTGTATTTGTGATCTGCTTTCGGTGCTTTTTATGTATCTGTAGTTGTATTTGTACAAGACTTGATTCCCAAACTCATAAGGGTTTATTCGATTTTCCATCGTTACTTTTTCAAAAGATTTCATCTCCAAGACTACTTCGTAGGTCGAAGTTTGGACAATAGATATAGAGGAAGGCATCATTCAATGATGGAAAATAGACGAAATGAGGATTTCTTGGAGTCATCGCGGGAAGTCTTTGAGATCCCTGGCGAACCAGCCATTGTTATAAAGGGACTGCCGCCTGCTTCATCAAGTGAGGCCAATCTTGTTCCTTCGCCTGTCAGTGATTGGCAATCTGGAAAATCTGCTGGCCTTGGCGAGTGGTTGGAAGGAAGAGAAGTGCGCAAATTGTTTGGGGATCAGTTCTTTAATGGTAAAGTAGACAAGTTTGATGAGGAAGTCGGTTGGTATAGGGTAGTGTATGAAGATGGAGACTTTGAAGATCTTGAGTGGCAGGAGCTGAAGGACGTGCTTGTACCTTTGGATGTAAATGTCCCGTTGAAAACACTGGCAATGAAGATTATAAAGCAGAAACATGTTCAGAATTCTGGAAAAATCAAGGCCAGAGTTAAAAGTTGAAACATGTTCGTAATTCTGCAATCTGTAGGAGATTTCTTCCAGCAGCATGAATTTGGTAGTCATTTTCAAACAGTGTATCTGCAAACTGGTTAGTTGTTAATCTCTATTTTACCTACGTCATGTATGTACTATGTAGTGTTCTTCTATTTGTCGTTTGTTAATGTTTGGAAGTGAAGTCATTGTTGCAGAAAAGATCCTTTGAGATGCAAATGATATTTGATTTGAAGTGTCATATTTGAATGTTTAGGCTGTTTGTTTGGATGGGAATCTTACAATCATGATATGTGATTCTCAGAAGATGGTGCGGAAATCTTACTGGTCAGATAAATATAGTATGAGTGATAGATTATTCCCTTGTAAACATTGTTGTTGCTTCTCAAAAAGTGAAAAAACAAAGATCATGCACTAGTCAGAATTTAAGAAAAAAATAATAAATAAACCTGACCATCTTGTTGTTAACCACACAAGATTTGATGAAGGTAATTCAATCTACAATAAGTTTAACTAGTGATGTGTAAGAATTTATTTCTTTAGAGAAGAACCTGCAAGGCACCTGATTCCTGGCAAAGGATATCTTCTCACCGCCATGGATCGCGCTCAAGTCAATATAAGTGGTCCCACTTACAAAAAGATATACAAAGTAAAAGATAAAGATAATGATCTAGTCAGTATTTAGGAAAAAGTTAGAACAGATAGACCACCTGGTTGTTCACAGGCTTTCACTCAGGATTCAACATCGAATGAGGGGTAAATCAATCTACAGCTTGTTAAACTAGTGAATACGAGTTTCTTTTATTTTTTATTTTTTTATATATATTTTTATTTTTTTCCATAGAGAAGAACCACTACAAGCAACCATGGATGGTGCTTAATGTGGAGTGGTACCACTTCCAAGAAAATATCAGTAAAGTTTTTACAGTCTGCTAAACCTTCCTGGCAATTATATATCTGTGCCATAAGCTACTATAGCTTTATCTTATCCTAATCCTGCGTTTGGTGCTTTAGTTTCTTCCGATTCTTGACCTTAGCTTGAGAAATAGCTTAGACTCAATTTATTATGTTCCAAATGGAGCCACACAAACTCTTAGGCTTGTCAATAATATAATCAAGCACTTATTATGCAGAGAGAATACAACTAGATGAATATTTTATTCGACTGTGAAAGGAATATTTAGCTTTTAGTGGGTTTCCTGAAAGTCAAGCGCACTTGTCATCTTATTAAGTGTCTTATATTCTTTTAATATGTGGCAGCACATCTAAACTAGCTTTTAAAGAACTTTTCATTCCTATCTGGAGAAGGTCTCTTCTGCATCTAAAACTGAAGCCAACACAGGGTTACTGGTTACATGCCCCAAATTCTGTGATGCTATTTCCTGCAGTTTAGTTGGTTTAAATAGGAGCTTTTGCACTCTCTACCTTCTGGGACTTAGCCATGGATTGGGGTTGGCTTGTGGAATTCTTAAAGGGTATGATCAAGCCTGCAGCTGCACTGGCTGTGGTGGCGATGGCCATAGCCATGTCCTACTTGCAAAAGCTTGGGCTGGAGGGTGAAATGGCTTACTCCATTTTCAGATCTTTTATTCAGCTCTCTGTCATTGGCTTTGTTCTCCAGTTCATTTTCAACCAAAACAATGCTCTGTGGATACTTCTTGCCTATCTTTTCATGGTATGATTTATGATTTATTGTTTCTTTTAGAGACCTTGTAAATCGAAAGGACACCTTTGGCATATATACCTTGGAAATTTATGATGCTTATCTTTCTGTAATTGCCTGAAACTTGATGCTCTGACTTGAAGCTTATCCACTTCTATAGAGGCATGTTTGGTACTGCATAATAACCTCACATAGTATGCGTATGATTTACTTTTAGATTTTTACACCCATTATCAAATATTTAATTTTGCATATAATATTATCTCGTTCATAATCATGTACTACATCATCTTCTTCATAAACAGTTGACATAAGCTGTAGAGGTATCTCGGTATCCTACATGAAATGGACTATATATATATATATATTATGAGTTGTTCATGTCTGACTTTTGTAATGGGATTATTGTGTTATAATTTGGCATTCGATGTTGCTGAGGATGTCCCTAGTTGACAATTACTCAGATCGTCGAATTATTTAAGAAGGTTGACTATAAGGAATCAACTGTATTCTATGAATTTCGTGTGTGTTTCTATGCTTCTGACATGGTCAAATCCAACTTGATCTTTGTATTTAATTTCCAGATTTGTGTTGCGGGATACACGGCAGGGCAGCGTGCAAAACATGTGCCAAGAGGGAAGTTTGTGGCCGGAATATCCATTCTGGCAGGAACTGCAATGACCTTGTTCTTACTCATCATTCTCCAGGTTTTCCCCTTCACGCCACGATACATCATCCCAATTGCCGGGATGATGGTTGGCAATTCCATGACGGTCACTGGTGTCGCAATGAAGAAGCTCAGGGAAGACATAAAAATGCAAATGAACCTAGTAAGTGGACATAAGAATCTTGCCACTATAAACTCATCATTATAATGATCATATGCTGCATTTCATATTTCCAGGTGGAGACTGCTCTTGCTCTTGGGGCAACTCCCCGACAAGCTTCGCTGCAGCAGGTCAAAAGGGCCCTGGTGATTGCACTATCTCCTGTTCTGGACAGCGCCAAGACTGTTGGGCTCATATCCCTGCCGGGGGCCATGACAGGGATGATAATGGGCGGCGTGTCCCCTCTCGAAGCCATCCAGCTGCAGATCGTGGTCATGAACATGATGGTCGGGGCCTCCACTGTTAGCAGCATCACATCGATGTACCTTTCTTGGCCTTCCTTCTTCACCAAAGCGTATCAGTTGGAAATGACGGTCTTCTCCCTTGACTAATACTTCTACAATGAATATTTGATGATTAAGAAGAATTGGGATAGAAGAAATTGTTGATCAGAGAAACATTGGGTTCAAAGCTGGACCTCTGCCAGTTGTATTTTTACATATGAACTTCTAACTGCATTCAATACATGATTAACATCAAAGGAGTAAGTCAAGCTGGAAATGCAGGTTTCCTAGCAATTGGAGCGCCGGTGAAGGGATTGATATTAATGTCCAATCCAGGTGGATCGTATTGGCAGACGACTATAATGCCCTTCTGCGCGTCACAGTACACGGCGCTGCTGCAGCCTATCTGTCGGGTGGTCGACCACACGATCGCCAGGTAATGACGGCATTCACAGCTCTCCATTGGGGGGTTACATCGACACGCATCATTTGTGCTGTCGTAAAACCTTGATTCGTTGAACCACCGTTGCACGATTTCTGTCGGGGTGAAATCCTTGTACTCCATGTAGAAGATGTTCTCGCCATGCCGGTTCGGCGAGTGCAGGCGATAATTGCAGTCCTCACGTCGCAGCTGCGCCCATGCCTGCGCCGATGCAGTCAGCTCGGCGCTCCAGATGAGCGGCGGCGTGTTGACGGTTCGTCTCAGGTCGTTGTGCGCCTTCACGAATTCGCGTTGCTCGTAGTCGAATTTCGGCACGAACGGCGGTGGCAGGAGGGGAGGCAAAGGCAGAGGCTCTCGCTTCCGCAGGCTCTCTCTCGGAATGGGGTGGATCACAGTCGCCGCCGCCGTACCAACCAAGGCCGCCGCCGCGATCAAGAAACGGAATATTCTAGATTCTGGCATTGAACATGATCGAGTTTTGTCTCTTTTGATATATTTTGATGTTCACAATACCAAATCGTCGATACGTATATCAGGTAACTCATTGGTTATGTAGGATGAAGGTGATATTCTATGTGGTTTGTTAATCAAGGTGCAGCAGGTTTATAGCAGGGCCGCACATGAATAATTATTATTATTTTTTAAAAAAAGTATTAGTAGAGTTGTCTAAATCAGATAGGGGGGAAATGATGACCGAAAGGTACACCTTAGGCTTCTGAGGGTACAACTTTACCTTAACTATATAAATGATGAACAGCGAGAGTTTGTGTGTTTTTTGCATTCCTGTATTGCGGAGCGGGAACGGAATAGTTTTCGAACATTGTGGCCTCATCAAATCAACGGTTTGGCTGCGAATCTGTTGTCTCTGAGGATAGTACGTTCGTCGGAGGCGACTGGGACCGCGGAGCTACTTTTCCGGTAAGTTTTGCTCGCTCTCCTTTTCGCGATTCGGTTGTACGTGTAAGTTAATCGACTTATGATGAATTTATCTGTTCAAATACATTTTAAGGGATCGATATGATACGAACATCATAGTCAGTTATAACTACTCTTCGTAGTACGTAAAGAAATTTTAGCTAGTCATAGAATAGTGTGTATACTGATAGCGGTGTAGCTGAAGATGGTGACATGGAGACTTCGTGTTTCTAATCTTAGATCTCAAGCATTACACTTGATAGAACTTAGTGTAATCACGGATATTTCTATCACTTACTTGAATGTGATGGTATCATCTCTGCTGCTTTACCGATAAAGTATTCGCTGCTAATTGTCTTTTTGATTCGATAGAAAATTCTCAAAGCTCCCTCAGATAGTTTCCACATAGCTAAGATTTGTTGTCAGTGCATCTGTCCGAAGATCTGATGGAATTTATTTTTGACACTACAATCCATTATCCCTAGTCACTACTGGACTACAATATTTTCTTATTTGGCACTTCCGCAAATCAAGGCTGATATATTTTACCTTACCGTATCATGCTGACATGTCAATTACCTTACCATACAAACCATCTTTGTATGGTTTCCATGCATTGTGGATGGCCTACATAAGTATACATACATGCATACATATAAATATGTAGTTTAAATTTTCAATATGCTTATGATCTTCATATATTCAGGCATTCTATGTTTTCCGATCTTCGTTTCATTTATTAAGAACCACCAATTGTGGTTCATATTCTTAGTATACCCGACTTACAGTTAGTACTTAAGATGAGTAGGATTGTAGATTATCAAGTAAAGCATACCAGTATCAATGACTAAGCATTGTAACAAGGGATAAAGAAGCCAGAAATTAGAAATCAACAAATAAAGCCAACAGAAGCTTTGAACAGTCGCATACCCCCGTGAAAATTTGCCATCATTATTGCAGGTTAGTGACCAAAAATTCTTTCGCATAATATTGTCTCCTCCATCTCCCAGTCATCCCAGGTTCTGCTATTGTGTGGGTTCTCCAGATTACGAAAGATGCCATCCCAGCTGTAATTGCCAAGACATAGATCACCATAGGCATGCCCCAGATTATCATGGTAATTTTGCTGTCTATATTTGCTACCACTGTAATAATTCCAATAATTGTCTCCTTCGTGTTGGAGGTGGTCACCTTCTGTCTCCGTTCTGCTTTCATATGCCTGATAGATCTCGTTGTTTCCGAAGTAGCACCCCATGTAGGGAGAGTAACCTCCAAACCAAGTCCCACTGCCACTTTGAGGTGTTTCCTCTTCTCCATAGCCTTGATTTGCCTCCCTGTCTGTATGCCAAGGCCAATCGTCATAATTTTTGTAGGAATCATTGTAGGTTCTATCATCGGAGGATGATAGTGGATCTCCATATAGACCAGTACTGTCACCATAGCTGGTGTCAAGCCATGAATCATAAAAGGATTTGTAGTCGAACAAATCAGGTACCATCATGTGACAACAAGGTTCTGATCTTGCATCACCAGGCTCCCAGGCATTCTAACCTTTGAAGTGATATTGTTGGAAATATGTAGCCATTCCTTCTTAGGAACTTCACCTTGCACCTTGAATACAAGTTGTTATAAAGAAGAAACTGGCTCCCCAAGTTTATCCCCCCACCAGTGTGTAAAAGATGAAGATGCCCCACGTGAGAGAACCTCTATACACTTGTGAAAGTTGTCTGAAGAGGCTACTGTGGAATATTTATCAGGTATTAATTCAGGAATAGAATAGAAAGCATCAAGTGATGTGAACCACTTAAGTGAGTAGTTTGCAGCAGCGCACTGAATATGCCATTCTTGGCTGTGAATCCGATTCCATTACACTTCTCCGCTGATATTGGATTCTGTTCCTGAACTTCATTGCAGCTGTTTGCATTACGATTAAAGCAAGGTGTATTATTAAACAAAGTTGGGAAAGAGTTAACAAGAGAAGACAACCAAGTAAACGTGCAGGCATCTTGATAGGGGCTTCACAAATAACAACCGGTCAAAGAAAACTCAACAGATCAAAGTAAGTTGGCGGAGCACTCAGTAAATTAATAATATTGTCCTCGCGATAACGCATACGAACATAGTTAAAAGATCTCCGGGTAAAGTACACACATGTCAAGTAATTTGTGATGGAAATAGAGTATGTATGGCACTTCCATCCTCACACTTAACAGTCTCGAATACCACCAAATAAAGTATCGCAGTAGATGTACTCTATCCAATCACTCAGTACTATCTTACCTGCATCACATATTCAAGGCGACTCGCTGCCCCGAGGGGAGTGAGCTGCTGTATCATCTTCTTCAACGGGGCTCCTGTCATCCCTTGGGCTAGGGCTAGTGCTGCGATCACGCCCATTTGCAGCAGCAGCTTCATATGGGCTCTCGTCATACCTCTTAGCCGCAGGGCTGACAGGCCCCAAGCTAGTTTCCTTGGGGCTGTCGCTGTAACCATCTTGTTCTGCCTCTATTCTGCTGTCTTTGCCCGCAGGGGGAGGAGATGGGCTTCTCTCTATGGGACCATCTCTATCAGGAGTTGGGCTGCGCTTCCCTTTGATAGAGGGAGAACTGCCCCGCTTTGACTCTGGGACTTCACCTCCCGGACTTCTTGATCTCCTCTCTTTGTACTCAGCATCATGCCCTCTTCTAGCAGGCGACCTTGAACGGCTAGACACACAAACAAGTTTGTATTAGGCTCAACAAGCTAAGCCACATACCTTATTATTAGCATTTGCGTACCATACAATGAAACGTGTACCCTAAAATTTATACCTGTAGCTAGGGCTCCTACTGAAACTTCTACTCCGACGGCTACGGCGGGGCGAGCGTGAACGTGACCTGACAGGAGACCGTGACCTAACAGGAGAGCGCGACCTAACAGGCGAACGTGAATAACTGCGACCACGTCCACTGCAACAACACATCATCACAAACATTTAGATGTACATAGATATAAACTTGTTCACGTAACAAACAATTAATCCATTAACAAGAAAGCAGCACATCCATCAATACCGTACCAAACAAATTCCCCTCAAATCAGTTGAAATGTACCTCAGTTTCTTGGGACTGTTGGGGCAGTTCCTTTCAATGTGACCTCTTTCCCCGCAGCGGTAACACTTATTTTTCCAGTCTCCTGCTTTACAATCTCTAGCCCAATGGCCATCTATACCACAGTTGAAGCAGCGCCCGGACCCTGGAGCAGGGCCTCTGCCCACATATTCCCGAACCCCTCCAGGTCCACGCGGAACCTGCATCCATTGGTGTAATTATTTTTAGAATAGAAGTGCTATTGATCGACTAATCAGAAAATTAGGAAATCAAACATCCAGAACTTACCCCCTTGGCAAATTCCACAGTGATACGACGCCCATCAACATCTCTTCCATCCAAGTTATATCTTGCGTCATCAGCATCACGTGGATCGCTGAATTCCTATGTAATTGCAACAAAACAAGATATCCAACAAAAAAACAACATAGGGCAATTGATACAACCAATCACCTTAATCTTAAGTAGTCTTAAACCTATGAAAGCATGTAAAGAAGTGATGGAACATACAACAAAGGCGTAGTCTCTCTTCATATCCACATCGCGTACTCTGCGGAAATGGGTTCCAGAAACAGTAAGGCCATCATAACTACTTACGTACTGCAGTGAATGCAACTTGGGTCCTCAACACGAAGTAAACACCAGTTTGTTTGTTGCAAATTCCATAAAAACATGCAAAGACAACACAAAATCGCCAAAGGCTTCTAACAACCGGCAAGAAATTCCACCAAGTCCACTCTTCACCAATGACCACCAGGTCAGGCAAAGTCCACCCTCACCATTGACCACCAGATTAGGCAAAGGCTCAGAAACCTTCAACAGAATTGTTGTGTCAAACTCAAGGAACCTACTACAATATTGTTCCTTCAGAAATATAAAGATCAAAAAAGATGGGTAAGCAAGAACCATGCCTTAAAAAGCAACTATGTTCTTACTCAGGAGAAGAGAAGAGAGACTAGTTTCTTACAAGTCACAAATCTCAGATGTAGAGCCCAGATAACAGGTAACAGTTGCTGGAATGCTCAAATATCAAATAAGGTTTCAATCACCATCATGTACTTTATTAACCATAGTTAGACTAAGATCACGGAAATGGAAACTAGAACCAGAACATATTCCAAATGTCAAATCCCTAGCCTATAACCCATAGTCCATGTGCAATAATATAATAAGCCCCAAACAATAATATATTAATATTAAAAGAGAAAAAAAAATCATTTTGATTTGCCTGGTCTTGAAATTTTTTTATAGTTTATACGGGGTAGAAATTGCAATTTTGATTGGCTAACACACTGAAGGACTTGAAATCAACATATTTTTGAACCAAAGGAAACACTGACCCGGGGGTTTTAAAGGAAGCACCACAAACAGATCCACCCCCCCCCCCCCCCAAAAAAAAAAAAAAGAAAACACACGCACACAACAAATCATAAGTGACTGTAGTAGCAGAAATGTCATGATGATTATGATTATTTACCTGCCATATCTACTGAAAATATGCTCCAAATCCCGAGAACGAGTCTTTGAGGACAGGTGACCAACATAGAGGCGAGTAGTACTGCCGTATCGATCTTCGTAGCGAGGCATATTTTTCCTGAGAAATATGACAACCAACAACCAAGAGTATAAGGCGAAACAAGTGTAGCGTAATAACAAAAAAAAAAAGAGTACTGAACCAGACTTCCTTCAAAGAGAAATATTAAGCGCATAGACAGAAAGGATTATTGACTCCAAAATCAACTGAACGTAATCCACAGAAAAGGAACGAAATGAAATTCAACTCTTCCGTGGATTCATTTCTTAAGGAAAACCTAATTGAATGCAAATCTGGTCAACCAAAGTATAGATCAGATTGAATCCATCCAGCTAACAAAGTTTCCACATACATCCAGAGATATATCAAGCATCAAAATCACCAGCTCAACCGTCACAAGTAGAGCACGCAGTAATAATTGAGAAAATAAAGAAAAATCAAAATCCATAAAAAATCAGTATGTAAAATCAATCCGTTAACCAAGGACACAGAAGAATCGGTTGACACATACACACAAGCAGAGAGATACCTTAACAATTCGAGCGAACCTTGACGACGAAGTCCGAATCTCAACCCTAAATTTCAAGGGGTACGATGTAGAAGAGGCGGGCCGTGAGATCTCGATGGGTTTTATATGCACCAACCGACTTAGTCTGACGGCTAGGATTGATTGGCTGCATCCCACGGTTGACATGAAGTGGGCCATTAGGTTTAGGATATTTGCAATAGCCCATTTGTTAAATTAAAAGTTACAAGGCAACTTAGGCCCAAACTATTTAATAGGTTGTGGGCTTTGGTTACTGCTAAACAGTCAGACTATTTACAGAGTTTCTCACTGTCGGTTTTTTAAATGATAAATCTCTCAGACCATATTTACAGAAAAAATAATAGTCTGAGGCCTAGAAAATGAGTCAACCAACCACCACAAGCAACTTCCAAGCATCACAAATCTGAGTGTGTTTTTGAAACCAAAACTCCCAAATTTTCTATTTGCAATGTTCCAACATATATATATATATATATATATATGCAATCAACGTAAAAAAAAAAAAAAAAAGAAAAAATTTGAATTATTATTATTATTTATTGAAAAATATTACTCTCTCTGTCCCAGATACCTACGTTTCTGTTCGTCATGTTACTTTTCTTTTTTGGAAAATATATTCTTAATTATCTACTAGGTATACCGTATCTTGTAATTATCTACTAGTTATACCGTATTTACAGTGTAGCAGACACGGTATTCGGTATCTGGGACGGAGGGAGTATTAAAATATTTATTTTTTAAATATTTTATAAGTAAAATAATATTCTAAGTAGTAAAAAAAATCACATATATATATATATATATTTTTACCATCAAATATATATATGTATATACACAATGACGATCCTATTCAACCATATACTCCTTTCATCCCAATTCTTGACATTTTTGCCATTAACTGTATATGAAATTGTATATTTTTGATTTATATAAAAATTAAAACTATTTTAATAATAATATGGAATTATATAAATAAATAAAACTCAACTACAAACACAAATATCGTTCATACACATGAACGGGAGGCTAGAACCTTTTGGTTTATGGAAAAAGTTGGTGGCTGATCCTTCCATAAAAAAAAAAAAAGATAAAAATTTAAAAAATCATCAATTCTGCAGTGCAACCTTGAGATATAGACGACTACTTAAAATTGCAGAATGATACCTAGAAATTACTTGCACTACCGTTGCTCACTTCTTCTTCTTCTGTGGCGCCTTACCCCGAGCATGAACCTCTTTCCTATGTAAACGCCGCGGCTTCAGTTCTCCCAGCTTATGCCCCACCATAGCCTCGACGATGCGAAAGGGGATGTGCTTCCTTCCGTCGTAAACGGCAATCCGATGCCCCACCATTTCCGGTATAATGGTGGAATCCCTCGACCATGTCTTAATCAGTTCCTTCTGCGACTTTTGATTCAACTCCTTGAGTTTCTTGATCAAATGATTGGCAACGAAAGGTATCCTCCAGCTGGTGCCTCCACCACACAGGGGGACCATGAGGTTGAGTGTTGATTCCTTCTGAATGTTGTAATCGGCTAAGGTCCTGCTGTCCTCCAACTGCTTCCCGCTGTAGATGAGGCGCTGCTGATCCTGAGGAGTTCCTTCTTTGTCCTGAAACTTGGCCTTGATAGTATCGATTGTATGGGAGCTTTCGACTTCCAGAGTGATTGTTTTGCCATTTAGGCCTAACACAAAGATCTGCATTTTCTCTTCCCTGTTGCTCCTTTGCCAAATCGCTGCGTTGTTTAAATATTCGAATACGTTGCGCTAACCTCCCTCGAACTTCTATAAATATCAGAGTAGTACTTCCAATTAACTCCCGAAACTTTTCCAAAGTTCCAGAACTGGACTTTTCTGAATATTGTACAGAAAACCACAAATGTTAATACATTATCATCTATCTACATTCGAGTAGTACTGTACTGCCGTATCAATCTTCATAGCGAGGCATTTTTTAACTGAGAAAGAAAACAATCAACAACCAAACACAAGATAGTAACGTAATAACCAAAAAAACGTACAGATAGGATTATTGATTCCAAAATCAAAAGGAACGAAAAGAAATTCAACTCTTCCGTGGATTCATATTTCTAATGGAAAACCTAATTGAATGCAAATCCACTCAACCAAATTATAGATCCGATTGAATCCGTCCAGATAACAAAAATTCCACATACATAGAGAGACATATCAAGCATCAAAATCACCAGCTCAATAGTAACAAGTAGAGCACGCAGTAATAATTGAGAAAATAGAGACAAATCAAAATCCATAAAATCGCTATGTAAAATCAATCCGTTAGCGAAGGGACACAGAAGAATCGGTTACTACATACACACAGGCACAGAGATGCGTTAACAATTAGAGCGAACCTTGACGAAGAAGTCCGAAATCTCGACCCTAAATTTCAAGGGGGACGATGTAGAAGAGGCGGGCCGCGAGATCTCGATGGATTTTATATGAACACAGATTCTGACGGGTAGGATTGATCGGCTGATTCCCACGGTAGACATGAAGTGGACCATCAGGATTAGGATATTTGCAATACATGCAAGCCCATATGTTAAATTAAAAGGTACAAGGGGATTGTGGCCCAAACTATTTAATAAATTGTTACCTTTGGTTACCTAAACAATCAGGCCTTTATTGCTGGTTTCAAATTTAGTTGAAATGAAATTTGATTTGATTTTTAATTCAATATTATTTAAAATATTTTTTTTATGAAAATAAATAATATATTTTTTATTAAAAAAAAATGTATAGAAATAAGAAAACAAACCCCCATTTAAAGAACCCATGGTGTGATCGTTGTTTGAATCTTAAATAACCTCCTTTCCACACAAAATGTCTTATTTACCCTTTTCTTTTAATGAATAATAATAATAAAATCTGATCATTTGGTACTAACGCAATTTGGAAACATAGTGAATAACAGCTTACAAAATATGCATTTCACACCTGTATCTGTAGGACATCAATATTTAGGAAGTCTATCTACCATGCATCAGAAGTCACAAGACAATAATCACATATATAAAGCACAATCAGCCTTCCACATTTAAGGAAATGAATCATGCACATTTGATGTCAAAACAGAAACTTCAGATGACAGTTTGCTCCAATCAAGCCAATCAGTTCCAGTACAACACTTAAAAATATAATCCTCGGTTCATGCATGGCTTGGAAGATTAATCGAACCAATCAGTTCTTGGAAGATTATGGAATCTCCAATCCTTTTCAACATAACTACACTTTGTTGTATGCATTTTATGATGCATATAAACCGCGGGCTTTGGCCATGCCACCCACACATAACATTCACAGCCCTCATCGCATCATCAACACACCATCGAATAGCACAAGTAAGAAGAAAAAAGCTATTTGGGCTGTTGAACCAGAACAGCAGCTGATGATCATGCATTGTGATTATTTCCTAAAAATCCATCTTGTGGGGAGCTTTAGACAAGTAACTGGAACTCAAATATACAAATGTGAAAATTAGGAAAAAAGACTTCTAGAATGCTATAATATGTAAAGGTGAAAGCAGATAGGCAGCTATCATTTGATGTTCATTGTTTCCGACAGAATATGAATAGAAGGGCACAATCAAGATCTAACAATATATATAGATGCATGTATGCACATATTAATGCTCTAACTCAAAAATTCATAGACAATTAATGGTGAGTAATTTCATCTCAGGAAATCCATTTATAGACTGGGATTTGTAAAGTAACAAAATTCAAAGCCAAGTAACACACATTAAAAAAAAAAAAGAAAAAAGAGGGAGGGACCAATATATATATATATATATATCCATAGACTATAAAGTAGAACGATTGATAAAATTTGTAAACTTATATAACATCTATAAGTCAAACCACCCGTATCACTTGGTTCATCGAATCTGTAAGAATTCAAATAAAAGGGTACACAAGCAGAAGGTTGAAGCACAGCTATTCATGTTCAGCTACACACCTCAATATCTATAAAACTACAAATGTGAGGCTGAAATAAAATCAAAAGGCACAACCATCATTCACCAGGTTCAAAGCTCAAATTCTTCATCCCGAAGAGCCATTTCTGCAGCCTCTTCCTCCTCATCATCAAGAGCAAAGTACTCATTCTTCTCAACTGGCCTAAACATGTAAAAGATTATAGTATAAAAGGCAAGACTTGCAATTTCCTCAGCCGCATTAGCCACCCACTGGTACTTATACGCTGCAATGGTCCTGAGTGCAAACACCACAATCCGAGTGAAGTATAAGTACCCAATAACAACAATGTAAAACTGCCTGAAAAGGGTCAGCTTTGCCAGGTTTCTTGCCGCCTTTCCATCAGTCTTCGAAGTCTCCCTCAACGACCTAATAGACCACACTATCGGGAAAATAATTGCACAACAGCAGATGATATCCACTAACAAGAAAACCTGATTCCAAGTTACCCAATCCTTGATGAAAGGCCCTGTCTCCCCAATCACAATGGATGCTACATTGGCCAGCACCTGCAACGGTATTACAATCATCAACACCTTCTTCTCCCTCTCCTGCAGAAATGGCTTCAGAAACGACCATCCAGTACCAATCAGCACAATCACAGTAAACAACAGGACAACCCTGATGAATTGGAAAATGTAAAACAACACATCCCATCCATGCGGCGTTCCTGTAACCTTCACATAGTGTTTATCCTCAGCAGCACATAACAAATTCAACGCTTTCATAATAACCAGAAGCCCCATGAGTAAGTGAATCCTATGCACAGACTTTTTGTTCTGAAGGCACGAATAGATCCAATAACCGAAAAATGCAAAATACAGAACAGAAAAGAAGAAATACAAGCTTGGCAACTGAGTTAAGCCAGCAGACAAGTAGTCCTTCACTCGTCCGCGGCCGTCGAGATTGTATAGCTCGGTTCGGACATCCATGGACACCTTAGATTCAGGCGCACAATTGGCGAAAAACAACGAATACTCATTAGGTGCGGCGATCGGGTAAGAACGGCTAAAAGAGGAATGCGGCGGGGGGGAGAGATCCTTGAAGTTGAAGAGGAGAGTAATGTACTTGGAATCGAGAACGCAAATAGTAGGGTTTGCTTGAAGTTCGGTAAGTACTTGGATGAGAGATTCTTCGGAGAGAAGGAAGAACCCTAATCGGGAGGGATCAATTGAACCGATGAGAGAGATGGCGGATACTGACGAAACGCTGATGTTAACTTGGCCGGTATGCGTGAATCCAAATCGCTCGAATAGAATCATCGGCCGGGAATCGGACGAGATCTTCAGGTTCTTGATCTCGGCAGAAGTCGGTCGGAGTAGGAGGAGGAGCACCGCATGAAGTAGAAACAGGAATTGCAGCTTCGCCATTTCGATTCGCCGGCGGAGGAGAAAGAGGACTTACAAAATGCTGTGGCGGTGGCAGCAGAGGAGAAGGACGCGCGATTCGGAGAGAAAGAGTCGGAGTCGGTGCTACAGTCCGATTTCTTATTCCGAAAATGCCCTCAAATCTAACTCGAGTGTTGAAGATGTCACTATGAGAACCCTAAAATTGGCATTAATTGCAGTTGAGGCCATTAAATTTAAACCTCCGACCTGATGGTACGATAATCGCTTGAGTTACACGCTACAATTTACACAAATTTTTGCGGTGTGTTCTTTTGCTTTCAGAAAAAAAATAATAATAATAATAAAATAATCTACTACATATATTTATTATTTTTATATTATTTATATAATTTTTTATATTTTATATAAAAATATATTTTTTAAAATTATTTTACTAAACAAACAAATTGATCTATATAATTTTCATTTAAATTTAAAATTTTAATTTGAATCATATTTTATAAATAATATAGTAATTTTTTTATTTAAAAAAGAACCTTCTATTTTATTTTATTTTTTTGTGTTTTTATGATTATTTTTTAAATATTTTTACTTGAAGTATATTTTTTATTTTAACTATAGTAATTTATTAGTATAATATAAAAAATAATATTTGGTACTAAATATTAATTTTTTGTAAAGAATAAATAAAATTATGTTGGTAAAGAATTATTTGAATGAACAAAATTTTCATATTTAATAAAATATACGTATAATTTTTATTGAAAATTATGAATTTTGTTGTTTTATGAAAAAAATTCTAATTTATTTTCAAAATATATACATATATTTTTTATATATTTATAATTTTTATATTATTTAGACACTTTGTTAGTTTGTTATAAGTCACATATAAAATATTTTTTTCATACCAAAAACATAAAACAAACTACTCATGTTTGATAAATTTTGAAAGTAAACCAATTTTAAGACTTCCTTTTTTTCTTTTAAATTAATGTTAAGCTTTTCCTAGTTTGTTGTTGAGTAGTAGACTAATAGGTAGGTTAATAGCCTCATCGGTCATAGGTCATCATCACCAGCAATATTATTCATCTGGTTGTACAGTATTATTCAATAGACACCATAAATTCGAAACAGTACATCAAATTAGTTTTTGATTACTTGATTTTATATCTTAATCCTCAACATTCAATTCGTGGTTCATTTATGGCTAATATGTCGTCCAATATAATTATCTATAAAGTATTAAAGTCATGCAAAATAAAGCTAATTTTTCAATCGTATGCTTAACTTAATAATGTGAGACTGTGTATAAACAAATAAATTATTCATTATAAAAATACTTACGAAGTATTATATAAATTTAAAGAGCTAACTTTGTTGATCCCAATTGTTGTTTTGAATTGATCGATGAAGGGTTCATGTAATTATGCTCTAATCCTATCCTATGCATATATTAACTAACTTGGTAAACATCATAAACCTATTCTCGGCTATTTTATAACATATCTATATTCAAAACATCGAAATTTTAAAACATAGAACGAATCAATATATGCAATCAAATTTGTTTCAAACAAGAATTGGAGCCAAAGACAGCAATAAAAGACAAGCAAAATGAAGCCCATATTTTGACCAGGTCAGTTAAGCTCCATTTTCTTGCCACTGTCAACATCTTTTAACAAAATGACAGTAGAATAGAATGGCTTCTACTTTCAAATTCAAGCTCTCCTTGCAGAGAACAATAATGCAGTGCATTGCATTGCAGGACCACTCTTCAAACTGTTACACGTAAAGAGATACGGAAAAAAAAGTGTTTTTGGAGTCATGCAAACTCAAAAGGGTTTTAATTTGGTCACAAAAGTTTAGCTGGCCAAAACAGTAACACAAGATATTCATGGTGTTGTGAGACACAAACAGTGTTAGAAATGGACACTCTGCGCACATGTCACTTTACAAGGTAACACAAGATTACTTAATAATTGCACAATAATGCACCCATATCTCTCTAGCCTTCTTTTACTAGTGTCATTTTTAAACCATTTTTATTCTATATTTTTGGCTATAAAAGGGATCAATACCTGACATTTTCTTGCACACAGATCTTTAATGATTTAAAAACCTCTGGCTCAGCCACCCCTCCTTCCTTCTTCAGTCCTCAGCTGTTTTTTCATCATCATATTCTTCTTCTCCTGCAAAAAGATTGCAATCAGTGCATTGCAGTTTAATAATCTAATGGCTGTAAATATTGCATTTTATGATTTTGAAGATGATGACTTCATAGACATGGAGCTGAGTTCATCTGCCACACCAAAATTCTATTACTCATCATCCTCAAACTCTTCGCCACCGAGCAGAGAGTTTGAGTTCCAAATGTGCTTCACTTGCAGTGATAGAGAGGCCATCAGTTCCCCAGCTGATGACCTTTTTTACCAGGGCAGACTCCTGCCACTTTACCTTCCCCCGCCACTGCAGATGGTCAAGAACGTTTTCCATAGCACGACCACCACCGCTGCTGCAACAAGGTTTGATGTTATTGCCGACGAAGAATTTGAGGATGATGATGATGATGACTGCTATTCAATGCCATTCACAGAGCCATGCATCAACGTGGCCAACACTCCCTTAGAGCCTGCCAGTATTTCCCTGTCGGAATCGTGCAGGATGAGCTGTGACCTTAGCCTTGATGATTACTATCTTGAATGGCCTGTTGAATCAGGCAGCTTCATAAAAAATCAGCCATCAAAGAATAGAATCTGGACAAACAAGCTCAAGATAATTAAACCTTCCATTCTTGGTGAGAAGCTGAGGGCTTCAAGGGCTTACCTGAAATCCTTGTTTGGCAAGTCTGGCTGTTCTGAAAAGTCCTGTAGGAAAGCAAACTGTAATATAGGACGTAAAAACTTGCGAAAATTTGAGGACAAGCCTTGCAAGATTGGCAAGAGGAATAAATTTCAGCTAGGAAAGACTTCACTTACAACATTTGATTCTGCAATGAAGGACATTGATAGGAAAAAGATGGAGAGTAATGTCCAATGGAAGTCATTTTCCAACACAATCAGACGACGCTCACCAAGCAAGTATCTGACTTCATCTTCATCGAATTCCTCCTCTTCATCATCCTCATTCTCCCTCAGCTCAGGTGGCTTCCATGATCACTTGTTTAGGCGGACCAGCAGTGCTACTGAGATTGAGGGCTCGATCGAAGCTGCCATTGCTTACTGCAAGAAGTCTCAGCAACTCTTTGATTCAACAACCTCATCAATGGAGCCTGGAATTTGCTCATGCTCAGCCTCCAAGTTTGCAGGTGAGGACAGGCAAAAGGGACTGGCTCTTTGTAACATTTGAAATAGATAATATTACTTTATCATAGAGAAGAGACAAGAAATGTTCAGCCATAAGAAAATTTCTAATATACTGCACATATATAATCAGGCAAGTATTTTCTATGTGAATGACAAACTGTTTGGGCGTGCTTAATGATTTCATGCTAATCAAATGAATGCTCCTTTCTTCTACTTTAATTATTATATATAAATCATTGTTGACAAACTGTGTAAATAGCATTTGTATGGAAGGATATTTGTCCTAATATGGTCAGGTTAGGATTTCAATTTTATGAATGCACTACCTATTCTTAACTAAGATTAATAGAATAAATATACATAACTGTTGTGAATCACATGTTATCATATCATCCAATTGCCTTAGACTTTTGAAATATCCAAACATATCAGAGGTCGATAAAGAGGTAGGAATGCTCAAATGACCAGAACTGCGGCTCACCATCACCGGAGTCTATTTGCTGGTTGTCCAACTGGCCATCCACCAGTGTCGTATTTCCAGAAGCCACGCGTGTTAGTGTGTACATCAATCAGTTTTTTCACCCAATTTCCCTTTTAGTTCATTGGCATTTGGCATATTCTTCTCCAATCCAGTGCCTTGGTTGTGTCTGATTCCATGGTCTATTCAGTTTTGGTTTGTTCAACAGCCAAAACTCGATCTGAAGATAAATAAGCACCTCCACCTAAAACTATTTCAGTAATGTACAAAATAACTGAGAATAGTCATTGTGGTTGAACTACTGCTATTGACTCTCCACGTGCATCTTGCTATTCTACAACAATAGCTAATATTCTCATCAGTAAATTATTGGAATTATTGGTTCTGTATAAAAACACTTCAAAGCTCCATTAGTCCATCACTCTTGAGTAATTTTATCTTCCAATTCCATGAAAAAAAAGAAAAAAAATAAACCCTATTCTATTACAGATGCCTTAATAACATTCAAGTAAGCATGCCCAGCATATTCATCTCACCTTACCTTTGCTTCAACTCAAAATAACTCGCTCTCCTGATAATGCAGAGTAATCATGACCTAACAACAGTCTCTCTCCAACGGTGGTTAAAATTTAAAGGAAGATAAGTACTGCCCCCAACACATTTTTCAGAAATTAAAAACATGAGAGTGGATAATGTAGTAGCACAGACTCCCTTTCCCATTTCTATTCAAGAGTTCTTATGTGCCCCTTTGAGAACCCGAAAAATGGACAATTCCTTTTCTTAAGAATACATGCAAGATTCATCACTACAAAAAGGCTAGTGGTAACCCCACCCTTAACTACTTCATTTATGGATTTCATAATAATAGAAATACGTGTCCTACCTACCGAGACAGAATTTGTAATTTGCTATCCTCTTGCCTAGCGGGTAAGATTGATATACGCGGAAAGGATAATTCATTCGGAACAGCAACTTTTCCACAGCAGATACAAAGCTGGCAAACTTTTTAGCCAAGTGGACTGAACTTCTCTACTCCTACTTGTTTGGACATGTCATATCATTCTGTAGAGATTTTCTTGTAGTCAAATGTTTGCAACTTGCAAGTGTTTTATTCAGACTATGGCCATCCTGAAGAACTAGAATGCTAACACCACCTGATTTCACATTATCCCAATTGTCACAAGGGTCCTAATTTATACGGTACTTTTGTAATATGTCCCCCCACAGCCATGAATCTCACCAAAACGGGAAAGACATTTTATGGCCTTTTTTCTCCTTGTCAAAGCAAAGCAGCAAAAGTTGTCAACTGAATCTTTTGTTAATTCTGTCAGAACCTTTTCCATATGATATTAATGAATATTCATGTGAGACAGTGGCCTTATGTAAGATCTAAGTGTTCAATGTTCAGAATAGTAACACATAAAGAACCTTCTAAAGCGACAGTTCCCCTACTCCATAATACACAGAAGAGATATAATTTTATTTTATTTTTTGATCGGAAACATAAAGGATATTTTACTAACATACTGAGTGGTTATATTAAGCTTGTGATCTTGGTCATTTTATTTTACAAATACCACCCACTTCCACTTATGCATGAAGGTGAGGTCAACTACACCCCAACAATAGTGAAACAACAAAATGAATAATTAAAGAACATGGCTAGAATGAAAGAACCAAGTACAATAATTACAAGAACCAGGTCGTACGAAAAGAAAAGCAAATAAAAATATGAATGAAGCATTGCAGGATGATGAGCTTTCATGTGCAAACAAATGACCCAATGGCCACATGCTTTCCTAGTTGGTGATATAGACCAAACAGAGTTCAAAGTGAATAATGTCGTCCTGATTCTTGACACTTCGATTGTCAAGAAAATATCAGCAAACACGCGTAAAGTTAGAAAAGGACTACTATAATTTAATCATCTCAATGTTATTTCTATTAAAGCCTTCAAATTTTATTCATTACTGTGTCAAGAAAATATCAGCTTCTGCTTATTATGCTGCATTGCATTCCAGCGTTTCCAAGAGCTGAGATTGTCCTTTTCACTTGCAAACTTTGTAAGGGTTTTTTATTTCTAAGGATCAAAAGTAAACACTCCTTCTTAAGTGACATTTGACATTTCATTAAATCTTGAATTGAAGAGACACAGGCAATTGTGCTACAGACAATCAAAAACTGTATGTATTCACACTTTCAAAAGTTGAATGTTCAGATGGTCATGTCCTTTCATTGATTGGACTATTGGCCACCACCATCCAAGGTTACAAGCAAGTTCTGAAATGCTTGAAGGAACAGTTGCACATGTATATCTAGCGTCTCCACAGGTGTTTTAAAAGTATATATAGGGCCAGTATTTCCACATTCAGGGAATATACAAGGAACCAACTAGCTTCATTTGCTTGTCAGTACTGTTGCATTGAGTTTTCTTATCTGCAAAATGCTTTTAATCTCTTGGTGTCGTGACATTGTTCAGAGTATCTGAGAAATAGATAAAAAAAAAAAGGTTGATGGATTACTGAAATAGATAGATTTTTCTAAGGGCTGTGTTGCTCGGTTTTCTCCCTTTCAATGAAACCCCCTAATCTAACATTCATAGTTAGTTTCACTCTGATGGCAAATTCAATGAATCAGCACCAAGTCATCATGAATATAATAGGATAATTTCATGTTCAGCATGCTTGTCTAATGTGCTGCTACAGGATTTGGAAACTAAATGCAAGCAGTTTTAGTGAATACAGGTCTCTCAAGGAATATTCCAAATAAAATATATCAGCATTAGACACTTACTTAACTCTTCCTGCTGCATGCACTCTATCAGTTTGCCAAAAATGGAGGATAAGGTCAAGGCTAATAGTTCCAAGCATTACACTGCACAGTGGCTGTTGATTGCAGGACCACTCTACTGATTACTTCACCAGGGTTGTTTTGGCCCTTTTGGATGGATCCTCTTTTGGATGATCCATTTGTGCTGCATCTGCCATAGGGTCCATCTAACCATATCCTACGAACAATCAAAACAATTTGTTCAATGTATCTGCAAACGCTTGAATTAGATTGTCCAGTACTTTATTTCCTCAGAAACACCAAAGAGATTCAGTGAACTTACCAATCATGATAAGCTAAAACAAGAATAATCGATGCAGACAAGTTTGAAAAACCGGGTGCTAAAAGTATCCTTTAAAATACTCAGTTTGATGGAATAACAACTGGTATGCAATCATACATTATTAATCATCCGGGGTTTCTTGATTGATTTGCTACTCTACAAGACATATTAGACAATCAGGAGTGGGAATGTACATGAATCTGCCACATGTTCAAGACAGCACAGTTTCTATCCAAACTGTGTAATACTAGAGGCAAGCAGGAGCCACCTAACACACCGTTACAGAGTAGGTAGGTTGGTTCATACATAATCCACCTCCATCCTTAAATGTTTCATATGTTGTTCAAGTTTGGGAGTACACTAAGAAATGTGATAAAGGGTGAGTGTTGCTGAAAGCGGTATGCAGAGTAGAAGTATCAAGCAGTTAGGTTGTCGGGAGCAATCCATGATGAAGAAGGAAAAAACATATGTGCCCCATCTGTGCTTGTTCCTTGGATGAATTATAAGCTAAAATAATGGCATCTCAATTAGAACTTAAAGAAATATCAATCTTATTTTAGGCAGAAAGAAAACGATGATGCTCCTCAACTGTTCAAATGGCAAATACAGTAATCTAACTGTTTTAAGCGTGACGCTAAATTGGTAAGACAAAATTATTAAAAGGGAATAAGATAAATACAGCGAATTTATCAAGTACCTTTTTTCCTGCAGCAAGCTTCAGAGTTGGAGAATCAACCAGGGGTTGAAGAATGGAGACTTTTTGGACCAGGTTCTGTTAGCATGTCCATGAGGTTTGTAGTGGGAAACGTTATTCTAGGTTGAACCATTGATAGAACTAGGGAGGTATCTGATCTCCAGCCATTTGAAAATTTGTACCAAGCTGCACATGTATAACAGGCAAGTATCTTCTACCTGGAAGACAAAACTACTTGCGTGTCCGAACGATGATTCAATAAAAATACATAAAAATACATGTGGAATGATTGCTGCGTTTGCCTAATTTTATTATAGATTTTTCTCGACTAAATAATCTCATCGATCCTCACGTCATTCGCCCCATGATCTCTCTGTCTCAGACTGTCAGCATTTCCAGTCATCCATGGAGCTCGGGGAACAACTTCAATAGTGAAGACTGACGAGTATGTAATGTGGGCCACAACCACTGATCTCAAACTGCCTGAGCATAATTAAAAAGGCTTGAGTTAAGCGAAACAAAACTCGAAATCATGGGCAGTAAAATGAACCTATTACATACCTGAACAGACCACACCAAACCATGGCATTGGTTCTGATAGAAAGAATTTAAACGGATAGGCACCGGATGGAGCTCTGAATTATAACTCGATCACAGGCACATGACCACTTGATGGACGGACGGCGGATCCATTTCCGGCGGTGTACAGTGGTGGAAGTCACTTCAGAGGTTGGATACAGGAAACTGCAAGACAACATAGGCCCACAGATATGGGCTGCCTAGAACTCAAAACATAGCCCAGAGAGCTCCGCAGAACACAGGCCCAGTAATATTGGGCCTATATATGCGCTTGCGTGTCCGGTGATCAAATCTTATTCTTGGTGCTACAGTCTCAACAGGCCCAGACGAAGGAGGGAATGAAAAGTAAGAAAGGAAAATTGCAGGAAGACGAATGAGTGAGATTTGGAGAACAGAATGAGCAGACCCATCGCCCATGAGAGTATTGTGAAGCCCATATGTGCCGTCCACAAGCCCATTTCTTCGATAACTGACTATAAGAGCAGGGGATGGTTAGCAGGCTGGTTGAAGTTGAAGCTGCTGTAAAGCTAAGAGAGATTCGCATTGTTGTCAATCGCTCTTTGTCTCGCTAGTGCGAACACTAGTGACTACGTTAATGCTTAATACTGACTGATTGTGGCCGTAAAAGCGTCTACATACATCTTTGTTCGATTTGGAAACTTGTGCCCTAAATCATGTACGTCATCGGTGACGAAAACATATCCACTGACGTTGTTGAAAGTGGCGAAGCTTCTAGTGCGTGAATTTTACTGATCATAAGCGCTATAAATTAGAGGCGATGAAACCGACGAACCACTCACTAAGAAGGAAATCCTGTGACAGAAGCCGCTTTCTGAAATTTCTGAGAGAGAAGTTCAATGGCCGCCTCGTAATTTATCTCACTCACTCCTATGCATCTGATTGTTCTTTGCGTATTTTTCCTCTGTATATGGTTTTTCCTTGTATTTTTATTTCGGAACACCGAGCTTTGGAAATGGTGTGCCATCTAAATTGAAGTCATAGTGGACTGTATTATCGATTCACTCTGTCTTCAAAATTTTAATCATTTTGCTAAATCTGGAACGTGTAGTGCCCTAACGGAAGATCGTCCCCCGGAATTGAATTCAGCTTCCGAGCCGCCACCTCTCTTCGATGGAACCACTCGGTATTCTTTCCACACCCTTATTTTCCTGTTCATTTACTTGTACGGACGATGATTGTTTAGTCATCTGCACACAATGCAAACTTTTGATCTGAATCATGCTTTCGATTGCATAGGCTATATATCAATTACCAGTGCCCATTCGCTCAGCGTACGTGGATCGTCAGGAACTATAAGGTATGATGTTTATTCCATAGCCCCTTTTGCTTGATATTTGCTATTTATCGCTTCGTTTGCTTGGTCTATCACTTCATTAAGATTTCAACGCTTGATTTGTTGAACTGATTGTATTCCTCAAATTCTACCCAGGGCTTACAGGATGAGATAAAATTGGTTCCTATAGACCTTCAAAATCGACCTGCTTGGTACAAGGAGAAAGTGTACCATGTGAATAAGGTATTTACTTTGATTACCTTGTATTCATCCCATTCTCTTAAGTTGTACCTTCGGACTCATATAGATCAACCTACTGTATACCTGTGCTAAATTTTAACTTTTATGCTTGTTCTACAATAGGTGCCGGCATTGGAGCACAATGGCAAAGTTATTGGAGAGAGCCTGGACTTGGTTAAATATATAGATGCAAACTTTAAAGGACCAGCTCTCTTACCTGATGTAAGATGTGAAATTTGGGTTTGCTATTATCTTTCTTTTTCTGTACGAACATATGGTTCACCTTTCCGATCTCTCATATAGTTGCTGATGCTCATGAATCATGATAATATTTTTGTGAATACTTTAGGATCCTGCCAAGCAGAAGTTTGCTGAAGAGTTGCTAGACTACTCTGGCACATTTTTGCAGAATGTCTACGGATCATTCAAAAGTGATCCCATCAAAGCAGCTGGTAAATCTTCAATCTTTATGCCTTAAAGGATCATAGATTTTAAGTTGTTTAAACTTATAACCTGTTATACCAGGAGCTGAATTTGATTACCTGGAAACTGCCCTCAGCAAATTTGACGATGGGCCTTTCTTTCTTGGCCAATTCAGTCAGGTGAGTAATTATTTTGATTGTACTCAAAGTTATTTTTGAGAACCCCAAAAAAAAAAAAAAAAAGGAAAGAAAAGAAAAGAATTTCACTCATCAATGTATATACAGGTAGAAGCTGTATATGCTCCATTCGTTGAGAGGTTTCAGATTTGGATTCAAGCACAATGGGGATATGATATTACATCAGGCAGACCAAAACTAGCCACATGGTTTCAGGTTCTTCCATCAGCATAATAAATTCATTCTTGCCTTCAAACAATTATTCTGCTTTACATTCCAATTTCCAGCTTGAATCGGATATCACCACATCTCCTCCTTGTGCAGGAAATAAACAAGATTGATGCTTACAAGCCCACCAAGTCCGATCCTGACTATCAAATCCAATTGTTCAAAAACCGATTTCTGGTATTCATTGCCTCCAAGCAATATTTTCATTTTCTTTAATTTCTCCTGTGGTACTTGATAAACTCTCTTTGCTCACTTGCAGGCCTAAAGATGAACGTGGATTATACTGCTGAAATAATGAAGGCTTATTTTAATATAGTGTGATTTCTGTAGGTTGCTTCTATTGTTGTGTGTTCTGCTATATGTTGTGTTTCATGAGCAACTTTGGTCTTAATAAGTAGGCTCAAATTCTGCAATCTAGTTATATACTATTCTCCATCTATTTAATTCTATTGCATATGTTTTTAATAATTTGATTATGGAATGAACAATAATCTGTGTCAAGTTAGACTGAACACGATGCTCTTGAAACGTCAGCTTAGAATTTGTCTGCGTTGGATACTCCTGACTTTTTGGTCACTTTATATATATCTATACGGCTGCAGCCTTTGATTTTATAAAGATAAACATCACATCATAATTTATATGAACAATAAATTATCTATATTAGTATAATATAAATAAAATCATGGTAAATTTTTCAATCAGCACAACTGCCTCCCTATTTTATATATATATTTATATAATGTGCATTTCGTCGAACATGACTTTTGTCTCAATTGAACTGGGAAAAGGAATTTTGAATATAATTATTCCAGCTTGCGTGGGATAGTGATGGTTTGTAAATAAGAAATCCGTGAAAGTCAAACATAAAATAAAAAGAATACATATATATTTGGTGTGAAGAAATAAAATTTTGATACAATAGTTTTTGAAAAAAATAATAATAATAATAATAATAAATTCTTAAAAAGTATTCGCAAAGAGCCTAATATCCTGCTTCCTCTGTTATATTTTGATTGATTTTAATTTTTTTTTTTTAAAGTAAAAATGGAAAGTGTTTTAGATATTTTAAAATTAGCGAACTTCTCAGCTAATGGCAAAAAGAATGGTAGATAAGATGGGTAGGAATCATGTGACCACATCAGATATTTGAGTCTGTTTTTATTCTCTTTGGATCAATTATCTGGCAAACAAATTCCCCAAATTGGCGTCTGATACATAGAAAGTTCAAAATATTACTCATAATATCAGATCATTCCTGAAAATGGATTACATACATGTATAAGCATACAATACTCAACACGAACGTCGCACTACAAGCCAACAATTCCTCACAAACCCAGAATCCACAAAGAACCAAAAACATCAGGCCAAAAAGAGACACCAATGTGGCCCTTTCAATATATTATCATCCAACAGTACCATGTTTTCTGGCAGCAGCTTCTCCTTTCGTCGATCTCGGCGGTGTCCCGCGCTGCAGGTCCCGAACATACTCCCCTGTCTTCGCCTCGGCGTCGTGCTTCTGTGCAGACAAGTATGTCAAGGCTGTGACAACATCGGCAATCATGGGCCTTAAATTAGGCTGTTCCTGCACACACATTTCCGCTACTGCAAGGGCTTGGTATAGCCCCCGGATCGGGTACTCGCCCTCCAGCGCAGGATCCGCAATCTGCACAAACTTCCTCTTGTCCCTTAACAACGGTCTCACCTGTCAACATGTTAAACATTTCACCTAAAAGTTTAACCTTGTAGGAATATGCTTCATTATTACAAGAGGGTCATACCCATGCAACGAGGTTATGCTCGCCTCCTGTTTTCGAACTATTGACTGCTTTCCTCCCGGATATGATCTCAAGAAGAACAACCCCAAAACTGTAGACGTCCGACTTCAGTGTCAGCTGCCCTGTCATGGCATATTCGGGTGCACAGTATCCATACGTGCCCATTACGCGCGTGGACACATGTGTGTTGTCCCCCACAGGCCCGACTTTGGCTAACCCAAAGTCGGATAGCTTCGGATGGTACCCTTCCCCAAGCAAAATGTTCGAGCATTTCAGATCGCGGTAGATAACGGGAGGGCTAGCTTTGTCGTGCAAGTACTCCAACCCCTTTGCAGCTCCGGCTGCAATTTTCATCCTCGTGTTCCAATCGAGCTGTTTCTTCCCCGGCACTGGATCTGCAATATTGGTAAAAACAGTATGTTATCAAACATTTTATGAGCCAAAATCTGTTCAACCCTCAAATGTTATCAATAAGAACAGTAGATTCTTGAAGTTCAGCTAATATGAAAAAGCATATATAAGCCAAACAATTTCATAACCTACCGTGAAGATGATTCTCAAGAGAACCTAATGGCATGTATTCGTAAACCAGAAGCCTCTGATCCCCATCAGCGCAGTATCCGATTAAATTGACGAGGTTTGGGTGGTGCAATAGGCTCAACATCAACACTTCTACAAGGAATTCCCGGTTCCCTTGCAGACCATTGCGGTCGAGCTGCTTGATCGCTACAATCTACATGAACACATATATAAATGGATCAAATGTATGTGTATTTCTAATTCACAGGATATAAACATCTACATATATTTAGAGATATATACTTTATTATAGCCCTCAAGCTGTCCTTTGTACACTCTACCAAAGCCTCCCTCTCCTATAAGACATCCGGCCCGGAAGTTCTTTGTTGCAGCTGCCATTTCGCGGAAAGTGAAAGTCTTGGCTGCTATTTTGTTGGAGGATCCATCTTTAGGGGTGTCTTTCAGCTTAACTGAAGTCGAATTTTGCAAAATATCATACTGTATAAATAATTCTCTCAACAAGAATGATATATGTTTCTTCTCCAAAGCATCAATCCATCTTTGAATGACAAATGATTTTCTCAAATTAAGGAAGGAAACATGGCAAGTTGTGAATCAGTGCCATACAACAATAACAGGGTAAGAGCTCATGTTTGTATTCAATTAGGCAACAGAGCAGTGAATTATTCTACAAAATAAGAGAATCCAAGAAAACAAAACAGAATTTCGAAGAAACCCCAAATTCAAAATATATGATAAACAAAAGGCTATGCTCTGATATCCCAACAGCTATTTGTTCTGAAGAGGGTTCAAAACTGAAGAAACATCAAGCAAGGGTTTAAGAAATAAGAACCAAACCCCAACAGATGATCGATCTTACATGTTTTCAAAAATCTTTTTTGCCCTGCTTTTTTATTTTCGTCTGTCTTCCTAAATCAATACAGAGCAATCGATTTTAATGGTTAATACTGACCAGAAAGCCATACCTGAAACGGGCTCAATAGGTTCAAGGGACTTGTTCTTCTTCCTCGTCACTTTTGATGCCTGTTTTGAACTTGATTGCCCTGAGCATGGGAACCATCCCATTTGCCCTCTCTCTCTCTCTCAAAACACCCACAGTTCTTCTCCTCTGATGTTTAGAGATTGACTGACAAATTAGTCAAAAACACACACAGCTACATAAGTGCAATTGCCAATTGGGAAGAGAGTACGGAATACAAGAAAGACCCTGCAAAATGATTCTGTCATATAATGATAAGAAGAAAAAGACATCCACATTTAAACAATTAACCTTTCTTAATGGCTTTATTTAGAAAAAGCTTGTGTAGGTTGGATTGGACTTGCAGCAATACAAATTACAAATGTCTTTTCCTGCCCTAAACCCCTGTCCTCTTCCCTGTTTAAACTTTCCACTTCCCACTGTTCTCTCCTCTGATTTTGACAAGCAATCTTTTTTAACAATCGTAGTTGGAATTGAAAGGGTAATGATACCAAGTTCTAGAGAACAAAAAGACAGTCCAGATTAAAAAAAAAAAAAAGATTCACAATCAAGATAAGTTTTTTCCATCTTAGGTGTTCAAGAATGTGAGTTAATAATGCCATTGAGATTGTCCCGTTGTCCCATCATCAATAGTGTGATCAAGGACAGCAACATATCTGCAGAAAATATTTTGCATTAACTGCGTGGAATTGCGGGGGTACATGCAATGGAGACAGCATTTATTTATAGTTTTCAATATGTTCATCTCTCTGTCTATTTGAATTTGATTCCATGTTTGATTAAATTGTCAATTTTTGCAAGTTGCAAAGAATTGTAATGAATTTCTTACCTGAATTTAAAGTTTTAGTGTTTGTTTGGGGCAGTTGACCTGCTAGTTGAAGACTTGAAGGGAGGGGTGTATCATGTATGTGCATATACCATTACTGCTTTGCACATTTGTTCTTTGAGTAGTGTGCCATTAATTTTATCATCAATAATTGGAAACTGTCAATACATTTTTTTAAGGTGAAAAAATTGACCTTTTAAAATAAATAAATAAAGTTTAGTAATTAGAAAATCAAATGGGATGGGCCTGTGATGTGGGCCTAATTTATGAAAATAGTCTAAGCCCAATTTAAGTTGCGGAAATTTCATTTCACCGCCTTACTTAAACAGCTGTGACGTCTCCTTCTAAATTTACCGCACACGCAACGACCTTTATGGTTTTAGACTTGGTGTTGGTTGGAGATACATATCTCAATATGCATGCATGCATGCATTATGGTGCACCGCCGCCCAGGTTTCCTGTATTTGCTCTTAATAGGCGTCAGTCGCAGCGGAGGTGACTACGAAAGAGTAGTTGAAGTTTGAAGAGTTATCGAGGTTAGTTTAATTTCCCGTTCGATTAGTTTTCTTTCTGATTTGAGTTTTGTTGAACTTTTCGAAATTGATGTCGTGCAATTCTTCATCTTGGATTATCAGTTCTCTTCTCCTCAGACTCTGTGGAGCATGTCTGGACTGGACATTGTAGATTTGATCTCAATTAATGATACAGGTACATTTTGATTAAGCGATCGGTTGAATTTGCTAGTTATTGTGATGATCTGATTTAGGTTATAAAACTTCTATCATATTTGCCGTTAAATCTTATTAATATTAGCGTATGGAAAGGTATGCAAGTCTTCTTTGACAAACAGATCTTATGACTAATTAGGCATTTATGGTCCTTACTACTATGGAAAACTTTTGAGCCATGTGGAAATTATTCTAAGCTACTTATTCGTTGGATTTATTCCTGACGTTGATGAACTTTTCCTGTATTAAAAAGTATCAAACATCAAATGAATATAATTTCCCTCAAATCGAGACATGTCAACGACTAAACAGACTTGTTTCTCACATTAACACTTGATCCTCAGAATTAGGGAGAAAAGATTCATAATGGCAGCATTAGGATTTCATCACTGAAATAAGAACTAATTCAGAATATAAATCCCTTAAGTAACTCTTAGAAGAGTATGTGTGATAGAGACTTGCGGAACAGGAGCAACCAAAAGTAACAGAAAGTACTCTTGCTAAACCTATACAAACAACGCTTAACCAAGCACAAGATGTCAGGATCTAAGTTTGAATTGCAATGAACAGTTCGTTCCTACAACCAGAACACTTGTTATTTATAACTCTGCTGTCAATCTGGCAGTGCTCAAATAAGATTCTGTAACAAGCATCAACAAAATCAACCCTGAGAGTCTGCATCAACTTTTTCTGCACAAGGAAAACTAATATCAGAGGCATAGTGGCACTGGGTGGAGGAGTGATTGTAATTATTCATCTTCGTTTCTGCTTGCGCCATCTGGCCCCGTTTGCTTTACAAACTGTCCTCTAACTCGAGGCCTCTGCTCTGCTATTTTCTGCCTGTTTTCATAACGAACCTGAACAAGACTTCATGTCAGCAAATAACCATGGCAATAACAAGAGGGAACAAATCATCCCCCCAAAAAAAGGACAAATTCCATCTAAATGGGGAGAATAGTAGCAAGGAGTTAAAAGCAAACAATTTTAAAATACTTCAGTTACTGCCTTACACAAGAGCAATAAATGGTCAACTGATCTATGAAGTAACTGCTATTTTTGTAGGTAGATGGCTAAATTCTTTAACAGCAATGCAGAAGAATTTTCTATGTTAGGTAGTATACTCTACCAGAAACCACATATATTTTTGGCACGAGGAATCTGAGCTATGATAGATGTTTTAGAAAAAGATAGTTAACAAACTTTGTAAGACCATTTTTTGAGCATTAAGAACTTCATAACCCACAAGAACAATTAGTTAATAACAAATGTAGAATTCACTGAGAGGGCAGGTACTAGAACCATCCAGAATACAGGAAAGGTTACCCGAATGGTATACTCGCCTGAAGTTCCTTTAGGGTAAGACTATGGTTCACAATCTCTAAAATAAAAGAGAACTCAAGTTGATATGCTTGTATGTAATGTGACTATAAGCACAAATCTTATTCCCTAGGCTTCTTAATATTGATACCAACACAAGTAAATCATTATGTTTTATTTGGGAGTTATCGCAAAGTTGAGCTTGTGCCACTTCAATTGATTTAAAATGCCAGAAAATGCTTTAAACTATGGACTTTAAGAAAAAATGGCCAGCAAATTTCAAAACCTTTTTCTTAAAGCATCTTTCTTTCCTCTTCTGACGGAACTTGATCAAGGCAGCTTTTCGCTGTGCAAGCCTGTTTTCGTCGCCCCTATTTCCACAACCACTGCCACTAGCATCTCCATTTCCACTCTTCCCAACTTGACCTCCATCACTTTCTGCATTGTTTACTCCATTGTTAACAGCAGTGCTGCTTCCATTCTGTCCCGTGCTTCCATGATTACTTCCTGAGGCACTTCTGTTCAAACTACTGTTTCCAATGTTGACATCTGTTGGTCCATCAAAAACATTTGTTGACCCACAATGTGGAGCATCTACACTCAGCTTCTCCAAAGATGATGACGATGGCTGATTTTCCCTCTGGTACTGATTGTGGGGGCGATGACAGTAATTTTGGTGATGAGGATGCTGAATTTGAAGTTCCTTGTGTGAACCTCTAAGAGGTACTAAACCCGTGGAGGGAATACCATTGGGCAGGAAATTAATGTCCTGTTGGCTGTATTTGATATCAGTTTTGAATGCAGACGACTGCAGGCAATTACTTGCTGATGCTTCAGACCTGTCTTTAGGAAGTCTATTAGTAGTGGAGCCCATGTCCATGTTATTGCCAACTCCATTCAAGCTTTGACATAAGATAGGTTCAGATGAATAGCCAATAGATTCTCTTTTTGCTACTTCTATGCTATTGTCGTTAATGGAACTGTTGCTGATGATCCCAGTTGGAGCTTTGAGAATATTTGTGGGCGAATTATACCTGCATGAAAAGAATAAAACAAACAAGATTGCAGATTCTAATACTAATGAAAACAGAAGATCAATTTCAGTATCAGCAAAAAACTAAATAAATACATTCTAATCATCCTTTCTTTTCAAACCTTGAGAAAGCAGATTGCTCAGATCGGCGTAGAACAAATCGATCATCTGGAACTGATCTGACAGAGTCCTGATCTCCTCTAACTCTCTTTAAGCTCAACTCACAGTTTGGCTCCTTAGAATCATCAGTTGCAGTGTTGTTGATGTCCAATACGTTGGCAACTTTTCCAGCAGATTCACATTCCCTACTGATGAGATCATGTTGCGTTTCAACAAAATTTTCTGATTTAGATTTCACATCCCTATGGTCGATAGTATCCAAGTCCTTGCCCTTCTCAACATTGTCTACACAACACATATTTAGCCTCAGATAAATGATAAAAAAATAAGAGAAAAAGAAGCAAAGTAAATCCATCACCATCACCAGAATGTTTTCGTCGGTAGCCCTTTGTATCGACACTAATTTGCACATTTTTGTTGTCAGAATTCTCGGCATTTGACCGAATAACTTGTGCGCAAGTGCTGTCTTGGCAGTCAGCTACTTGATTCATGTGAGATAAATCATGAGAGTTGTCAGCTTCTACAGCTTGTTTTGTCCAAGAACTCTGCAAAATACTCAAAAGTTAAACTTGGCTACACTAAAGATAGTTATTATAACTGTGTAAACAGAAAGTCCAGGTGTAAACAAAAAGAAGTAAAGAACTGTTACCACCTGTGCTCCACTCCCATCATCACTTGCATCTCCAACATTTAAACCATTACTCCCATCGTTTTCCCCGCCATCACTTGCACTATTACATGGTTTCTCACTGCCTTTTGATTTCACAGATTTTTGAGTTTGTGTGCCACTTTCGCTCCCACTTCCACTGGACTGAAGAGTACATGGTGTCAAAAGAAAATTCTAGATGTAAATCTAGATAACCTTGTATAATGATTGTTCATTCTAATGAAGAATACATTAAAAACAATGGAATAGTCCTCCAAAATTGTGTCCACTTAACATGGCTGATAGATTAGTCTCTCTTCTAGAAAGGCGAAATTATGTTTAAGGAAAAGGTTTGTTCCAGTGACCACAAAGAAGCTAATACCTTTAATAAGTTTATTTTCGATATTATGAATTAACAAAAGTTATAAAGAAATGAACCCTGTCACGACTACCCACATATTCTGGGTTTTCTGAGCTACATCCTCTATAATAGCACATGTCAAGTGAACACCAACTAAACATATTGTCGGTTCCAGAAATCAAGGCTAATCCATAGTATGAAAGAACAAGTTTGGATGACTCACACTGTGGCATCTTCTCCATACGTGTTGCCAAAGGTTCTTAAGCTCGTTCTTCCTTATAGGCTTAACCAAGAAGTCAACCGCACCTTTTGACAAGCACTTAAAGACTAAACCCATAGAATCAATAGGTGACATCACTGCACATAAATATCATAAATATTGTCAGTGCTAACAGAACATACTATGAGGAACAAAACTTTCTACAGGGGTAATCATTACTCACTAATCACAGGAATATTCTTCCGAATATTGTGGCTCATAATCTTCAACAGAAGACCAATTCCAGATAATCCTGGCATTGCTACTTCTGTCAAGACAATGTCAATGTGATTGTTCAAATCTTCTAAGATCTTCCATGCTTGCACTCCATTAGCTGCCACTAGAACTGTATTAAACAGTCAAGGAGAGAAACACTTAACTAGAGTAGAGTATGAAACTTCAGTTAGCATCATATCACGACAGCTAAGATATTCCCTCTTTTCAGTTGTACTTTCTCCACAATTCAAGTGTTATTCGTGGGGAAACTGAAAAATGATGGGCTCGAAAAACGTATTCTTTTGAGATCTTACAAACTACTTCAAGATATTTATGGAGCTGGTGGAATACTTATAAATATCTTCCAAAAAGGCATTAAATGATTACTCATGTCCCCAGTTTAGACACAACCCAACAATCACTTTAGTATCCTGTACAGGAAAGATCTTTTTAAGACATCTCTTATTATATACCTTCATAGTTGCAGTTTCGGAGCAGAGCAGTTACAACATGTCGCGTAGAATCATCATTCTCAACCAACAAAACCCAAATGGACCTCACATGTAGAAACCTCTCCCAGCACACCACAGTTCCCTGTGGTTGCTGCTGTTGCTGCACCTGCAAACCGACCCGCCCATGTACCCCACTGGTGCCTCCATGTTTTTCGATCTGATTGGATGCATTAACCTTCAATTCATTGACCTCAGTCAGACTTTTTCGTTCTCTCACTACCCCAGCTCCGATGTTCTTGTCCTTATCTGGCGATTCCTTTTCTCCGTCAGCATCAGCATCCATCACACTCCCTGCCAAGTGTCAACAGATCCAAACAGAATGTCAATGAGGTAAGTGGTGCACTTAACTCACTTAACCCTCTTTCTCACAAAGCCTCTGCTAAACATTTATAGCTGAAAGCTAACTCGTAGCTCTTGCTTGGCCCTTAATCCTACATTACAAAATCATTTGACTTACCAAGAAAACAGTCAAGCAATGATCAAATGAACACAAACATTGTAAGCAAAATTAGATAGCCAACTCCTTACTTCCACACTTAAAAATACCCGAATGAAACCTTCTTAGCCTTTTCGATGAAGAATCCTCAACTTCTTATTGCTTCTCCATATCATAACGGTTGAGAACAAAACAAAGCATCGGCCAGAAAATTATATAGCTCCAAACCCTAATCCTCGTCTCCTGCACGGTAATTGTTCCCTAATTATCATATAAAAACAAAACAAAATCCTCAACTTTAACACCAACATGTTATTATAGATCATCAATATATGTTCCTGCCAGTCTTTGGGAGCACAAAACTCGAAGAAACAAAACCCCTTCAGTGTAAAATTTATAAGTCACAAAATAAACACTGCTCAGCTCAAAAAGATCCTCTTTTCGTGAAATCAAACAAATGGTTTGAAGCAGTACTTACCTTGAGAGCCCAGAGTCTCAAGCTGAATCCATAGTCAAACGATTTCAAACTCCACACACAAAATTGGATAGAAACAAATTGAACAAACCAAAAGAAGTATAAAAACGAACAGAGCCTCTGAACAATTAAATCACTCCACAGAAATGTTGCAACCGAATTGAGAAGAATGAAACGAAATTAGGGTTCCATTCAGATTTGCCCTTTTTCGTGGGGATTCGTTTTTCGTTCTTCCTGTTTAAAAGAGAACAGAAGGGAAAACGATACGAAGAAAATTGGAAGAAAAGGAAATTGTAAGTGCTACGTAGGAAGATGACCTGTTCTATCTGTAGGTTTTTATTAAGACACGTAGGGTCCTGGTTGAGCCATGTAGATTGGTTAGTGGTGAGTGTATTGATGACGTGGACAAAATCTAAATGAGAGAGCTGCGGGGCTTCGGGCCAAATCAAAACAGATTTGGAGCCTCAGAACAGGCGGACACGTGGTAAAACTCAAAGAAAATATCTCGACCTAACGGTGAAAATAACGCCGTTATGCTAACGCCTTCAAAGGAGTTGAGTTCGTGAAGGCGGTTTTCTATAGAAGAAGCCTGTGTAGGTGGAATGACGTAAATGCCCTCCCAAATATAGTTTATTTACAACCACATGTAAATTCATGTGTGGTTAGGCAGAAATTTCTGAAAATAAAATTCAACAAGGAACTAGACGAACCGGTTTGATAATATATGATTTCTTTATTTGTTAAAATTATTGTTTTAAATTTATATATAATTTATTTATTAGTAAAAATATATATTTATTTATAATTTTATTATTCTTAATCTTATTTTATAATAATAATAATTTTGTCCTATTGCATGTTTAACAATAATCATATTCATATTTTATTTTTTATTTATCCCACTTGTATATTAAAATAATATATTTTGTAATTTCTTTATTTAAACAAAATAGCGTCGAATATTATAAATCATTTAATATATTTATATAGTCCATATTTTTTAATAAATATATATATTGAACAAATAAAATTAATTTAAATTTATTTATAATTTAAAATTGATATAAATTAATAATATAAAATCAAAAGCATTCTAAAGCGATTGTTCTTTAATAATTTAATTATATTAAAAAGTATTTATATTTATAAGACACTTGCAAGTATTATATAGAGTGTATTCTTTTTGTCAAAAATATTCAATATATTTTTTAAAAAATTAATATATTATACATATTTATTTTTCTTTTTATTATCTATACAATTTTTATACCTCACATAATTTATTTTCTCAATTTAATTTATATATTATTGAGAAAAAAAAAAAACCAAAAAACCCAAAAAAAACAACTAACAATCTCATTGGATATTTTCAAAATTTTGCATATTATTATGTTTGACCCAAAAATTTATCCTTGAAGAATAGCTGCAACGAAACCCGCACTAAAAGAAAACAAAGGAAAAAAAAACATTTCAGATTGAAAATTCAATTTATTAATTAGAGTCATCTGCATCCCAACTGTAAAGACGAAATTCTGCCTTAAATAGGTTGCAGAAGCATGATCGCATGAGGCATGCATATATTAAGTCCGGCTTTAGAATTGTATGCTCCAATACTTCATTGGAACACGTTTCTGGATTACAGAAATTTGGAATGACATATATAGTAGGGAATGTGTGGCCCTAGTTGGTAGAGGTTTCTAGTGAGGTGGGCAGCCATATGAAATTGCCATGGGAAGGTGAACCATGTGAAGAAAATTCAATATTTTTTAAAGTTAAATAGATCCTGTTTTGGGATCTGATATGATGATACGTGAAAAAAAAAAAAAAAAAAAAAAAAAAAAGAAGATGATGCAAAAATAGATATAATTTGATTGGTGATACAAGAATATTTATTTAGTATTTTTTTGAGGTCTATAATAGGTAAATTTTAAAAGTTAAACTATCTTTGTTTTTTATTTATATTTTCATAAATGAACTATAGATATAAAATTATCTCTTAAAAATATTACATTTAAAATTTATATTTGAAAATATTATATCAAAAAGCTATTTTCTACTCAAAATATTACCTTCAATACATTTATAAAATATAAAATTAAAAATCTAAAACATATCTAAACAAAGATTGGGTGGAATGATCAAATAGCTAATATTGCTTCATACTCGAGTGCATCCTGGGTTAGGTAGATTCAAGCATAAATAAGAAAAAAGCACGTGTTAATATGATTAGAAAAAAGCACGGTTAATATGATGCTTCAAGCATAAGTTAGAAAAAAGCACGTGTTGATAATGGTGCTTTTTGCCTCGTATCTAAATTTGGATTGGAATCGGTTTCTTGTCAATGTTGTTTCTTAAACATTTTCCAGCACGGAAAATGTTGATTGAATTTGGCAAAAAGTATAGCAGAGAGTTGAGAAGGGTGATCTGTGGGTATGTACATGATCATGATCGAGAAAGGAAGATATGATCTCAAACTAGATTGTAAGTGGAAATGGAATGATTACAATAATATAAAAACAATGGAAGAGACAAGAGTGCTTTAATCTTACTTGCTATCTGTCAAGGCCATTGAATTGGACAGACTAAGAGCTGGCTGCAGGGATCTTCTGCATTTTTGTGGTGTAGAAGATCATCAGAAGCATAATTTTGTGCTTTTCATTGTGCTGCAACACAGAAAGGGGATTAGCAAATTAGAATGGGTTTGTTTTCAAGAAACATTTCTGATGAAGGTGAAGTTGATGATGAGAGATTGAGATTTGTTTTCCTATAGGGATATGCTCATATAGTTGATCTAGGATAAGTACGGATACCTAATTTATGCGGTTGCGTTTTGATTATATGGAAAATCTTAAAAGTTTTAATTTTTTTTTTAAATAATTAAAAATTAAATATTTGATAATGTTTTGCATAAAAATAATTATTTGATTTTAAAATATATATATATATTATTAATGAATAATATCAAAAATTTTAAAAGTATCTTAATAAATAAAACTTAAAATTTTCGGACATTGTCATAGTTGATTGTAGCTGATACTAACGACTTAAACTTCACATACAGCTTTTTGTTCCATTACTTTACATCTTTTATATACAACTTAAGGTGAAACCCACAACCACTGTCCGAAAGTACTCACAAGATAACTACAAATTATTTAGAGATTCAGTTTTTATATATTATACTTGTGTTATAGCTTCACTTTATTTCTTTCTATGTATCTTGGTTATTATAAGGGAAAAGAAAATATAATACAGTCATATCTCCTTTCTTCTCATATTATGTGTAGGCACTGTTTTTTGTACTCAAAATAGGATAAAATCACCAAATGGACTATAACAGAAAGTTCTGCAATTTTTATCAAAGAATTACATATAGCCAGCTATCTATTTTGTTATAATGCTATTACATCAAGAACTTCCCAGCTCATATGAACAATGTAATGAATGGGGGGAGAAATTTGAGAGAATGCCTTAGAGAGTGAAGATGGAGAATGAACAATTACTTGCTGGCATAGAATCTTGTTATTGTTGATGCACCACTCCGTCGTCGTGACCAATGATGCAATGACTCCCTGGTCACCATCAGTCTTCGTGGAACTATAGGTCTTCTAGTAGGAGATTTCATTGATGTTTGTGGAGGCGAGCCACTTATTTCACGTAACTGAAGCCCTAAATCATGCTCCACGAGTCGAACAACAGATTCCTTAACTCCAATCCCATCTTTGGACAAAGGACAACTTGTTTCCTGCTGTCCTAATATGATCAATACGTCATCTTGGATTGGATTCCCTGCATATAATAAGAGGGTGTTCTTTACAATATAGCACTTCAGTCTGCCACCAAACATACATTTGGCTATATTTGTTTCAAGATAAGGATATAAAAGCTTGGGTTGTTCCTAACAGGGCTTAAGAAAAAGCATTTCATTAGTTTGAAAGGATAGTGTTTTCTCACCCATAATATGCTTCTCTTTGATCATCCTCAGAACTGCAAGAACTACAATCCGAGCTTCCACCTGTTGCATCGAAAAAATAAATTTATCAAATCAAGATATCCTTTGGTTAAATAGAATCTACACAAGGAACAAAACTGACTATTCAGGCCATTACAGTGTAGTGCATGGAAGTAAATCAAATCAAGAATTAAAATGACTTCAACAAAGATATTCAGAAACAACATGGTTTAAATTAAATAATATTCGAGACGATGCAGAGCAGTTCCACTAGACACCACCTATTCACAGTTTTGGCAGGTACATACCTTTGTGAGACCTCTGAGGTCAATGGAGAGACTTTCATTATTACTATTTTGCAGGTGTTCTGCAACTTTTTCAAGCAGGAGACTTTGAGGCCCAAAATCTTTTGTATGGGAAGGTAACCAAGCTTCATTTTGATTCTCAGTTTGTATCACACCTTCACACCACTCCTCGATCAGTTGCTTGAGATAGTAATCATTAGGTCTGTATCTGCAGAAGGTTGGTCGAAGCAAATGGGGATTAGGATGGACTACAGAAACTCAGCACACTGCTGGTAAAGAGAAGAATCCAATCACAAGCTGCATACCCTGCTTTCCTCATTTCCTGATAAACAGCCAGGCATTGTTGTACTTCTTGCAGCGAACCATATCTACTCCGAGCACGAAGAATTGTGTTGTAAGTCACCTGAACTGAAAACTTTGAGGGTGTGTACGTATAAATTTGCGCAACAGTTTCTTATCGTATTGTGGCAATGCCCAAAAGTGTACCATATTTGGTTTTATGTGATATTTCCTCATTTCTGCAAATAATGAAAATGCCAGCTTTGGATTCTTATGTTTCACACAAACCTGGAGAGTTGAAAAGAAGGAACTATAAAAGGTTTATGTATCTTGCCATGGCGAATTTACAACAGTAAAAGAAGCTGATAAGAGTTTGTAATTAGTAAATCCATGCACCTTAATAGCTGTGGTATATGCAACAACATCAGGTTGAATACCGGCTTGCCGCATCAATCTCAATATCTGCAATGCAAGAAAGCAGTTTATATTGGCACTATCTCCATGTTTTTCACATGTAGCAATCTGGAAAATGCTAGCAAAGCTATTCATCATTGACTGTGGTACTTACATTTATGGCTTCAGCTAAATTTCCGGAGCCTCCGCAAACATTAATCAATATTGACCAGGTCATTTGACTAGGAGAAAGACCAAAAGTGATCATTTCATCTAACAGAGCTTTGGCACGAAGATGATCAGTGCCGCATGCTTTCATCATTATATTATATGTAGAAGTAGTGGGCCTAAATGGAACTCTTGAGGCTATGTGTGTGTATTGTCTGCTTGAAACACTGGTTAGGTCCTTTCCAGCATCTTCCTGAGTCATTGTTTGTTGAAAACCTGTTTCTTTCCAGGAGTGGAATAGACGAAATGCACGATCATATTGGCGAACCTCGACACATGCTTGAAGAAGGATATTGAAGCACTGCGAATTGGCTTGAGCACCAGCTTGAAGCATTTCCTCAAATAACGTAATAGCTTTCTCTACCTGGCCTGCACTCGCACATGCACTGATCAACGAAGACCACGTAATGGTGTTGGGAGAAACACCAGACGACGCCATATCTTCCTTGATTCCTAGTGCCAATTTCCACATTTTGGCATCTGCAAGGACCTGGATTTTGAGGAAAACTTAGACATGCTCGGTCATGTCTTTCTGCACAGTGCACATTGGGTGAACAACATACAGAGTGACCGAATAATGTGCACAATGAGAATCGAAAATCAAAGTGGCCTATATTTGACTTGAAGCAGCATTCGTTATTTGGTCACTGTAGACGTGATGCCTAAATGGAAAAGGTAGTTTACTACTATGCCCACTTTGCAATAAATTTCATCTAGGTAAAAATGTATAGCAAGAACTCAGCAAAACAGAAACCCAAATCTCATCTCCCTACAGATACCTACAAGAGATGCTTGATTATGTTATATATCACTTAAATTCTTTATCACTACTCTTGCTAAAGAGTTCAACACATGTTTATTAGCGAATGATCTAATACACATGGAGTAGCCAGAAGTCCAAGATGAAACGATACCTTAATCATTGTACTGTACGTGAAGACATCTAGTTTCAATTCTCCTTCTGACTCCAATCTCTGCATCTCCTTATAGATACTTTGGGCAAGTTCAACTTTTGCAGCAAGGCAGCATGATTTCAAAACTATGTTGTGAGATGTAATGTCTGCTGTCACCCCAAGTTTCTGGAGATGGATAACCCAAGTTAAAGTTGCTGATACAAGATTTCATGTGACAAGAAACAGACAGGATAAACATGAAATAAAGTCGGAAAGGAACTGAAACCCTGCGTCATATGCATGTGGAGAAATTGAAAAGAAAGCCTCAAAAGGTTGTAGGATCTAAGAGATAAGAAAAGTGACATTACTTCCATTTTCCGGTAGATATCCAGAGTGTAGTTCAGATCGTGAGCATTTACATTCATAAGACTATTCAAAACATATGTGTTTGGGATGACATCTCTGGCGATCAACTCCTGCAGCAAGATACATCCATATACACTCATTATAAAAAAATATAAGAATTATATTGAGAAGTTATTCTGGAGAATACATTTGCTACATTTAAGATGCCGATACATATAAAATGCCATCAGATCAGGTAGTAGAGTTGCAGAACCTTGGGCATACAAAAGTAAATGAAATGTGCTGAGATATCTAGCATCCATACCTCATAAATGACTCTTGACTTCAAGTAGTCTCCACAAAGACCACAGACATCTATTATTGAGCGGAGCACATGCATGTTTGGAGTACTCAATTGCTTCGATGCTTCAAATGCTCTAAGAGCAGACCCCAAATCCTTTTTCTTCCCAAATTCAAGAATTATGGAACAAACCAACATTTCTGCGTAACTGAAATTTTGTGCAAACCTGGAGAAGAAAGATGAAGAGATTATGATACTTTATCATGTCCGTGTTGGTGAATCTTGTTAAGTCTAAACTACATTCACCCAAAAAAAAAAGAATACTTATGAGATGTTCCATTTTCACACTCTTGATGAAAGAGAGGTGCCAAATATATACAGATAGAGGAACTTCAAAGTGACATGAATTGCAAGTTAAATAATTGTTATAATAAACGAAATATCAATACCTAAAGCACTAAAATATCAATTCCAACAATTATATGCAATATTTTCAAGTTGTTAAACCCAAATAAATCTTCATCACATAAACAGAAACTATATATAAATAAAGTAGCGATAACACAAACCTTATGGCTGCAATAGGATCTCTCCTGGTGATGCAAAGGTTTATGACATCAGATGGCTTTGCTAATTCTTTGATAGGAAATTGAAATCCTGAAGATGAAGAGAAAGAAGCATTGCTCAGATTTTTATTTTATTTTATTTTTTTTTTCCTCACATTTTCCTCATCCATCAACAAATTGTGGCTAATTTTTAACTAATAAGACATCTTCACAATTTCTAGATCACCTTTTCAATTCAATTCAGATTGCGTTTCATTACTAAGTTACCTAGAAAATGCTTAATTAATGCTAATCTTCACGAACTAATCTAATTACCAGCAAGAGTTTCCAACAAGCTTACGAGTTGCTCCAGGTTCTCGCATTTCAACAACCTACTGCACTCTCTTCGCAGCGACTCCATGGCAGCTTTATCGAACAGTTGCACCGGCTCAATCCCTAACTTCCGAGCACCATGTGACAGTGTATTAATAGCCGAATCAACATATACTTGGTCAATCAATTTCATTACTCCGTTCGCGACGCTTTCGCCATCTAACAATGCCAGAATCTCCGACACTTCTACCCCCGCGGCGACCGCAGTTTCCATAATCGTCAGAAAATCCTCGAACCTCCCATCCTCTGCGTGCTTCGAGGCTAGCTCGGTGTAGTATCTCAGACTTCGATGATCGTCCCATCGAGAGTGGGAAGTAAGAGGAGAAGCTGCAAATTGGGGTTTAGACTTGGGATTAGGGTTGCGCGAGGGCTTGGTAGTGGTGGTTGAGGAGGAATGGCGGTGACGCCGGCGGTCTTGGCGGGGAGGCGCGACTGAGGAGGGAAGGGCGGTGGCGGATGAGAGGATCGAAAGTGCGCCTCTCATTTCCTGGCCAACCGTTTATTTTTTTTATTTTTTTCCTGTTGCTGGTAAAATGGGAGAATTTAGATGTCGTTTAATTCGGTTCAGATTGTCGTTTGGTGGCTCGGGAAATCGAAAGGCGGGTGTTTCACAGCACAAGGCGCATATCGGATTGATAATTTTAAAATCACTCGCCATATAATATTAATATATACTATATAATATATAATATATATTTTATATTTTTATAAAAAAATATTATTATATAAAAATTATTATCTTTTTTATTTTACATTAAAAAAAAATAGTTTAAATCAAAACACTAACCAAACAAACGGTTTATTTTATTTTATTTGTGAAAGTGCGATTTCGGTGAAAACGTTTTATTCAGTCATATATGGGCTTTTATTTGTTGGGCCTAAAATATTACAATTGGACTTTAAAAGCCCATATAAAATAAGGCCCGTTATAGACATGTTCATATATATTGAACCTGCCTAAAATTTTTCACGCAGTCGAAACCCTAGTTTTCACTCTCTGTGAGGTTCGTGCAATGGCCGCCGCCGCTCGCCCGCTGGTCACCGTGCATGGCCTGGAGAACGACATGGTTACGGACGGTGGTGCCGCTGCCAATTCGGTGCCTCTTCCTGATGTCATGAAGGCGTCCATTCGCCCTGATATTGTCACGTTTGTTCACGGCCAGATTTCGAACAATGCGCGACAGCCTTACGCCGTCTCGAAACGCGCCGGACACCAGACTTCTGCGGAATCGTGGGGTACTGGTAGGGCTGTTTCTCGTATCCCCCGTGTACCTGGTGGCGGAACGCACCGTGCGGGGCAGGGAGCTTTCGGGAATATGTGTCGCGGTGGTAGGATGTTTGCTCCTACTAAGATATGGCGCCGCTGGCACAGGGCAGTCAATGTGACGCAGAAGCGCCACGCTATTGTCTCTGCGATCGCAGCTACGGCCGTTCCGTCTTTGGTGCTTGCTCGTGGACATAAGATCGAGGAAGTTCCTGAGTTGCCTCTTGTTGTCTCTGATTCTGCCGAGGCTGTTGAGAAAACTAGCGCCGCGCTTAAAATCCTGAAGCAGGTCGGTGCTTTCCCTGATGCCGAGAAGGCGAAGGATAGCGTTGGAATCCGTCCTGGAAAGGGGAAAATGCGCAATAGGCGATATGTTTCCAGGAAAGGGCCGCTGATTGTGTACGGAACTGAGGGTGCGAAGCTTGTGAAGGCTTTCCGAAACATCCCTGGCATCGACATTGTCCATGTTTCTCGCCTTAATCTCCTCAAGCTCGCTCCAGGAGGTCATCTTGGAAGGTTTGTTATTTGGACCAAATCCGCATTCGAGAAATTGGATGAAGTTTATGGCACATTTGACAAGCCTTCTGAGCAGAAAAAGGGGTATGTTTTGCCGAGGGCGAAAATGGTGAATGCTGATCTGGCCAGAATCATAAACTCTGATGAGGTGCAATCTGTTGTAAAACCGATCAAGAAGGAAGTGAAGAGAGCTACACTGAAAAAGAATCCATTGAAGAACCTCAACGTGATGATGAAGCTCAACCCCTATGCAACGGCTGCAAAGAGAATGGCACTATTGGCGGAGGCCCAGAGAGTTAAGGCTAAGCAGGAAAAGCTTAGCAAGAAGAGAAAGCAAATCTCTAAGGTATTACTTTCTTCACATGGCTTCTCTTTTCCTGTATTAATTCCATATTGCCTTCTGTTTTGTGTAGCTCAATCTATTATTGGCCTTTTATATTTCATATGGTAATTGTCTTCATTATGCTTATCAATCTCTAATTCATGCTATTGACTCATAGATATTAGTTTGCGCTAGCTGGTTTGACAGGGATTATAATGCTTTTGATAAAACAGTAAATACAGTTAAATAGGAATTAAAGGGGCAGAAAATATCAAGGGCCTAACAGCCAGTAGTATGCTAATTCTTTTTCTCGTCTTGAAAACTTATAATATAAAACGGACTACAACTGTCATGCCCACCCTATAGTAGTAATTAAAATAGTAATACTGGTAATTAGTTTTTCTATTGGCACCATTGGACGTGCATTCTCTGCAGATTTTTGTTACTTTCAGCGTGCTAGGTTTAATAATGTTGCCCCGTATGTATATATACAGTATACTACTATAAAACAGCATAAATGTTTTCTTTTGTTTTTTTTGGTCTCACTTCCTATGCCAAATTTGAATGTCCTTGATACATCAGCTGCGTTTTTGTTATACTGCCATTTTAGTTCACTACATATGAGCTATTTCAAATATACTTGTTGTTGCTGCTTATTTTTTCCTTCTCATTTTTGGGATATGCCTTCTTACATTTTGTCCATAACTAACATTGATATTTGTATTAAATCATTTATCTTCCATTTTTTTAAAAAATTTATAATCTAAGCTTGTTGGAAATTAATGAAATTTTGTGCATGTGGCTTAGATTTTATCAGTTTGTGTATGCTGGTTTTGTTTATGGAACTGATCTGCACCTCTTTGTTTTTTGTTCTTTTTTAGGAGGAGGCAACTGCAATCCAATCTGCAGGAAAGGCATGGTACAAGACTATGATTTCTGACAGCGATTATACAGAGTTTGAGAACTTCTCAAAATGGCTTGGTGTTTCACAGTGATTCAGTTCTGTTTTGGCCGTTCAGAGATCTTGTTTTCCTTTGAATACCTTTTAGTATGGAGTTTATTGCACGTGTTAAAACCTTGTCATTTTTGTGCCAATTTTAAGTTGTTTCAATGTTTATTGGTCACCACACGTGAACCAGGCTTTTCCTTGAAGAGAGTTTTGTTACTTGTCTTATGCGCACATCTATCTTATATATTGCCAAATTTCTAAGCTGGTTTGCTGCAATTTAAGTATGGATTTTATTTCCTATCTCACTTGTATGTATATTACCATGGCTGAGCTTTTTGCCATAAGCCATCGATTGTGCGTAGTTTATTCATGCAGAATTATAACGCAAATGGTGTTGTCAAACAGCTCAAAGGCACAAAAGTTAAAGTAAATACTAATGCAGAATTATAACGCATATGGTGTTGTCAAACAGATCAAAGGCACAAAAGTTAAAGTAAATACTAGGGCTGTAAGCAAGCCGGATAGAGTTGAGCTTGTCATATTTGGGCGGCTTGTTAAGAGAAATTTTATTTTAAATATAATATTACCTTCGTTCCACATACCATAATCATTTTCCAAAAAGAAAAATGGACAGAAACGGCTGTATGTGGGATTTTTTAATAAATGCTATCGAGCTTGTTCGTGAACATAACGTGCCAAAATTTATATTTGTGTTCGGCTCCTTTAGTTTAATGAACGAGATGAACCGAGCCGAGCTCGCGAACAGTTCGTTAAAACAGCTTTAGTAAATACTCCCTTCGTCCCAAATAGCATGCAACATTTTTTTTTTTTGGTATGTCCCAAACATCCAACAACATTTCTAAAACACTTAATCCTCTTACATCATCCAAATAAAAAAAATAAAATATATATTTCTCTCAACATCACATCGCGTAATTTTTAAATTATCCTACTTAATACTACCCATTTAAAAACCCGTGCCAAAAGTACATGTTGCATTTGTTTGGAATGGAGGGATTACTAAGCATAAGCAACACTTGAGAACAACCAAAATTTGCCCCCAATAAAAACTCACAACGCCTAAAAATATACTAGTATTTTGATTCCCAGAAACAAGTCTTGCCTAAGATGAGACCAAATGCTATAATGTCTCTCACCAGTTCACGTAAGTAATATAGGCTCGGAGCAAATTGATATCATGACACATTTTAAGTAAATTCGACGATAAAATTTCCATAAATAGCAGGGAACATAAACACAAATCACCCAAAAATTTGATCATTTTCACTATAACACCCCAAAAGAAGCACAATCACCGTTGGATTGATAGAGGCTGCTTCCTTTCAGATAACAGAGTACCGGCCGGGTTGTGCCGATCCCGGAAGGGACGTCACTTGGTTCGTGATATCCTCCAACACACGCTTCAGTTCCGCCTTTGCCCTCTTCACAGATTGCTCGGTCGGACCTTCGATAAACAAGTAAAGCTTTCTTTCCCCAGGCCCTACAACCCGACCCGGCGGATAATACTGTCCTCTTGTCGTGATAGCAGCTCCAGTCCATTCAGAAATCGGGCCTAGAGTTTCCTTGTGTGTCACCTTCCACCGCGCATTTTGTGGGAAATCATTTATTTCCAACTCTGCTTCATAATGCTCAGGCATCGCATCCGCCTGAATCTTCGCCAAGTTGTGCTGCAAATTCATGGCAGCCGCCAGCGCTGCAGCCCTTGCCGCCCCATCACCACCGCCAACCGGCAGTGCAGTCCCCGGCACAGTCGCCACACCCGGAATCGCCAAGCCAAGAACACTGGGCAGAGAAACCGGTAATCCACCACCATTAGAAAGTAACTGACCTCCTGTGATAGGTGCCGTAGCTGCAGGAACGCTCCCTTTGGATGCAGCAGCGAGCGCCGCAGCCTGAGCAAGCGCAGCCTGGTGAGAAATATCGCCGCCTGCTTTTCTAATGCCTTCATCTTCATCATCTGAATCGGATTTATCTTCCTCAAACCCATATTCTTTCGCCTGCGCTTTCTTTGCCGCCTTCCTCACCTCATCCTCCTCTTCATTAAACTTGAAACCACTTCCGCCATAACCAGTTCCATGGGCTTGCTCCAGCCCCTGATTCACCTTTGTCATAAATCCATCGGCAAGAGCTCGGAGATCATCCGGAACGCTCTGCTCTGACAGTTCGAGAGCTTTTACAAGATCCGGTGCATATCTGGCATCTTCCTCGGACACAAATGTGATGGCACACCCTTTCTTGCCAGCTCGCCCTGTTCTACCAACACGATGAACATAGTCCTCATAATGGTTAGGGACATCAAAATTGATAACTAGTTCGAGCTCCTTCACATCTAATCCTCTAGCAGCAATGCTCGTGGCAATCAATAAATTGCATACATTACTCTTAAAGTCTGATATTGTGGACTCCCGGTCAGTCTGATCCTTTGCACCGTGCAGTGAAAGGCATGGATATCCAGACCTAAGTAAATCCTTGAACAACGCATCGCATTTCTCTTGCGAGTGGACAAAGATCAAAATTTTTCCCTTCTCGTACCATTCTCCAAGTAATTCCAAGAGTCTAAGGAACCTATCACTTTCTGGTCTTACCTCAACAAGCTGGGTAATGTCCTTGTTCACCACACTTCTCCCGCCAACTTGTATCTCCACAGGTTTGTTCAACACCTTACGTGCCAAAATTTCAACTTGGCGAGGGAAGGTTGCGGAGAACAGCACAGTTTGACGATCCGGCCTAGTATTTTGGACAATTCTTGTGATCTGAGGCTCAAAACCCATATCAAACATGCGATCCGCTTCATCCATTACCAAGTACGTGACACGTCTGAGGTTTGTTATCTTACCACCACTCGTGCAGAGTATATCAATCATTCGACCGGGTGTACAAACAACAATCTCAGCCCCGCGTTTCAATTCACTAATCTGCTGTGCAACCCCAGAACCGCCATATACGGGCACACAGCTGAGACCCATCACCTTTGCAAACCTCTTAATATCAATGTGAATTTGTTGTACAAGTTCTCTGGTGGGAGCCATGACCAGTCCAATTGGTCCATCTCCAGAGACCAGTGGAGGTTGGTCTTTAATGTGTCTCAACATTGGTAACACAAATGCCAGGGTCTTCCCGGATCCTGTTTTGGCAATGCCAATGCAGTCACGGCCGCTCATTATTATAGGTAAGGCCTGAGCTTGAATGGGCATTGGCTTTTCGTAATTCAACTTCTTTATATTATCCAAGATTTTGGTAGACAATCCAGTCTGATGCCAGGTTTTCACGGGTTTTGGGACGTCTTTACCATGTATCTTCAATTCAAGCTGTTTCCTGTATGAAGCCACCTCTTCAGGTGTCATCCTGGATATTTCCTTCACTTCAATATAGAAGTTTTTTCGGAAAGGAGGATAATCAATTTTTGAATGGTCAACAATTGACAGCTTTTCCACTTTGGTCTTCTTCACCCGCTTCATGAATTCTTCATCATCTTCATCTTCCGAGGGCTTATCATCATTTTCAAGATCTCCATAATCTGAATCTGATTCCTCCCCGGGAATAATTCTTCCCATGGATTTGTTCATCCCCTTTTTAGAGTTTCCCATGCTTGCCTTAGCATTTCCTTGAACCAATTCAGGACCAGATTCGTTTGAAACAGGAGGCACGCTGCTGTTAAGCTTCTCAACTTCAGGCAACACCAAAGAATGCATAAAGGCATCCAATGGATCTATTTCGACACCCTCATTAGCTTGATCAGCACCGTTTTGTGCAGCAGGAATAGCTACATTCTCGGAATTGGAAGACATGGCATTTCCATCATTTTCCTCATCAGGCTTTACAACTACATCCTCATCAACATCCATAGCTGATTTACCGTCAGGACCAGCATCTTCATCATCAGATTCTCCTTCCAAGGTCCATGTCTTGCCAGACTTGGGTTCAGCAGCCGCTGGAACACCAAGTTTTTCTTTCTCAGATTCCTCTTTCTTCCTTCTTAGCTCCTGCCACTCTTGTACTCTTCTCCTTCGTTTTTCCATCTCCTCATCCAATCTCTTTTGCTCTTCAGCAAGATCTTCTTCCCGAGTCTTTTCTTTACTGATCTCTGTGTTTGCATCAACCTTTTTGCGAGAGCTGCTGTCATGACTTCCATCTCGGTTCCTGTGCACTTTTCCGCTTTGTTCTGCATTGCTGTTCTGATGATCCTCCTCTCTACGGCGCCTTTTCCTATCATGGTCTCTATGAACATCATCATCGCTACTATACGACCTATCCAAGTCTCGACGTCTTTCTCTTTCCTGAACTTTCTCCTTCTCTTTCCTGTCTCTGTCTTTATCCCTTTCCCTCTCCCTATCTTTCTCCTTCTCCCTTTTGTCTCTCTCCTTCTCTTTCTCCCTTTCTCGTTCTCTATGTCTTTCCTTCTCTCTATGCTCCCGCACTCTATCTTTATCCTTTCCCCTTTCTTTCTCTCGATCTCTGTCTTCTCTATCTCTGTCAACCTCTCTATCATCCCTGTCCTTGTCTCTGCCTCTGGCTTTATCTCGTGCCCTTTCATCATCCCGGTTCTTTGTTTTCTCACGATGCCTGCTCCTGTGCTTTTCTCTGTCCCTGTGCTTGTCATCACCACTGTCCTCTCTCTCATGGCGGCTATCTCGGTCCCTATCCCTCTTCCTCTCTCCATTCCTCTCCTTTTCATGACTTCGTTCTTCTCTATGGTGATTATTCTTGTTTTCGTCGTTTACAGAACCCTCTCTCCTCGATTTTGCTTTAGGATCTTCCATTGATCCAGGCACTAGTTAAACAACAACAACAACAACAACAATCCCTTCAACTCCAAAATATGTAAATTAAAACATCAGCAGACTCCCTGTGAAATAGCATATTAATACATATAATTAGAGAGGCAATCAATCCAGAAAGAAAGCGCGGCCACAATGAAATAAAATACGAGCAGAACATGCAAATTCCAAAAAAACACTCCGAACCCTAAAAGAATTTTTCAGATCTTAATTCCGAAACCAGAAGAAAGCACAAATCTTACCTCCTCGCAACGCTTGTATTGCGCACAATAGCAGGAACTTAGCTTATATGATTAGTCTAATTGCGGGTGAGGTGAGTAGATTAGTAAACACGGCGCCAGAGAAGAACACACCAGCGGCAATTATAAATGATACTTCGATCGCCAAAAGTGAATAAACTAGACGAAACCTAGCTACAGGAACTCAATTAGGCTCTGTTACAGCGGCGACGACAGTAGCCGCCGCGAAACCGTCCACAACGGCGTTTGGGGACGAATTAGGGCTTCGATTGGGATGCGAATTGAAGGCGAGTTGTGTTTGTGGCTATTCCTTCCTTTTCTAATTTATGTGGGAAATCAAATACCAATACTTGCAAATTGTAGTACCACTTTTTTATTTTAAAATTTCGACTTTCGCCAAAAATATTTTTACAAAATAGATACGGGAAAAAAAAAATCATAAGAAGGTGAATTAATAATCATAGATATCGTATCATATCATATATATTATATATAAAAGAACTCAATATCGATTCCACTCTTTTTTTCTTTTTTTTTTTTTTTTTCAATATTTATACACTTATGTAATCTCATAATTTTGAGATTTTTTTTTTTAATTTTATGCATTTTAACTCTTTATCAATAAATGAAGTAGTTTTACAGTTTTTTCAAATTTTGATTTTAAATGATTTTAAATTTTTTTATGATATTTATAAATTGATTGAATAATCACAATTTTCTAAAAATTTTATTTTTTTCACAAAATTACTAGTCTTGTCCACTCATTTTAATTTATTTTTTTACTTTTAATTTAGTATTTTAAATTAATAAAATTTTAATAACTATACATATTGTGTTTATTTAATATTTTAATTTCAAATATCTTTTTAATTAAATATCTTTAATTTTTATATAAATTACAAATATAATAATTATGCATAAATTATTTTTTATATAAACTACTAGAATTAAATATACATATATACGAGAATCACTTAATAATATAACATACTATAGATATTTTGATGCATGAAACACAATAAATATATATATATTATTATTTTCAACATATTAAGAATATCTCTATTAACTTTGACATGTGTATTTGCTTGTAGGATTTAGTTTTGAGATTAGATCTTGAAAAGAAAAGATTGTGTTTTGATTTTGAACATTAAAATTTTAATTTAAATTGAGATGATGATTTAATTTGATATAAATATGTATTAGTATAAAAAATATATATTATTATAATAGTAAATAAATAAAATTTTTGATTTAATCTAATATCTTTTTTAAAAAAATTAAAAAATAGCACAATCCAAACTAAACATTACCTGATTTTAGTAGAATGGGCTCGTCGAGCCCAAATAAAATGGGCCTAATAGAAGATCGAAACGATTAATTTCCAAATATGGAGGAGATATTATATGAATACCCATTAGTCCATGACCACTTTAGGCGGACTAATGTCCTATCAATCCAAACTGCAAGATCCAGCTCCAGACGTGTTGCCGCGCCAACAGACAACGGCACCATCCGGAAAACCATGGAACTGGATCGAAGTTTCTCGTCGATTGATATCGTTCTATATCTGCCCCTGCACAATTTCGGGTATCTTCACTCGATTTTCTCTTCAAGCTTCTGTTTCTATCAGATTGCTGAGTGTCGTCGCAGCTGCGGGTTTGAAGTGATGGTGAAGAATTACCCGGCGGTGAGCAAAGAGTATCAGGCGGCAGTAGAGAAATGTAGGAAGAAATTGCGAGGTTTAATTTCGGAGAAGAAGTGTGCTCCAATTGTGCTGCGGTTGGCGTAAGTTCGTCGCCTGCTTCATATTTCATACATCCTCTTGGTGTTTTATTTTATTTTCGAAGCTTGATCATTGCGCTATCTTGTACACTTGCTTGTGTTCGCTGTTCCACATCAGTTTGTATGCTTTTGAATTAACGTATCTCGTCGCTTATGCATATTCTTGCTTCGAGTCCACTTTCACATTTGCACACTTCCCAAATTTTTGCTTGGCTGCCTTTTACATTTCGTCATTTCTACGATCATGGAGATCACGCAGAGCTGTGTGTGAAATTGAGTATGCAATTCCGAATTCTCTTGGTCTGTGCGCATTTGACTGGTGTTGTGAATCTGTTTTCAGATATTAAACAGTCGTGTTCGTAACTTAACCCAGATCAAATTCTAGTCCTCTGTAGCACATAAACTTTCAGTTACAGCGATTTTTAATGGACATGCTGAAGTCCATTCTCCTTTGGAACACATTGGAGTGCTCCATCTGCCATATCCGTAAATGTGGTCTGCAGGCGTTGATATGTAGCAATGATTTGATGATTAGCTCCATTGTGGTTTTTTAGATGGCATGCGGCTGGTACATATGATTGGAAAACAAAAACTGGAGGCCCATTCGGGACAATAAGGAATCCTAGCGAGATATCTCATGAAGCTAACAAAGGCCTTGACATTGCAGTGAGGTTGCTGGAACCTATTAAGGAGCAATTCCCCCTACTCACCTACGCAGACTTCTACCAGGTATTTATTCTTAGTCTTCGTTGCTTGAGCTCCAACTTAAGTAGATTTTTCACTTATGTACTGTCTAACTGTATATATCCTCTAAAAAGATATTCCTGGGTCACTATATTACAGCTGGCTGGAGTAGTTGCTGTGGAAATTACTGGAGGCCCTGAGATTCCATTTCACCCTGGAAGACCAGTTAATCTCTCTACTCTAGTTAAAAATATTCAATAAAATGCTTAAAAGGTCCAGCAGCAGTGACTGCAGTTAAAATATTCTTGTTAATACGACTCTATTTCGAAGATCACTTTAATATATGATGCAAACATCCATCCAATGTGTCATTGCTTCTCTTCTCTCCCATACATCCATTCAGTGCCTGAAGAAATTTCTTTAATTTCAGGACAAAACAGAACCCCCACCAGAAGGTCGCCTGCCTGACGCCAAGAAAGGTGATCTTATCTTATTATACCTTTAATCTTGACATAAATTTCCAGTGCCCATCATCCTAAAGATGTAAATGTGGTTTTTATTTCTTTCTTCAAATTCTCAGGAGCTGACCATTTGAGAGAAGTTTTTGGGCGCATGGGCCTAAGTGATAAAGACATTGTTGCTCTGTCTGGTAGACACACCTTGGTATGATTAAAATAAAGATTGGACATTTAATTGATCACAGATTTGTTTTTATGTTAAGTATTCCATTGGGGTGTTTTAGGGGAAGTGCCATGAGGAAAGATCTGGATTTGAAGGACCATGGACCCCCAATCCTCTCATATTCGACAACTCCTACTTCAAGTAACACTTAAGCACCTTAATCTGTAAAACACTTTTGATGCTGTGCCCTGTTGCTAGAATTATTAGCTCTGGATAATTTCTGATCAAGGAGGCAACTTTCATTAAACACAGGGAACTTCTTAGCGGGGAGAAAGAGGGCCTGATTCAGCTGCCAACAGACAAAGCTCTGTTGGAAGACCCCATATTTCGTCCTCTTGTCGAAAAATATGCTGCTGTAAGATGGCACCATTTAATTCAGCATATGCCGCTGTCGATTAATGTGAACATGTTGATAAACTACCACTTATCTTCCAGGACGAGGACTCGTTCTTTCATGACTATGCTGAAGCACACCTGAAGCTCTCTGAACTGGGGTAAGTGGATCGTAATCTTCTATAAAAAAAAAATTATGACTTTGATCTCTTGATTTCTTGCCAATACAGACTTGAATTCACTGTAAATTTTGTATTATGCTGACTGCAGATTTGCGGATGCCCACTAGAATCATGGCATTTAATGCGTCTCTGCACTCGACATTCGTCTTTTGCAAGAATTTCAGCGAGTTAGTTGCTGATCCTCACAGGGCTGTGTTTCTTGAGGGTTTAATGTAATGTCTTTAGTGGTTATGCTCGTGTCACACAATAAAATAAACATGTAATAGATTAATTATTGTGAATTAGTATTATTCTCCGTCGCTTTATATACTTAGACACTAAGAAATGTTAATTAACAACAATTCGATTATTGAGGAGGACAAACCCACAAATACTTGTTGGGTATAAACACATGTAAAGTGGCAACTGGAATCCACTATAAACTGTCGCAATGAGACTCGGTTGAGCTTTCACAAAAAGAGACGACAATAATGAGATTGACATGGTGTTTTTTTCGTTCAATTTTTTATAAAATATTATGGCTATTAAGTATTGTTCTCAATAAAAATCAATCAAAGTTTAAAAAAATCCCAAACACGATAAGAATACAACTAAATCTTTATTTTTTTCTTTTTTATAATTGAAGTATGATAATTAAATCATATTGGATTTTCCTAGTATCCTTTTTTGAGAGGGTCAATTTTATGGAAAATGGAAGTATGAACTATGATAGGAAATTAATGCTATGAGAACTTTTAAATTGCTATTAAAGCATCTTTTAATACAAATATGTCATGTAGGAATTATATATATACAAAATAAATTAATTGACGTTGATAATGTGGGCCCAAGGTAAAAATAATCAGATACAACCTTGAACGGTCGTTCCCAGGTACCAAAAATAAACCAATCAATGGCTGACACGCGGTGTTTGGCATGGGAAAATATTGACTTTTTGACTATTTCCCTACCCAGACGTCTTTTCCTTATTATTCTAATATAACTATACATATATGTATTAATTAAAGCTTTCCCATTAACAAATTGCAAAGCTAACGATGAAGTTTTGACTAATAGAAAAATCAATCCCACGCAAATTTCATTTCAATACTGTTATTATTTGATACTCATAATTTATTCTTATTCTTATTTTCTATTTAATTGTTTAATTTTAATATTAATTTATAATTATTTTTATTAATACATTTTTTAATTAATTATTAATTTTTTTATTATACATTTTACTTACATTTAAAATTTTATATTTTATATTTTATAATTTTAATTTTAATTTATAATTATTTTTACTAATAAATTTTATAATTATTTATTAATTATATTTTATTTGAATTCTCTCCTGTCCATATTAGATGGGAAGGAAGGAGTAGAATAAAGCCACTCGGTTCGCCAGCAGCATTGAATTGAAAACTGAATAATATAGTGCCAATAGGGGGAAAAATTTTTTTTCTTTGCAATATAAAATAAGAATGTTGTATTATTCTTTAAACCCATACATACACAGATATGTATGTATTTTTTTTAAAAAGTGGATGCACTTGCAGAAAAGGTGAGTGGGCTATGATGACTGACGAGCCCTGCACTGGGAAGACTCCTTTCCAGTTCCACACCGTAACTCCAGCAACAAAGCGAGACCCTTAATCTTCTTTATCGCCCCAAATCCCCTCTAATCCAAAGTATATCCTCTCCTCTTCCCTCTCCCTCACCCTAAAGGTTTCTAATCGAATATTTTTCTCCCAGATACGTTCTGGCGCCGATAGCTTTCCTTTTTGAACGACTTCCTGTATTTTAGGCATCAGGTTTTACCATAAAGAAAAAAAGAAAGATTTTCCCCCCTGGTTTCATGGTTTCATCTTCTTAGTGTGTTTTTAGTGTGTCAGCGAAAGTTATGGAGACTGCGAGAGTTGGAGTTCTTTTTCTGGTTGCGCCATTGGTTACTCTTCTTCTGATGGATGTCTCCAATGCCCAGATTCCAGGTTTACGTTTTCCTGTTTATGCCTTTTTGTTTAGTAGAATTTTGATTTCTAAGCATCTGCTATGTTTTGCGTTTTGAGTAATTTGTATGTTGGGATTTGCTGTTTCTTCATATTCGTTTATTGTTTTACAGTCTGCCTTGCAGATAATTTGTGTTTTTTCTACTGGGTTCTTGATTGATTTTCACCTGAACTATATATTACTAATATTTTATAGTTCATGAGTATCTCTTTCTTGTCTGTTTGTGGAGTTAATAACTTAATGCTCAGTTATGAGGGTAGTTGGCTATAAGTTTTGACTTTCTGGGCACCATAGGATTCGAGAAAAAGCACAGTAATTTATGAAGTGCTTTGGACAAACATGATACTTGTTAGACTAAATAATCGATGTAGCATTGTGTATATATATATATAGTTCGACATGTTCCTGGAAACTAGAAACTTGATTTTGATTGATGCAGGGAGGATGTGTTTAATAATTGAACATATTGAGTACTAAAATGCACTCCCTCTAATTACTTTGGGCATACATCTGACGGCTTTACGATGTCGAGCAGGTTTTGTGAGTCTAGATTGTGGGGGTTCAGAGAATTTTACAGATGACTTAGGTCTCAGATGGAGTCCTGATTCGGATATGATGAGTGGAACAGTTGCTAATATTTCTGTTGCCAATGAGACTAGTAAACAGTACTCAACTTTAAGGTACTTTCCGGCAGATAACAACAAGTATTGCTATACGCTCGGTGTCATCAGCCGAACCCAATATCTTATAAGAGCAAGCTTCTTGTATGGAAACTTTGACAGCAATAATGTCTACCCGAAATTTGACATTTCATTAGGACCGACGCATTGGGCTACCATTGTAGTTTCAGATGCTAACACAGTGGAAATGCAAGAGTTAATTTTTCTGGCTACGGATCCTTACATCAGTGTTTGTTTATCCAATGCTACAACTGGACAGCCCTTTATATCGACACTTGAGCTCCGACAATTGAATGGTTCCCTGTATTTGAATCAGTATGAGAATCAGTTCTTCCTTAGTGTATCGGCTAGAATTAATTTTGGTTCAGCGAGCGATGCACCAGTCAGGTATCCAGATGATCCATTTGACAGAATATGGCAGTCAGATTCCTTGAGAAAGGCCAACTACCTTGTTGATGTAGCTCCCGGGACTGAAAAAATATCGACGAATATGCCTATTGATGTCAGCAGGGATGAAATGCCGCCTCAAAAAGTGATGCAGACAGCCGTTGTTGGCCGCAATGGATCATTGACGTATCGGTTGAACCTTGATGGCTTTCCTGGTTTTGGTTGGGCATTTTCATATTTTGCTGAAATCGAAAATTTGACATCTCATGATTCTAGAAAATTCAGGCTGATATTGCCTGATCACAATGACCTTAGCAAAGCTGTTGTAAATATACAAGAGAATGCCCCGGGAAAGTATCGGCTATACGAGCCAGGATACTATAACATTACCATGCCATTCGTGTTGTCTTTCAAATTTGAGAAGACAACGGATTCCACAGCTGGCCCTCTCCTGAATGCTCTGGAGATAAATAAGTATCTGAAAAAGAGTGATGGCTCCGCAGATGGTGAGAATCTTACTTTTCTTAATAATACAGATGGGATCACTACTTTTTCGTATTGAGTGAAATGTTTCACTTGCAGTAGTTGAAGGCCATTTTGAAAGATCGAATTTTCTCTAATAGCTACCCAAAATTTCAGGGCCACTACTTGCTGCTGTAACTTCAGCTTATTCAACAGCTAGGTGGGCGAAAGAAGGCGGTGATCCATGCCTCCCAGCTCCATGGTCATGGGTCCAATGTAGTTCAGATCTCCAGCCAAGAATAACTAATATGTAAGAATCTCAACACTTTCTTTAGCATTGACTGCTTAACTCTCATCTGAAGGGATTTCACCTAATCCCCCGTTTTTCTCTGATGACTTTTGTACAGTAATCTCTCTGGGAAGAATTTGACAGGAGCAATTCCTGTCGAGTTTACCAAGCTGGGAGGTTTGGTTGAGTTGTAAGCTGCAGATTTCTCCATTGTTTACTGATCTCTGATGCTTTTTTCATTGTCTGCAATCAGACACCATCCTTAACAATTTCCATTGTACGCAATTTATCTATGCAGATGGCTTGACAATAATTCTCTAAGTGGTTCGATTCCTGATTTTTCTGGATGCCCTAATCTGAGAATAATGTATGTCATAGTCCACTCTTTCTGGTTACCTATTACTGATATATTTCTTGTGCCACTGATGACTTGTTGACTGTGACAGACATCTTGAGAATAATCATTTGACTGGAGACCTGCCCTCTTCCTTAGCGAATCTGCAAAATTTGAGAGAATTGTACGTTTCAGGAGCTAAACTATAAACCCCGCCTTTGATTTCTAAACTACTCACCACAAGCTATTATTGCAACTTCATTTTTATTTGGTTGTTGTGCAGGTACATTCAAAACAATTTGTTGTCTGGAAAAATTCCAGCTGGTCTTATTCGCAAAGATTTGCTTTTGAAGTAAGTATGCATCTTGTTGATAGTAGAACTCAGAGGAGCTTTTAAATGATTCGATACTAACTTTTGACTGCATGAATGTTGTGCACTTTCTGCTTTCTTCTCCACCATATACTCAACTGCGATTTATTGTATGCATATCAGCTACACTGGTAATGGCGGTCTCCACAAGGGCAATAAGGGAAAGAATTTAGGTCTTATTATAGGATTGCCTATAGGAGCAGCTGTTATACTCATTGCTATTATTGCAGCAATCCTCTTAATGCCTAAAGGAAAGAAGAAATTTCATAAGAAAGAAGGTTAGCCGTTGGATGCCTGTAATTATAGCCGAATTTACATACTCGTTGGACTTGGTCGACAGCTCTTGTTTTGCCTTCAGGAAAACCACCGCACCGTTTGCCTTCCTTGAGTGATACTGCAGCTGAAGCTGCCCATTGTTTCGCATTATCTGAGATTGAGGAAGCCACTAAGAACTTCGAGAAGAAAATTGGATCGGGAGGCTTTGGGGTTGTTTACTATGGGATGCTGAAAGATGGAACAGAAATTGCTGTGAAAATATTGACGAATGATTCATTTCAGGGGAAGCGAGAGTTCTCAAATGAGGTATTGTTGTATTTATTATCTCGATTCTTTACGTTTCTTTCGTTGAGCCTTTGTTCGTAATGCCTTGGATTTGAAACAGGTGTCTCTCCTCTCAAGAATCCATCATAGAAACTTAGTTCAATTTCTTGGATATTGCCAAGAAGACGGAAAGAATATCCTTGTCTACGAGTTCATGCACAATGGAACTCTTAAGGAGCACCTCTATGGTATGTAAATTCTTTTTTTACATAGTCTTACATCAACCAAATGAAATAAAAAAACAAACTGCCCGTGCTAGGTCCCATTGCACGTGGAAGACGTCTCACTTGGATCCAACGGCTTGAGATTGCCGGAGATGCTGCAAGAGGTTGCAACACCTTTAATTTTGTTAATGAATTGAATCAAACTCATTCTGCTTTTACAAAATTGTTAGAAAGACAGTCAATTGATTTTCTTCGATTGCTTCTCATAGGAATCGAGTACCTTCATACCGGCTGTGTTCCATCGGTCATCCATAGGGATGTGAAAACCAGCAATATTCTTCTTGACAAGAACATGAGAGCAAAGGTTTCGGACTTTGGCCTTTCAAAGCTGTCGGTCGATGGGGCATCTCATGTGTCTAGCATTGTTCGTGGAACTGTTGGTTATCTTGATCCCGAGTACGCATTTCGGGTTTTTCTTTTATCATCGAATGTAGTGGATATTTCTCAAATCCTTAAATTAATTTATTTCTTTCCAACATCATTCAGATATTACATCTCACAGCAGTTGACAGACAAAAGTGATGTCTATAGCTTCGGGGTCATTCTCTTGGAGCTGATATCGGGTCAAGAAGCTATTTCCAATGAAAACTTCGGTAGCAACTGCAGAAACATCGTCCAATGGGTAATATTTTCGAACAACAATTCGATATTTACCTGGGGTGTGAATATGATTACAAATACTTTAAAGTTTACGCATCCGTTCATTTTGCAGTCAAAGTTACACATCGAGAGCGGGGACATACAGGGAATCATCGACCCTGCACTGCGTGGCTACGACATACAATCAATGTGGAAGATAGCAGAGAAAGCTCTGCTGTGTGTGCAGCCCCATGGAATCATGAGACCTTCGATTTCTGAAGTCCTGAAGGAGATTCAAGATGCCATCGCAATCGAGAAAGGAGCTGACGCCCTAAGGGATGGCAGCTCCGATGAGATCTCCCGGCACTCGGCCCACTCTTCCATTAACTTGGGCTCCCTGGATTTGACTCCTGGTGACAACTACTTGTCCATTGATGACTCCATTGCAGGACCTGCTGCCCGATAGTCGATCGATCGACCTCGTCGTTTCGACATTGGCAAACCTCCTGGTAGTTTGATTTCGTGATCTCGTTTTCGGTTGTTATGTTATTATTAACTGTAAATTCCAACTTCCTGAAGAGTGTAAATATATTCATTCTTACAGGGTTTTTAGTGTGATCTCATCTCATTCAGCTGAGCTTTTCTTGTGGTGTTGAACGAGTCATGCTAATTTGTTCTTTTTTATTGTTTTCACCCAGAGATTTAGGGGGTGAAGAAAAATATATATATATCTGAGAATTCGGTATGACCAGTATTTTCGGTACAAGGTAATGACTATTCCCTACTGGGATTCGTTAAAACGACGTCGTGGCGTCATTGGGCCGAAAAGAAGTGGTTCGATGGGCCCACAAAGCCCAGTAATGAGTAGATAGAAACCAACGGTGATGATAAACCTAGCCATTTCTCAATCTCTCAATCTCAGTCGTCGTCTGCTACCCGTTTCTCCACCCTTCGATCTTCGTCTAGCGTGCTATAAGACGATTTCCGCGAATCCCATTGCATCTGGTAAGCACATCGTCACTTGCTCGCTCTCTCCTTACTGTTTGCGTTTCTCCCCTCTCTGTCTTTGCCTGCGCTATGAGTACTCCTTACCTAGGGTTCCGTTGCGATTTTGTAGGTTTTTTGAGCGTATGGCGGACGGACAGTCGTCGCAGGGAGCCCTCGGGAGTCCGGCCGGCGGAAGCCCTGACAGCGGAGGCGATCAGAGCCCCCGCTCCAGTGTGCGTGAACAGGACAGGTTTTTGCCGATCGCGAATATTAGCCGGATCATGAAGAAGGCGCTTCCTGCGAATGGGAAAATTGCCAAGGATGCGAAGGAAACTGTGCAGGAATGTGTTTCGGAGTTTATCAGCTTCATTACGAGCGAGTATGTGAAATTAATCTTCGACTATTTTGGTTGCTGCTTCATGTGTGTTAGATGATGCAGAATTGGCTGAATTCTGTGTTATTTTATCTTACTATTCATTGTATGATTCTTCGATTGGTTGTTTATTGTAGTACCGATGCACATACCTCTTTGTTAGTTGTATGCATGCCAGTTGCTTCAGGGGAATTTAGGCTTATCTTTGGGAATGTGCATTCGTACATACAGTAAGCATGCATATGTTCGTGTGTGTGTAATATGCTGTTACTTTCTTTTGAAGAGCTATTCATGAATGGGCTGGTGATTAGCTACTTTGGGATGCCTGTCTTTAAATGCACATTAATATATATGTTTCTTCCTAAAGCCAAAAGTTAAGTCATTCTTCTTTTTGGTTTCAATATAAAGGGCAAGTGATAAGTGCCAGAGAGAGAAAAGAAAGACCATCAATGGGGATGATTTACTTTGGGCCATGGCAACTTTAGGCTTTGAAGAGTATATTGATCCCCTTAAGGTGTACCTGGCTAGGTACAGAGAGGTAAGTGTGCTTATTTTGATTTTCTTGTTTATTTTTTATTTTTTACTGCCTTCTATGTTAGAGAAATTGCTTTGTGTTACACTGATGCGACTGATAAGTGATTTTGGTGTCCTGATTTACCTGGAATGCTCTTCCTATGGCAGATGGAGGTGAGTTAATTCGTATGCTGGTTTTTTCAACCTTTTATAAAACTTTATGCGTATGATTTGGAAACTTCAAGGTTTTTGTTCATGTTTCCCAACAGGGTGATACCAAGGGATCAGCCAAGGGTGCAGATGGATCTGCGGCCAAGGATGGTGGTGGTCATGGTACACAACAATCAGTTCCTGGTCCTCAGGTGCCTCTTCATATATTCTCATCTCAATTTTCTCTCTGTCATTATTGCCATAATATTTATGGATGTCAGTCCAAGCATCATTGATTCAATATCTTCTTTTATATCTCAGCTTGTTCACCAGGGTTCTTATCCTCAAGGCATGAATTATGGCAACACTCAGGTACTCCCACCAGTTATTTTTCTGTGCATGATTTCATGGTCCTGCTTGTCATCATATTTAGAATTGTCAACGAAGATTTACTTTTGGTCTGTTAGTTTGAGTTTGAATCATGTCTTTTAGCATTCATATGCTCCTAGTCCTAGATTACCTGGTCAGATGAGATCAGCTGCTGTCTAAGTTGAAACTTGAAATGTAGAAATTGAAGTTTTTGAGTTCTAACAATACTAAGTCTTCCAAAAGTACTTTATTTGTTGAAACTATTAGCTGTAAAATTGTTGTTGGCTTTGGTGCTCAGCTGACCTATCATCATTAACTTTTGAGTCCCAATCACTAATGTCTAAAAGGAGTAGTGATGATTCTGACTGGCTTTCTGTAAACTGCCCCAAGAAGTTTTGTTACCCAGTAACATACTGTTAAGTTGCAGTGGAATTTTTTCAACTATATTTTACTAACTAAAGACTGTTTTTTTATACATGTGATCTTTTAGTGTGTATTTAAATCAGAAAGTTGCATTTATCTTCTCTTACAATCTAGCTATCCTGTCAGCCATATTATAACTTACAAGCTGTTCCAGACATTTCTTCTCTATTAATGTTTTTGGTCTTCTGGTGTTTCCAGCAGCAAAATCAACAACACATGATGGTTCAAATGCCGGGCATGGATTAGAATGGACAATGGAGAACAAGATCCGCTGCTGAAGAAGAAGATCCATGGTGCCCTTGTTTGTGCTGCTGTACTCTACCCTACCCTACTCTACTCTACCCTACCCTACTCTACTCTACTCTACTCTACCCTACCCTACTCTACCCTACATACTATGTTTTCATGTGTCTTGTCGTGTGGTGTCATGTGGTGCCATAGCTATACTCTTGTCGTAAGTGTAAGTTTGTAAATTCTGGAGTTGCTCTTCAGGGGAAATAACGGATGGTACCTTATTATGGTTTGCAGAACTCCATCTTAATATACTACTATGCTGCTGGACCGTTTTACAGTGATGCTTAAACAAATAATTAGAAATGTTTATATTTTGAATATTTCCATGGTAGCAGAGCAGGGAAGGCTCCGTTCCAGACCGGGAGGTATAGCCGTAAAGCTAGCAGTGCTCCATGCTGGGCTCGGGTTTTTGAAAAGGTAAGGTAGCGTGTATTTGGTTTTGTAAAAAAAAAAAAAAAAAAAAAAAAAAAAAAGAGAGTATATTATATCCTTTTTGTTGAGTTTAGGAAATGCATTGAGTATTTTAATCTAAATTGTTGTTTGATTTAATATGAGTAATTGTATTTAATTAGTAAAATATAAAATAGTTAATATTTTGCTTAACATTTTGTGGGAAATATTTGTGAATAGTAAAGTTTTGAAAATTCATTTTCTTTTCAATTTGAATGTTTGGAGATTCAAGTGTTTTATTAAATTATATGAAAAATATATCTTTATTATTATTATTGAAAATAGATTTTTCTTAGGTGGTTTACTATCCAAATTAATTAAATGATCGATTATATTTCCTTGAGTCGACATGTATTAAACCATTAATTTAAACCATCTGTACAATTGGAAAATTAAGTTTTAATATTTTAAATATGAATAATTTTTTTTTTTAATGAATCCGCAGTCATTATCATTATTCGAAAGTGCGTACTTCGTCAAATCCGGACGTTTCTTTGCACCACTGGACCTATCTTACAGGATTGCAAACTATATTTTTTTTTGTTGAGAGAGAGAGAGAGTGATGAATAGGTGACGTGCAATAGCCGTGGACCAATCCACCTAGAAATGTTATGTAATTGTACTTCAGTTCTTTTCCCGTTGTCCACCCAAAATCAACAAAATAATTAAAATGAAAATCAATTTTACCATTTCGATAAACCGTCATTCATTATAATCGTGTCCACGCTCCCACCAAATGGACCAGTAATGAACGCCCTCAGCCTCCGCTGGGCTGCGCCGGCGCCGGCGCATGTCTTCTCCCCCGCCTCTTCCACCGCCAGGCCGCCTTCTATGCTCCGGGCGAACATAGCAGAAAGTTCCTCCAGTACATATCTTTCTTCCACCAACAAATTGTCCGGTTCCCAGGATCAGGCACTACTAGCGCTCCTCCAGCAAAGGAAAACCGACGAGGCCTGGCTACTGTACAGCCGATGCGGTCATCTCCCAAACTCCACCTGCCTCAGCCGTCTCGTCTCGCAACTGTCGTATCTCAACTCCGCCGAAGGCTTGACGAGAGCTCAGTCAATTATCCAGCGCCTCCGGAACGAACAACAGCTCCACCGCCTCGATGCTAATTCCCTCGGCCTTCTCGCGGTGGCCGCCGCCAAAGGCGGACACACACTGTACGCTACGTCTATCATCAAATCGATGCTGAGATCTGGCTATCTCCCCCACGTCAAGGCGTGGAGTGCTGTCATAAGCAGGCTCGGCGCTTCCGGCGACGATGGACCGAGCGAGGCGATTAAGCTCTTCAATTCGATCACAAGGAGGCTAAAGAAATTTGGGGATTTGGATGTGGTTAAGGACTCCAAACCAGACACGGGAGCCTACAATGCTGTGCTCAATGCTTGCGCCAATATTGGCAACGCCAGGAAGTTCCGCCAACTGTTCGACGAAATGCCTGAGTTTGGATGTGAGCCCGATGCACTTACATACAACGTGATGATTAAGTTATGCGCAAGGGTTGAGAGAAAGGATCTGTTGGTGTTTGTTTTGGAGAGGATAATTGAGAAGGAGATACCATTGTGCAAGACAACTTTGCACTCCTTAGTTGCAGCATACGTAGGTTTTGGTGATTTGGAGGCTGCTGAAAAACTGGTTCAGGCTATGAGGGAAGGCAGGAAAGATCTGTGTAGCATTTTGAGGGAATTGGATGACAAAGATGATGATGATTCAGATGAGGAAGAAGAACTCAAAGAAGATCCCAAAGATAGAAGTGATGATATATTCGATATTCTGCTACCAAATTCGACTGATTACAGCAGTGAGCCTCCAGAATTGCCGGCAGCAATCACACCGGATTCAAGAATCTACACAACCTTGATGAAAGGTTATATGAACGCCGGGCGTGTGGCCGACACAGTGAGGACACTCGAAGCAATGAGGCATCAAAAGGACAGCAATAGTCATCCGGACCATGTTACTTACACCACAGTTTTGTCTGCATTCGTCAAGGCTGGATCGATGGACAAAGCCCGGCAAGTGCTGACCGAGATGGCTAGATTTAATGTCCCTGCCAATCTGATCACATACAACGTTCTGCTGAAAGGGTATTGCCAGCAACTGCAGATCAACAAAGCAGAGGAACTCATCAAGGAGATGATCAATGATGTAGGCATAGAGCCCGATGTGGTTTCTTACAACACGATGATCGATGGATGCATAATGGTGGATGATTGTGCAGGCGCGCTTACATATTTCAATGAGATGCGAAGCAGAGGCATTACCCCTACAAAAGTAAGCTACACCACATTGATGAAAGCCTTCGCATCATCAGGTCAGCCGAAGCTTGCCAACAGGGTGTTTGATGAGATGCTGAATGACCCGCGCGTGAAGGTGGATTTGGTTGCATGGAATATGCTGGTTGAAGGTTATTGCAAGCTTGGGCTGGTTGAAGAAGCCAAGAACATCATTCAAAGGATGAAAGAAAACGGGACCTATCCAAACGTCGCCACATATGGAAGTCTTGCAAATGGGATATCGTTGGCAAGAAAACCGGGGGAAGCTTTGTTGCTGTGGAAGGAAATAAAGGAGAGATGTGGGATTGAAGAGGCTGGGGAGGAATGCAGCTCTCCTTCGCCCGATCAACAACCTCTTCTAATACCGGACGAGGGACTTTTGGACGCCCTCGCGGATATTTGTGTGAGGGCTGCTTTCTTCAGAAAAGCTTTGGAAATTATTGCTTGTATGGAAGAGCATGGGATCCCTCCCAACAAGACAAAGTATAAGAGAATCTATGTAGAGATGCACTCGAGGATGTTCACGAGCAAGCACGCGTCGAAGGCAAGACAGGACAGGAGGAGGGAGAGGAAAAGAGCTGCAGAAGCTTTCAAGTTCTGGTTGGGGTTGCCTAATTCTTACTATGGAAGTGAATGGGAGCACTGAAATTATAATCTACAGATGGGGATTGTATATTCATAGGTGTTGTTAATTAAGTTAAGCTGTACAATCAGTGAAACTCACCTGTACAAGGTAATGATGGATTATCTATTTGATATGTTTAGCTTCAAGAAAAAGAGTTGAGGGCACATGTATATGATAAAAAAATTCCAACCAGAGGAGAGACGATATTAAAAACACACATTGAAAAACTGTTGTTCATAAGAAGGGATTTAGAACAAATGATGTATCAAGTCACTCAATAGTAAAATCCTTAAACAGAATGATACTGAGATATTGATGCAGCAGTTCTTGACTTACGCAAATCTAGTAACAAAAACTTAACTCAGCATTGAGATGATTTCGAAGTAAATAATTAAGATCTAGGCTTCTCCTTCTTCTCCTTGAAAAGGGCCAAGAGTGAGACTCCAGACACCTTCACAACCTTGAATCTAACACCAGGAATATCTCCCACGGCATGTCCCTTTCGTCCAAATCCAGCGATCAAAACTTCATCCTGCAACGGAAAAGATTGCAAATTTTTGGAAGTAATTAAGTTGGATTAGAGTAATGTGGAATAATAATAGTAAAGTAAATATAATAATAACATTAACTCACATTTTCTTCAATGAAATTTAAACATCCATCATTGGGGACGAATGCAGCTATCTTTTTGCCATTCTTAATGAGTTGAACCCTAGCACATTTCCGAATGGCAGAGTTCGGCTGCTTAGCTTCAATACCACTGCATTACCACAACCAGAAGCTTAGGTTTTTAGTTACATTAAAGATGCAGACTAAGGATAGAGTGGATGAAATGGAGTCTCACATCTTTTCAAGCACAATGCCTTTGGCATGAGATGATCCCGCAAATGGCTTTTTCCATTCATTGCCAAGGTGAGATTTCTTGTAGGCTTTGTCGGCCCATCTTTGTCTCCTTCTGTGGGACTTGAGCTTGCGCCCAGCTCCCATACCATGTGTCTTCCTGTGACACAGACAAGCATGAAAAGTGGACAATTTAACAAGAGAAAACAGGAATAACTGGCATGGATACATTATCCATTTTGGATTCTAAGTAATCTCTTGATTTCAATTAAATTAGGAATTGATAGTCAGAACAACCAACATAAAGCATGAACAAAAATAATCACAATATCAATCAACATTGCACCTACCATGTACTAAATCTAGTTATGTTGGTCGCTATAAACAAAATATAGCCACTCTTATCTGAACAATTAAATTGAACGCAAAGCAAAAGTCTTTCACCGTATTGAACCTATACAGATCTGTTATAGAAAACGAATTCTGGCAGAGCGAAGAACACAATATACCAAATAAAAAGGTATCCAGACGCGATAAAGTAGTAAACTCGATAAGTCCCTTAAGAATACATAGATGTTGTAATGTAAATGTCACACGAGCATCCCAAAACCTCCAAAAAATATTAAAATCAAGCCACTCTATAAAAGATATCATCAGTTCAGCCATTCAAAATCACAACAAAGCATATAGACATTCAAAAGAAGAAGAAAAAAAAAAAAAAAAAAATCCACCGAAAAACCACAAGAAAGATGCAAACTACGAATCACCAAAAATGCAATAAAATTTGTACACGTACCCCATGATTGCAGAGCAGAGGCAACAAAGAGAACAGAGGTAGGGGTTGAGAGCTCGGGAGAAAGAACAGGACTGCCGACTCGCACAGAGGTGTAAACCCTAATCCACAAAGCGAAGATGGATCGTCTCTGAAGGTATTTATAGCAAGATATCATTTTGGGCCTGTATATGGGCCTAGAAGCCCAATACATGCTTTTGACGAAAATATGGGCTTAATTAGTCCCAATAATTATTCGTATCCAAATTCCAATTAGTATCATTTTTATCAACAGATCCAGCTTACCTGCCAAATAATAACAATAATAATTTTTATTTAAAATTAATTTCATAAGCTAGATTTTTCACTTTATCTGAAGCATATGCATTATGAATCCTGTGGTCGAATCTACAAAATATAAACATTGTCGCTCTGTAAATCAGATCTTACAAGACAATGGAGATTAATACCATATGCTCCGGCTCAGTAGACAATAGAGTTTTGAAAGTTTAGGGTTTATTTTTTTTCTATTTTGATTTGAAGATTATTTTTTTGAGATAAGAAAATTGTGTGAAGTATTTTGTACAAAAAGAATACATATTTATTACTCTTGAAAATTTTGAGAATTTCATATGATTGTTTTGGGACAAAGATATATATATATATTTAATATAATATTTTTGAAAAAAAAAAAATTAAATAGAGGCAACAAAGCCAAGGTTTTGCAGCTACAAGAACAAGTGTGTGTTCGTATATATGACAGGCATGAAGGTAAGGAAATAGTATTTGTTGAGAGGCAGCTAAAAAAAAAAAACATTGAATTAATTCTTGAATTATTGAAAACCAAAATGTTGAAAATTCATAAATTGGCCATGAAATAACTATACACCTCACTCACACACAAATATAATGAGTTGCAATTCAAACTGTTTACTTCTGCCCTTTCTTCCACAGCACTCCTATCCTTTTCAGCATGTTTCCATTTCTCTTCTTCGGCGAATCCTCGTCGTCCGTGTCTTCAGATTGCGAATAGCTCAACTTTGTGTCGTTACTGTGGTAGTCGAAAGATCCTGTCTTGTCTATATACCTGCCGTGATCATCCGTAGATAGCATTGCTGTGGCAGCTTCAGCAGCCTTCCTCCATTGATCACATTGCACCTTCAACCTCCTTAGTTCAGCTTCCATGTCGAAGTTAGCAGCCTGAGCTGCATCGAGCTGCTCGGTGGCCAGTGCAGCTTTTCTGAAACTTTGATTTGCTTCCTCTGTTAAAGAACCAAGCTTTATTGAGGCTTCATGTTCTGCAGCTCGGGCAGCCTCTGCTAATGCATGTGCTTCTTCATTTGCTTTGCTTCTTTCCTTTTCACTCATCTTGATTTCAGATTTCAGAATCTTGTTTTCTTCGATCACAGTTTGTAACTGCAACTTTGTACTTAGCAGATGAGCCTTAAGATCTTCGAGCTCTGAGAGTGACTTCTTTAGGTAAGCATCAAGTTCATGTTCAAGATTCAGTCCATTGTTCTTGCAAGACATGCTTTGTAATTCCTTTTCTTTCTCAATCAAAGTTGTCCTCAGTTCCTCAACTTCATCCCTGCTTTCTTTTAGCTGTTTCTCCAGTTCAGCTGCTTTATAGGATGATTCCAGTTTTGCATGCTCTATTAGTTCATAGGATTTACCAATCTTCAGGGTGCTTTGAATCTGCTCGTCTTGATATCTTCTTTCGGCAGCTTCAAGTGCACCTCTCAGTTCACTGACTTCATTTTTCATACTGCTAATTTGAGTTTTCAAATGTTCAGATTCATCAGTTTTTACTCCAATCTTACCTTCGGCCATAGGAAGGATCAGCGTCTTATTGTGGTCATCTCGATTGGCTTGGAGGATGCTGATGAGTTCCTGTAATGACTTCACTCTATTCTTGTAGTGCTCCAATTCTAGTCGTAAAGTGTTGTAGGCTTCCACGGCATTAACACGTTCTTCTTGCAGTGTTTTCCCGGCAGCTTTCAATATCTCTAGTTGCATATGAACTCTAGTAACTTCATCATTGCTTCGAGCTTCAGATACTCTGCTATCACTCAACTGTGTCTTTAATTTCTCAACCAACACAAGAGTTTCCGTGAGTTCGAGCCTCAAGCTTTGTATCTCAGCATGGGCAGACTCGGCGTGCCTAGCTTGTGAAGCTTCCGATTGGTAAGCCCTGTCTAACTGAAGTTTAAGCTTACGCATCTCGTTTATGGCAGAAGCCAAAGCAGCAGAGTCAAGTTCATGCTGCTTCTGAACAGCCTCTAGTTCTGATTGCCATGCCCTGTCTCGATCCTGTGATATCTTGCGCAGCTCCTGGACTCGAGTATCCTCGCACTCGGACAGTTCCTTCAGTTCTTTCTTAGTCTCCTCGAGTTCTGCAGTTACAACTGCAAGTTGTTTCTTAGCATCTTCTGCTTCCTGCTGAGCACTCTTCCATGATTCGTTTGAGCTCAGCTGCTGCTTTGCCTTCTTCAATTCTTCTTGGAGGTGGATGATCTGGGAGTCCAATTCAGACACTTTGTTTGATCTCTTCTTCTGAGATTTTGCAGAAGGAAGAGAAGGGGTGTGAAAAATATTGCAAGAAAAGGTGAGGGAATACAGAGGATAAAAGTGCATCAAGAAAATAATAATGCTACAGTTTTTTAGACATGCTGTAGTGAATACGTGTCCAATGAGAAACGTCAAACTAGTATTTGTGTTTTAGTCGAATGGGGATAGCATTTCTTACTACTGTCACTCCATGTATCGTCAAGAACAAAGAATTCCAGGTTTATTGCGACCAAATATGTTATGCTAAAACAGCACTAGCTTATCAGCATCTTCATCTATTAGCAGTTTTTAAGAAATTGGATTTTGGGAACTAAGAATGTATATATCTTTACCTCGACTGCCAGAACTCGTGGTGATCTCCGATCAGCAACTTTCGCACTTCTGTCTTTAGGTGTTTTGCTAATTGGATTTGGGGATGAATCAGAATCTGATCCATGAGTTTTGAGCTTCCTTGCAGTTCTAGTTGTGGCGAGAGATTGCTTCTGTGGCACATTGAGAGAACCAGGCCTGCACTTAAAAACACTTTCACTTTCAGATATGGAATAAAGATAAGATGACAAATCATATTGAGAAAGCCAATTGACAAATCTATGCAAATGAAAGCTTGAAAAAAACTTGACCATACTCAAGATGAAATCTAAAACAAACATCCATGTGAAGATGTTTGCAATGTGCATTCAAAGTATGGTGTTACAAACAACATTTTCAAATATAAGAAGATCAATCCTTGTGCCATTTAAAATTTGCTATTTCTCTTTTTCGGCCATTAGTTTTTGGAAACAGTTCAAAAATCTAATCCTCACAACTACAGAGCGCACAAAAACGTGGAAATAGATTTAGATCGCGACTCCCGAGCCATTGCTTCATAATATGAATGAGTAGAATTTACCCCTTCAAGGGAATACACAGATGATTAAGTCATGAATCATGTCGCAGGGGAACAAACCACAGATTTTGTGTCAGAAATCATTAAAATGCAAGAAAGCAGAAGCCCCAGAAAGGAGAAAGCAAGAACATCTATCCAACTAGATTATTTAGCCCCAATTCATGAATGAATCATAAACAAAAATTACCTGGGTTTAGGGGTCTGCATATTTTGTTGTATCAGAGAGATGAAGATGTAGCAAGGTAGATGCCTTGAAAGGCCCACCTGACCCACAAGACTGCAATAGAATTTCTCGAGGAATTTTTTTGTTTGTTTGTTTAAATATATAAAAACAGCCTAATCGAACTTCTGCAACGAAATCCAACTTCTAATCAATAATCAATTGAAGAAGAAAGAAGCAATACCATCCCTTCAAAGGAAAACCATAGGAAACAACCTCCACTCTACCAACCAAACCCACAACAGAAGAAAAAAATATACGAATAGAAAAAAAGCAATAAAAGGTAAACAAAAGAGGTAGCTATCAGGGGAGAAACAATATCATTATACAAACCACAATACCAAGTTTCAATTTTCCCTTTCTCTTTACTCTAGGTCATTCACTGTTTTAGGATAATATTATTGGTACAACAGAATAATAGCAAATGATAATATATAACCCACTATTCTTCAGCAAAATTATGAAGTGCTCGAGTGTGAATCCTATTTCAAAATTGGCACTCATTTATTCGGTACATTAAAGCCGCGATTCTGTCAGTCATATATTTCTATCCCCATACTGTTAATATGGCTGCCAAAAAAGGATTCTGTTCCCAGATAGGTAAAGATGGCTCTACGTTTTTAGAATGGCAAGTACGAATTATAATATAAATGGAATCTAGATAATATCAGGATGTCAGAATCCATTTTCTGAAACCGTACACGCATTTCTGGATTCAAAATTTTTCTCTGCTTGAAACGCCATTGCACTTATTTCTCAATAAAACTCTCAACGGAAATAAAATTGAAGATCACACCGCAGTGAACAACTTTTATATGGCAACCACATATAAATAATACAGACAGCTAATGTGAAAAAGAATCTCACTGAAACATGACAGCAAATAGCGAAGAGAAACAGAAAAAAAGTTTGAATTTCAATAAGAATGGATAAACACCAAAACATCGGTCTTAGCTCTAGGATTCAACAGTCAGTTCTTTTCCAGGAAACATGTCAGCCGTACCGACATGCAACATACACAGGGATTACATTTCAAGTGCCATGTTGTTTTCACCAACAGTCTACAATCCTTCTCCGCCACAAACTCCAGAAAAGGAATGCAACACAATACCTCACAGGCTCATATTTTTAAAAAAAAATCAACTAAACAATAACTCGTAAATTCCAAAACTCAAATTTCCATAAAAAAGAAATACACGATTTGCGATCAACATCCATAGCTCATATCATACACATATAGAAACCAAAATTTCGATTGTGGAACGTAAACAAAACCGTCAAACTTACCAGATACAAATCTGAGAGTGTGCGTCCTGTCCTCCACGGTAGTTCCAACAGAATGGACTAATTTAAAGATGAAACTGGGCGGCGGAATGGAGAAGATAAGAATTGCTGAGAGATGGTGGAGCTGTATAATCTCCGCTCAGCAGAGCCTGCTGTCTCCAGCTGCAGTGCGGCGGTTCCGAAATGCTTTCTGTGTTTTCTGTTCAAATAGCAAAATTGAGGAAGCCTGACTAACTAATGACTACACAAACGCCTACCTTGCCTTGTTTGGTACATACATACAATTTTTTTATATGCCTGCATTTTTAAATCTCAATAAATAAATATGTTTACCATATATTAAAAAAACATAATACCCGTGTACATAAAAAAATAAAATAAAATAATTATCGTGCGTAAGTGGTGGGCAAAGTGAGTATTCTTGGTTTAATATAAAGTTAAAATTGTCTGATTCCATTCTTAAATGTGTTACGCCACCTCGTACTGACTAGCGACTGCTAACTATATCGATCTATTTTTATTTATTAAGGCCAATAGGAGAGTCTGAATTCTAGAAATTTTAAATGAAAAGAGTGATATTTGGACAGGTTTTTGAATATTAATATTATATTGATTTATAATTAAAAAAATAATGTAATGATATATTTGTAAAAGTATTAATTATATATGTTAAAAAATAATATATATATATTTTTTAACCGTTGAAACGTGATTTGGATTTAGCGATCTACTGACCCTGAAACAAAGGGAAAAGGACTATTTCAATTGGCAGATTCCTTTTGGGCTTATCCTAATTAATAACAAATAGGTTTAAGGTTTCGGATGTTTTTGGTACTTATAAATAGACAATTATAGTTCTTAGTCGGATGACATATTGTAAATCTCTCCGGTTCCTGCCGTGAACGTAGATTGACACACCGTCATCGAACTACGTAAAACCTCTTTGTTTTTTGTTTTTTTTTTTTCTCGTTTTCTCGTAACATTAACGAATTAAAATAAAAAATAATATAATTCTTATGGAAGGGAAGATTATATTGAAGATGCTAACGAACACATCATTTGATTTCTTCCGGGAGACGCATTTTCGGCCAATCCGAACTCAGCACTAAATGCGAGGAAACAGACGTAATAATATACCAAATTAGTTGACTCGAAGTCAGTTTCAATTTCCCGATTCGAAACGTGCATTTATGATGGCATATTTAAATTCAGGGTAAAAATAATTTAAATCCCAAATTATAAAAACGAAGGCTATGTGAAAATTGATCGATTTTTTTAATTTTATTTTAAATGGCAATTCTAATACAGAAACATTCAATACTCACTCACCCGTTACTACATACACACACGCACACACGTTGAGAACAACACATTTCATGGCTTGAATCGAATGAATCACAAATATGTCTAATTTAATTGGTGTCTAAACGGTCATGTGACGTCGTCGTGGTCGCCCATAAGAATGCAATAAATGTGCAGTGAATATTGTGATGGCGACCAATTTCTAGAAAAGGGTCAAGTTGTATTTAGGTCTATGATACGATCTTATCGTGTGGATTTGGGGCACCCTCCATGGAGATTGCTGCTGCATTCAATTCAATGCCACAAACCTGAGAAGAGACGTAACCTGCGTCACCGCTGCTAAAATAAAACAGACATTTGTCGTGATCAGACAGACCTACCTGTATTGTCTACAACTGCAGTTTGTAATGAAATTAGAAAGAAGGCACCCAACAACTCAATCAAAGTTAGGATCAAATTTTTATTTAATTTATTTATGGGATGAGATGGATGCACACCTTACCCCGTATTATATGCTTCTAACAGCCTTGTGCCAGCCCTAATCTAATCACCATATGTTAATTAGGTACTCATTATTGTCAACATTATTATTATTATTATTATTATTATTATTATTGTTATTGTTATTATTATTATTATTATTATTATTATTATTATTATTATTATTATTATTATTATTATCTGGAGTTCCACCCATCTTTGAATTTGAATTCATATTAAATGGAAATGAGTTTGCAAATAATTATTCTAAGGCCCACTAAATTGGAGTAATGGAAGCTCGAAGTATATAGTATACTTTGTTCAGAGAATTTTAATTTACAAAGTTCTTGGAATTCATATCTAAAATTTTGTTCAATTTGAGTATTTTTAAATTATTGCTTCAAATAATTGGAGATCAAGTGGGTTCTTTGTCCTAATCTAAAAGAGTTGTAAAAATTCCTTATAAATTTAAAAACATTGAGAGACTACTTGCTCTAAACCAAAAACTTGAACTTTGCTGATGTATTCCCATTTCATAGATCTAGTAATTGGATTGAGTTATTACTGGCGATGACTTATCTGTTTTTTTTTTTTTTTTTTTTACATAGTTTTAGAAATATTAGTATTATATTGAGATATAATATAAATAGAGGTAAAAAGATTAAACTAATCTTATTATACGATAAATTTAATGATTTTTTGTAATATATGTAAATTCAAATGATATTTGTAATGTTAAATAAATAAGAAATACAACAATGAAAAAATAAATAGATTGTGAAACAACCATGGTTATATTACTACTAATCTTGAAAATAAGCAACGACTTGGCTGTTTCTTCCCTAAAAATATGCAACGCAACTCGCACGGCTGGGCCGGACCGGTTGTGTTGTCATGGGTCGAAGCCGTCGGGCATCACCTGAGCCGCTGACTGTACGGCTGGGCCAAACCGATTGGGCTGCACTCCTCTCAACCGGGCTAAACACGCTTTATCCCAAAATAATATTCTTATTCTAAAATTGTCTATATCTTTAATTCTCACACCTATAAAACGCTATAACGATTTTGTAATTTAGGCATAATTAAAGATTAAACCGAATGCATGTGGGGCAAAACAGCCGGCGGTATTGCAGTAGAAAGGCATGCGGCAGCATCATTGGTGTCCCCTCCGGACAAGCCGTCGCCCCAACATCGTCGCACCAAAGCTGCAAAGTTTCACGAAACTTCCACTGCTAAAATAAATGAAAAGTTACTGCACAGAGACCCATTTCCCAATCGGGAGTGGACCACCACGAATCAACAGCGCTTTTTCTTTTTGCAATTTATGGCCCAATAACTCATTCTCTCAGGAAATCTGCGCAGTGCGGTTGACTGTAAATGTTATTTTTGTAGGAGTAGGACGATAATGGTGTGGCTAGATGGTCCTTACAGCCTTGTTTTCAATGTCACTTTTGGCAAAAAATAGAAGAGAATGAGTAGTAAAGAGCAAGGAATTGGGAGCACCCTTTTGCCCTTTTCCTGGATGTGAAAAAAAAAAGGCAAACCCTCAATGCTGCTTTTGTTGCTTTTCCAATATAGAATTGATTCTTCTGAGGAATGGCCGGTTTGGATTTGGAATATTGTTCTTTTTGTAAAGCAGATTAGTTAAAGAAATTGCGAGGATTGAAGAAATTCAGGTTTCTGGGGGTAGTGTAGCTGTAGAGCCTTCTGTCTTGCTTGATTTAATTCTGTACAGCAAATTTCTGATGCAACAATGGAATGAATAAATTAAATGGGAGGTGTCTTTTGGCACTTCTGTGACATTCTCTTCTTTCTTTACAGCTGTACCTTCCTTCATCTTTATCATCTCTCTCCAAGCATTTCATCATAAAAATCACTTCACTGTGCACATTGCATCTTTATCTTCAGTTGCTGTTTCGGATAGGAAATACAGAGATTTCATCTCAATCGATTTTGCTGATGTGAGTTGCAGACTGTTTGGTTGAAACGTGTTTATGGAGGTATCTGGGGAATCTAAATCATGGAGGGAGGAGCTAGCAAGCTTAGTGGAGGATACGGGGATTAGATTCCCCGGAGATTCGATCGAAGTTTTGGGGCCGGAGTTTCTACCGAAGGCGACGGTTGAGGAAGAAACGGAGAGCCTCAAGGATCAAATCAAGGGGTTCGTTAAGGCCTGGGGAGAAATGGTGTTGGAATTGGGGAGAGGTTGCAGAGATGTTGTGCAGCAGACTGTACTGACCGATGACTCGTACATTGTGAAGAAAACAAAAGAGCCGTTGGCTCAGGTGTCGGAGAAACTGAGGTTTCTGAACGAGTTCTTGCCGGAAGATCGCGATCCAGTTCACTCTTGGTCGATCATTTTCTTCGTTTCTATCCTTGCACTTGCTGGTAATCTTTTAAATTATTGCTTGTTAGAATTTATCAGACAGCATCACTCTTTTAGTTTACTTCCGAAATCTGAAAATCTGCCAATGAAATTTGTTGTCTGTTCTTCGGTTTACTGTGTGTTAGAATTGAAGCTGTGTTAGCATTTGAGGTTCTTCTTACATGACAGATCAAGATCAGACAATCTGTTCTAAGAAGTTGTGTTTTTGTGGCAATTGAATCTCTCGTTGTATTTACAGTTCTGAGTCCGACTAGCAAGCAAGATAGCACCATTACAATGGCGAAGAAAGTTTCGATACATCCTCGCAGCGCGACACGTGTATTGCTCCCTGATGGCCGATACATGGCTTATCAGGAGATTGGAGTTCCACCCGATAAAGCAAGATACTCCATGATCATTCCACACGGGTTCTTGTCCTCGCGGCTCATTGGTAATCGGCAGCAACTCAAAACTATATATACTTTATGTAATGTTCAGAGACTTGAAAGTTTTTTGAACGATGATCATAAAACAGGCGTGCTCGGTGTGAAGGTGTCGCTGCTTGAAGAGTTTGGTGTTCGGCTCATAAGTTACGATCTTCCCGGTTTTGGGGAGAGCGATCCACACCATAACCGAACACTTACCTCATCAGCTATGGATATGTCACAGTTAGCAGATTCAGTGGGAGTGAAGGGTAAATTCTGGGTTCTCGGATATTCGACTGGCTCTCTCCACGCTTGGGCAGCTCTCAAGTATGTCCCGGATAAAGTTGCAGGTAAAAAAACTCCACTCTTAATGAAGGATTCTTGTATTTGTGTCGAATGTTTGATGACGGCTTGTGAATGTTCTTACCAACAGGTGCAGCCATGTTGGCGCCGTTTGTGAATCCTTACGACGCAAGTATGACGAAAGAGGAGATGTCTAAAGCTTGGGAAAACTGGACAAGAAGACGAAAACTGTTGTACTATCTGGCGAGAAGATTCCCGAAGCTTCTCAATTACTTTTATCATCGAACTTTTCTATCAGGGAAGCACGGGCGAATCGAGAAATGGTTGGCTATATCTCTCGGGAAGAAGGTGAAGTATTCTCTTCCTATCATTGTATCTCTTGTTAGGAGAGCTTGCAGCCATCCCTATCGATTTTCTTGGAATCGTAATCAGGATAAAGATGTCGTGAAATCGTCTTGTTTTGAAGAGAAGTGGCAAAGAGACGTGGAAGAGTCCATTCGTCAGGGCAGCCCGAAGCCATTCGTCGAAGAAGCTGTGCTGCAGGTCTCAAATTGGGGATTCAGCTTAATGGATCTTCAAGTGCAGAGGAAGTGTCTTCAAAAAGGCATTCTAGGATGGCTTCAGTTCATGTCTGGACAGGCAGAATGTGTGCTGACAGGATACAATGGCCCAATTCACATATGGCAGGTTTGCTGCACCTGTCTGTTCTTTTTCTTCCCAAAATTTGCAGAATTACTAATACTAATAATCAATTGTTGCTATGTTTGGCATGGAACAGGGGCTAGATGATCCAGTGGCTCCCCAGTCGACGCTCGAATACATGGGTCGTGCGCTGCCGACGGCGACCATTCATCGACTCCCCGAAGAGGGTCACTTCTCGTATTTCTCTCTATGCGACGAATGTCACCGGAAGATATTCTTAACGCTCTTCGGGAATCCACGAGGACCGGTCGAGATCATCGGAGACGAAAACGACGACGTCGATAATGAGGGGTTATAACATTTTTGGAGTCAATCCAAATGTGTAAAAGATAAATAGGAAGAAGCACACGGTGAAAAGGGTAGAGGTAAAAATGTAGTAGTTTGCATATGATCAAATCTTGAAGGGGAAATTTATGGAGGCAACCATAGCCATAGCCATAGCCATAGCCATAGCCTATCTTTTATGGAAATTTGTCATTTTCCTGCTGGTCCCCAATCTAAAATGGCCTCCATCTTTCTCAATTAAGTTTTGCTAATAATAATAATAAATTGACAAGCAGACAGCTTAGGGGTTTCAAGCATTTCAATAGACATCTAATCTAATCTAGAAAAACAGGTCACATTTTGGTTGGATTTGATATAATAATCATCTATAATTAACTCTAACTTTATCTATGGAAGGAGGAATCTTTTAAATCCAAAATGAAATGATGTTTGTGATATAGTTAACTTGCCCATGAAATGAAATGGAATATCTTAAGAACCAACTAAAGAGATTTTTTGCACCCCAAAAGAAATGATTTCATGAAATCAGAATAATCAAGTTTGGTAAAAATGTCTCACTTTAACCAGAAAAATAATGCACATCAATCAATCTCTTTTTCAAGATTTGGTAACTCAGTGAACAATCCAGCCGACTCTCTGATTTTCTAAAGAAGCAAACACTGCCGACTGTCTCCAAAAACTTGCTGTGTGGGCAAGAAATCTTGCCAGGTCCTACCATCCTGCAAAACTTACCTGGACCCGGACTCCGGGATCCGCGGCCCATAAAACTTACTGACGTTTTAAGACCAGAGTAAGTGGAATGGAACACAACATGGACACGTGCTAAAAGGTGTAAAAAGACCCACCCGTGCGTGCACTTTACAAAATATTTCCTTCGGTGAGTAAACCAGAAAACAGTAACCCTAATTAGAAGGTAAATAACTCGGGCAGGGCAGGCGCTCCTACTCCTAGGACCTCCCAAGAATGTACGAGATTATTTAATCCAACCACACGGTCCACACCACCTCTAATGAAACAAACATCAATGAGATAGATGCACATACAAATAAATACATACAAACAAGTTTAAACACAGCAGCAGCAGCAGGATATTGAACACGGGGAAGAGAAATTATATATATATATGTGTGTATATATTGGTATCATCATCAGTATCCATTACAGGCAGCATCGTGCAGAGTGCTCACATTTGAGCTTAATAAAAAAAAACACACAGAAGAAGAAAAAAGAAAGAAAGAAATGAAAGCTCTATCAAAGCCGCTGTCGAGCCCAGGGAGGGCAGGGGGAGACAAGTTCCCTCCGCCATTGATGCGATTCTTGAGGAGCAATGCGGGCAGCCGAAGCAGCCGGGGAAGATCGCGCTCCAGCCCATTGTTTTATCTCAGGAGCAGGAATAAGAATCGTGTCCCCATTGAGACAACTCAGGAGCCCTCCTCCCCAAAAGTCACCTGCATCGGACAAGTCAGGGTCCGCCGCGCCGCCAAATCGAAGGGCAGGGCCGCCGCCGGGAAACGCCGCCGGTGGTGGTGGTGGGTGAAGAAACCCTTCTCCTGTGGGAAAGTCTGTTCGAGATTCCGCCGGTCCAAGAGCGGGTTTGGGAGATTTTTCTGCAGTTGGGGTTGGGTTTGGAAGTTTGGGGATTCTAAGGAGGATTCATTTAGGGTTCATTCGGACAATAACAGAAAGAAGATTGATGAAGATGAAGATGAAGATGAAGATGAAGATCCCCCTACTGGTAGTAATAACAATAATTATTACAACAATAGCACGACGAGCAGAAGCAGCAATGTCGTGAGTGAGAACGACTGCAATCAGAAGGATTCTTCTGAAACGCCTTGCTCTTGTCCGCCACAAAATGCCCTAATTTTGACAAGGTGCAGATCTGCTCCCTACAGATCTTCTTCATTGGGAGGCAGATTTTGGGGCTCTCCATTGTCCGAAGAATCGAAAGGGAACAACAGTGAAGAAAAACTCCAAGAATTAGGGGTGCCAATAATCGAAAGCTGTAAGGGATTGGGGAATTCTTCTTCTGCTGAAAAAGATGAAGAAGAATTGAAGGTCAGCAGCAATGGCGGAGAAGAAGAAGAAGAAGAAGAGGGGAAAAATCCACCATTGCCATTAGTGCTCACAAGGTGTAAATCGGAGCCTGCAAGAATAGGGGAAAGGCTTGTTCCACAATCAAATATCTCAAATCTTCGTTCATAGAATTCATACATAGAAATTAGAAATAATATTTTCTCTAAAAGGTAAATTTTTCATTAGTAGATTGTGATGCTGTTTTTTGAATATGCTTATTAAAGAAAAGATTTTTACAGTTTATTGCTTGGTTGATAGATTGCTCCATGATCATCATCATCATCATCTGATGATTCCTTGAAAAGTGACACAAGAGTGCAATAGCCTCTCTTTTCTTTTATTATTGTTTTTTTCTTAAAAAAAAAAAAATCATTTTTCTTGGGTTTAGAAAAGTGGGAGAATCTTTTGTGTCAAATTGGAGATACATTATTAATGTTAATAATATTATATGGATGGATGGATGGATGGACGATGTGAAATTGTCAATGGAAAAGAGGGAGATGTGATGTGAATGAGAGTTAGTACACTGAGAAAGATGTTAGGACAGTGAAAAAACGTTTCCTACGCAGTCTCTGTGTGTCTGTGGCAGACTTTATGGGCAGAGACAGACAGCTCTTCAATTTATTTCTTGCTTGGGTTTGTGTATTCTAACTTTCTTTTTAATTAAATAGTGGAGTACTTTGTAAAAGTTAGTCGTAGTTTATGTCAATTGATATCAATATATTCCATATCATTGATTAAAATGGGGGCCGTTGATTAAGACAGATTATTCAATACCTTACAACTCCCTTCTGAATTTGACCACTATTTTTTTATATTCGATGAATTTATTATTTTTCTCTAAGAACTGTCACAGATGGCACGCTGATGATATTTATATATTTGTATTAATGTTAGAAAAGAATGAGGAAGCTGGAACATCAAAATAACCTCAAAAAAGAGATATTGTAAAACACCTTTTTTTTTTTAATAAAGAAAACAGATATGTTCTTACCATTGTACAATGAATTACATTGAGCAAGAATGAGTATGTCATGAGATAGAAAATATCAACACAAATCTAAGTCAAACATTACAAATGAGTCCAAATTTCTCACTATTTTAACACAAATTTAATAATGAAATTGATTGAAATAAATGTGTTTAGAAGCACGTTCTGGGCAATCCATGGATATTTTTTCATTTCGCTTTTTTTACATAATTTTAAATAAAAATAAAATATTATCTCTTACAGAATAACTTTTTTTTTTAAAAAAAAACAGCAAAACTACTTTCACCATACATAATATGGAAAAGACCAGAGCCCATGAAATTGTGGTGTGGGTTTGTATTTTCATACTGAAAAGATATGATTTCACCCATACTTTTTTTAAAAAATAAAATTAAAAAAAAAACATGGCAACGACACTTGGATTCAACTTCCCCCAAGTTTGGTTTGTTATAAAGCAAGACAATGCACAACAGAACACAAGCTTCCAAAAATCCAGAACCTCCCAACTGAAATTTAAACAAAATGATGATGATGACGAGATATATGTCTAAATCTCCAGCAAACAGAACAAACAACAAATTACAACCAAACATGTAAAAAAGAGATCAACATGGTTGGGTGGATGGTGGTTCCAAATCTATAGTCTAAAACCCTGTGTAAACAAACAAGTGTTCTTTCTTGCATTATAATTGCCGAAGTTCTTGAAATGGGCAAGTGCTAGTTCAGGCTAATTCTTACCATTAATGATTATTCTCCAGGTGCTGACACACCTTGCTTGAGTCTCTCCCTCTTCATCTTCTTCTTGGAAATGGGCTTCTTCTTCTTTGGGGGAAGGGTCTTTTGGGCATACAGATACAGAGCATAATTTCCAATCAGGAATAGCAGCAGCAGCCCACCCACCACCAGCAACACAATCAATCCTGGGTTGAATCCTCCTTTGCCCACTACTGCATCTTTCCCCAAATTTGTCTGAGAACAAGAGCAGATATGCAGAACTAAGTATAAATCTTAGTAATGTAATTCACATGGAGAAATCAGTATTATGTAATACAAAGTTGCCATTGCAAATGGCAGAATAGAACATCCCCAAATACAAATCTGCATTGAAATTATAAAATGCAATACTAACATTTCTTACGAAAATGATGATTCTCCATTCTCTCTCCCATATCACTATTCCAAATCAACATATTTGATTTCAAAGCACCAATCCATATTCCAAATCAACATGGTTAATTTCCACAAAATCAACAGCATTCTACTAGTAGAACGCAACACCATAAATTCTAAATCAACACCAACATACAAGGCAGATAGACAAATCTCCCTTCGAAAGCAAACACAACAGATCACAGAACATAAGAGCTAAAATTGATCCGAAAACACAACAGATCTATCATCAGCCAAGTGAAATTCGAAGTAAAATCTAAGGCCAAATAAAAAACAAACTCACCATCCTATCAAACGAAGGGGGCGGGATGTGATCGTCGAAATCTCCTTCGTAATCCATCGCTCTCCAAGCAAAATCAAGGAAAAAGGGGAGAAAAAAGGGCAAGATCTAGAAGGGGAACAGATTATTAGTATTATTCTTATATGAAGTTAGAGTGGTGAGAAAGAACACACACTCCGTTGGGGCGACTGCAAATTTGCAATCCAAAACCCAAATTACAGCAATAGCAGGAGGCGTGTACGTTTACTCGAATTTCCAAATTTATTTTGTCGAACATCCAAACGCGTCGTTATACTGCCGCCGCAATTGGGCCGACTTAAAATGGGCCAAGAATTGGCCCAATGGACTATAATGAAAATTCCCTAATTATAAATTATGCAATAGGTGTTAGAAAATGTATTTCAAAGAAGAAAAAAGTGAAATGACATCCAAAAAAAAACAATGATGAGGAGGAAGTTGTTGTGAAACGGTGGAAGTATAAAAAACCCTTTACATTTGGTAGACAAGATTCTTGATGGGAAATTGTGTACATGTGTGGTGTTGTGTCATGGTTGGAGTGATGATATCTTGTCAGTTAGTTTAACAAGAGAATAATTACATCATAGTATGTATTAAATCGGTGGGTGTGGGTGGGTGTGTGATTTGAGGACACTAATTTTGAGATGGGTTTGGATGGATTAGATTGAATTTGTGGAATGATTGGACACAAGTTTGTATAAAGAAAAGTGGAAAAGAGACAAAGGGATGGAGATTTGTCCATGTTTGAGCATTTAATTCATTGAGACAGCCATTATAAAATTTATCTGAGAGGAGCTGTCATGTTTGGTTGCAATCATCAGAAACTGTGTGCTATAAAAAAGCTGCTTCTGGACCAGTTTGCATCACCCATTCTTGGGAGCTCCCTGGTGCTCCATGCCACATGGATCCACGTCGCCCATTCATAATGAATGGATTAGTGTGACCCGAGTGTAATATCCGGAGTTCAGGTCCTGGGAGCTCTCAAGAATCACCAGGTTTTGCTAAGAAAATATCAGCACAGTGCCATGTTTTTCCACTGCTCAGGAGTGTGGTGCGTGGCAAGCAAGAATCATGAAAATATTGAAAGCCCAGATATGAGAAGATGGGAACTTTATTGGTATAATGTTGTTGGGCAAATTGCATATGCATTTCCTCAGGCAATAATTACATCAGTTGTTAGTTGGTTGTGCACTTTACTAAACCTCTACTTGAAGTACTACTCTTTTGCAAGATGGATAAGAAGGAAAAATGATCACACCACCTTTTCCTTCATCCAAAAAATAAAAAGATTTGAGAACAAATAATTTTACACACATATTACAAATTTGATGTGAAATGTGAGTAGTGGTGATATTTGCAGGCAGAGTGAACTGAATCTGAATGTATGTAATGTAACAAATAAACGAATGATTAATTATTAATGAATTAAGTTAATAAACGAACTAACGAACGAACGTACAGTTGCAGGCAATGTCAAATTTTACAAATCACACCAAGTCTACGCCGCCGTGGTGGATGAGGCTATTTTCCGACGACGACGACGACGAGGTGGCGGCGATCATGCAGTTCAAATCGGATTCCGATACGCTGTCCTGCAGCGTCAGCAAAAGCTCCGACGTGCTGAAACTTAACGTTGGCTTCGCCCGAGGCACCACCGGAACTTCGGCTTCTCCGACCAGCATCTGCACCACCGCCCTCATCGCCGGCCTCGCCGCCGGGTCCGGGTGCGAGCAGGCCAGCCCCACCAGCAGCACCCGCCGCATTTCCGATTCGTTGAACTCGTTCCCCAGCCGGGCGTCCGCCGCCATCATCAGCCGCCCTTCCCGGTGCAATCCCCACACCCATTCCACCAAATTGCCGCCGCGTCCGCCGCCGGCCTTTCCGGCGTCTTTCTCGATGGGGCGCCGCCCGCTGGCCACTTCGAGCACCACCGCGCCGTAGCTGAAAACGTCGGTCTTATCGGACGCCCGGCCGGTGAGAAGATATTCCGGCGCCAGGTAACCCATCGTCCCCGCCGCGACGGTGGCGTCCGGCGACTTGTCGTGCTCGATTAGCCTCGCTAACCCGAAATCTCCCAATCGGGCGTTGAACCCTTCGTCCAGCATAATGTTGCTGGCTTTGATGTCTCTGTGGATCACCTGATTCTCGCACTCCTGGTGCAGGTATGTCAACGCCGACGCGACGCCGAGGAGAATCCGCCGCCGGTGAGGCCACGGCAGAGTCATCCGAGACTCGTACAGTGCCTTGTCGAGGCTTCCGTTGGACATCAAATCGTAGACGAGTAAACTCTCACCTTTGTCGTGGCACCATCCCTGAAGCCTGACGAGATTCCGGTGCCGGAGAGTTGCAATTATCGATAATTCCGACAGGAACTCTGCCTTCCCCTGTCCGTTGAGAGTGCACCTCTTCACCGCCACGGCGTCGCCGGTGGCCGGAAGTGTGCCTCTGTACACTGTTCCGTACGCCCCGTGCCCGATAACCCGGTTCGAATCGAATCCCTTGGTGGCAATGTTGAGCTCCTTGTACCCGAATTCCTTTGGCATTTTTATTACATCTGAGGCTAAAGTGTCCGACTTTTTGCCACGCTTGAACTTCTTTCCGTACACCCAAATCAATGCCACTGCACAGAATCCCAAGAAAAATGCACTCGCCGTTACCACGCCGGCGACGGCGCCGGGGCCGCTTTTGCAGAGCTGATTGTGGCACTTACCGTCGCCGTTACTGTCTTTATCGTACGACGTCGTGTTGGCGGCGACGGTGGAGTTGGGTTCTGCAGTCGGTGGCGGAGACTTGGCTGCACTCGCCGTGGGGTTCATCAAACTAGCCGTTGGCGTCGGCGGCGCCGCCGCCGAGGGATTATCGTCGAAGGTTGAAGTGAAGCTCCACCATTCGATGGAATGGATTTCAGTGCTGCCCTGAGTTGACCCGGAGAATCCGACGAACATGAAATCGTTGACGACGAAGTCGTTCAGATCCAATTCGTCGGACAAAATTGGGTCTCTGGGCTTCAAATTGGAATACGATACGTAGACTTTGATGGTCCGGTTAGGACCGGAATAATCGACCCAGGCATTGACCAGATCGCCGCTTTTCAAATCGACGTCGATGGTGTCCAAATTACCGACTCGACTGGAAACCATGGAATTCAGATCTAACCCCACGTGATTCCCATTGATGTCCTTAAATTCAACGTCCAAAAGGGTGTCGAATTCCACCGCCACCACGTTCTTCTGGGAACCCTCGCCGTCCATGGCCCCCAAAAACCCTCCGGCGTCGCCCACGTAGTCGTCGTCCGGCGAGATCACAAATGCAATCCCCCCGCCGATCGATGAGGGGTTCAAGTTCGTCACGCAGAACGAGAAGAATGTGGAAAAGCTCGCCGGCGACTCAGAACCCGGCCGCCGGAACTTGATAGGCTTAGAATACAAAACTTTTCCGGCGCCGGAGTAAGGCACGCCGACGTCTCGAGTTAGCCTGAAGCTCTCGTTGCTCAAATGGGCGTCTCCGAGGAGCTTCATGCTGGACAGCGTCATCGATCCGGAGTCAAATTCAATCGCCACCGTCAATCCTAGCAAAACTAAATCCGCAATAAGAAGGAAACAAAAGTACAGTCCACCGGAAAGTGGCGCCATCGTCTTCACACTTTAGAACTGTTATCCATGAGATCCCAAATTCATAAAGGATCTTTTATTTGAAGATTTTAGCCTAAAAACCAAGCTAGCGGGAGAAAGGTAGCCAGCTAGCCAAGGGCGTGGTGCCTGTGTGTGTATAAATGTGGAACCAAAATCTGGAAAGGCAGTGAGGAGGAAGAAAAGAAACAAATGAGGAAGACGAGAGAATCCGAAGAAGACAGGATGGACGCCACGTGTATTATTCCACCAACGGTAATATTTCTGTGGGTCGGTTACCCGGTTTTGTTGCCAATGAAGAAGACACTGTGAAGATAATGCTTTATTACTTTCATTTTATTTTATTTATTATTTTAATGCTATTTTTTATGGATGCTTTATTATTTTCTTAATGTTGATTATACATATTTATTTATTTATATTTAATTTCAAGCTGGATAATGCCATATATCTAGGGGAGAAAAAAGCTGCAATTTTATAGTCAACATTTAACCAAAGAATGCATAAAATGACTTTTTATAAAGTGCAAAATTTTTGGAAGAGTCAGATGCTGAACCAAAACTCAACATTTAAAGCTAGCCACTATTTGCCGACATTTATTATTCATTCTTTTGCAAATTTGATAATATTTTATATTTGGTGAATAAATGTTCTCTTGTCATTAGATTTTTTTTTTTTTTTATAATAAATAAAATGGTAGAACTAAATTTTAAAATAAATAAAGATAAAAGGATGGTAGAAAAAAGTAGGTGGACGTAACAAAAGTACTTCTCCGATTTTTTTTATTTATTATTATTATTTTTTTTTATAGATTTATCACTATTTTGGGAAAGTGAGTTTGTGTACTGTGTATGGGCACTTTCAAATAAAAATAAGATTTGATTTATAAACGAGATGTTAACTGACATTTTAACCCCTCACTCCTCTTGGGAATGAAGGCAAAATTGATAATATGACTGTGGCCATGCCATGTGACCAATAATGGCTGCTATCATTATTTAATCCCATAAATATTTAGGTATAAATAATGTGACAATAGTTTGACGCAGACATGTCATAATGGGGCAATACAATTAGTCAACCAAAAAACTTCAATTATTTGTTACATTATGGAAGATATTAAAGCCAGTTTTCACAATAGAAAAGCATGTTCTTACTGTCCACCATTGGGTTTTGGTCATTTTCTAAAATTTAGGGGTATTAGAGGTATTTCAGCCAACTGATGCACAAACAATTATACAGGAATGGATCATCTTCATTGCTGTGTCTCTGTTTGTGCTGTGATTGTCAAATTCATCTGCTACATACAAGGTATGGCCATATTAACCTATCTGTCTTATGTGTCCATCCATCAATTCAAAAAAGTTGTTGACACCTAGCTAGCTACCTACATTGGAATTCTAAGCAGTGGCATGGAATTCTAAACTTTAATCATTATGGAGACTAAATGCAAATGATAGAAAACAAGACATTGAAACTGTAATAATAATAATAATTGCAGACTGTTGATATCATTTATCAAAGAACTGCCTTAAGCCCTTAACTAATGAAGGAGAAAGCGCACAGCATATATTCCAACCATTACTTTCCACTATATTTAGAATATTAGTTTGCACTACAATGTTGCCAACTATGTTCTAGGCTATTGATTCCAGCAAGATTTCTTTCTACAAACCATTCATATGTCAGTGTAAGTCATCCTTTTCCAATTGGAAATAGAACTTCATGTAGAAGCTAAGTTCAAAATAGATTTATGGGCATCATGGAAAATGAGAGGATTTCCTAATGAAGATAGAATTCAACTACAATTGACATATTAATGCAAAATTGTAAGATGGGGACAACAGTGTCATTCAAGATTCACGTACCTTCAGAATTAGGCCTTTTTGTATCCTTTGAACCAGGTTCAGTTTGACCACATTTTCCCAAGTAAGTTGGGCTGTAACTAGAAATTTCCCTGTAGGATTGCCAAGGTGAACCCAATCTTTAGTTACATAACTGAAATTCTTCTATTCTGGATTCATGTGTGTGTACCTGGTTGGAGGACTTCTTTGCCCCTCTGTGATGCCATGCATTCTTCTGCAGGTTATGTACTAAAAATTGTGAACAAGGGCTCCAGAGAGGAAAAGTTATGAAGAAAAGCCCTCAAATTTAGGATGAAGTAACTCTTCTCCAGCTGGCCTTTTCAGGTGCTTAAAATTCAAAATTATTTTTAATTGATCCCTCAAGTAAAGATTCACCAAGGTAGTTATGAATGATTGATGTAAATATGCAATGTGGAACACAGAAGACAGGGTGGCATGGCTAGCTTTTATCCATTGGAACAGGGCACAATACTTTGAAGCCATGTTACTGTAAGCCTATCAAACAACTGAGGGAACTGCAGATCCATAACATGTTCTTTACTAGTTATTCCACCAGCCATTTGTCAAAACAAGAACAGGCTTATACTCCTAATATGTTTCAACATCTCAGAGACAACATAAAACCATAGCTAACCATATTTGATGGAAGAGTACCTAATTTCAAAATAACCCAAGCATGCCAAGAAATGCAGGTCATGACTCATCCCCTAATCTGTTGGAATTCTGAAAATATAAAGCAAAGAAGTTTCCAGTTTCCACTTATAGTATCGGACATGGCAAGAGTCTGGTTCTGGACGCCAGACATGAGAATGGGTCCATAAGAGAATGGGATGCAATTCATTTAAACTGCATGAGGAAAGCAAAGACATTCACAATTGTCAAATGATAATGAGATTATTTTTTTTTTTGATCGGAAACAATGAGATTATTATTTTTATGTACATGGATAGCCAGAATCAAAGATATTCTGTGGGTTAAGACCAAAGCAATATCCATAATTTTCTTTCTTCTCTGACTAATACAAGTGCAATGTATCATAACCCCAAGTAGCATGTGGATGTTGAACACCAAAAAAACTTGTAAGACCGGAAAATCAAATCTAAAATTAATTAAAGAAACTCTGGTTTGAAGTTCAATAGAACTTAGTAGCCATCAACCACCCAGTTTATATGTGTTTCTAAGGAACTTAATTAACATCTTGATGGAGAACATGGATCAAATGTCTACCCCAAAAGGATGAGGCATATTCACTTTCATTAAGACCAGTTTCTCACTTAAAAGCTGGGAAACAGTCAAGTTAAACAAAATGAATAGTTGAAAATCAATGCCAGACTGGTTCATAAAGAAAGTAAATAAGTCACACACCATAGCAATGCAACACAATCATAACCAAGAAGTGTATTTGAAATAACCTGTATGAGTATTCTGACTTACTGAATATGAATCCATCCATGTCCTTCAAACCAAACTATTAAGGAAAAACTAATACCAAGTATGCCAAGAGCCGCAAGTCATAGCTCAACCCCTAATTTGCTGCAATTCAAAAATAACTGAACCTGAAGAAGTTTCCGACCGCAGAATTGGACCATGGCCCAGCACAAACGTATTATAATTCAGAGCTGGACCCTGGACATGGAACAGGTCCAAACTCCAAAGAGATTAAGAGAATGAAATGTAAACATTCAAACTACATAGGCAGCCCTCATTTCTATCAGCACTACAATTCACAATGAGATTATTGCAGCAGATTTAGCATTTAAGAGAAAGTACTGAGTTTTTTCCAAACATCAGGCATCCAAACATTTGACTACACTTATATCAACAATACTTTGGAGTTGTGGAACAAATGTTTTAGAATTAGGCTCTTCAATGTCTAAACAGAACACGGCAGAGCAAACATGAAACCAGAGGACAGATTTCCAATAGCAACTAGAACATAAAAAAGAAACAAAATTTTCTGCTCAATGCAGAAACTTAAATGCATCTTAATCTCAATTCATTTTTAAGAGTGCACACAGAAGGCCACCATTACTTCATGAATGAGGTTATTTGATCTTATTCAACAACCCTAAACTCAAAGGCTGGGGTATTGAAAAGTGCTTCCCAAACGTAAACAAGATATAGCATACACGAACATCATCAATTCTGCAGTGCAACCTTCCGATATAGAGGACTACTTAAAATTGCACAATGCTATCTAGAAGTTACTTGGGAATCCGCTAGCAACCGTTGCTCACTTCTTCTTCTTCTGTGGCGCCTTGCCGCGAGCATGAACCTCTTTCCTATGTAAACGCCGCGGCTTCAGTTCTCCCAGCTTATGCCCCACCATAGCCTCGACGATGCGAAAGGGGATGTGCTTCCTTCCGTCGTAAACGGCAATACGATGCCCCACCATTTCCGGTATAATGGTGGAACCCCTCGACCATGTCTTAATCAGTTCCTTCTGCGACTTTTGATTCAACTCCTTGAGTTTCTTGATCAAATGATTGGCAACGAAAGGTATCCTCCAGCTGGTGCCTCCACCACACAGGGGGACCATGAGGTTGAGTGTTGATTCCTTCTGAATGTTGTAATCGGCTAAGGTCCTGCTGTCCTCCAACTGCTTCCCGCCGTAGATGAGGCGCTGCTGATCCTGAGGAGTTCCTTCTTTGTCCTGAAACTTGGCCTTGATAGTATCGATTGTATCGGAGCTTTCGACTTCCAGAGTGATTGTTTTGCCATTTAGGGCTAACACAAAGATCTGCATTTTCTCTTCCCTGTCGCTCCTTCGCCAAATCGCTGCGTTGTTTAAATATTCGAATACGTTGCACTAACCTCCCTCAAACTTCTATAAATATCAGAGTGGTACTTCCAAATTTCCAATTAAATCCCAAAACTTTTCCAAATTTCCAGAACAGGACTTTTCTGAATATTGTACACTTCACACAAATGTGAATACATTATCATCTATCTGCATAAAAATTGTAGAGATAATTGTTTACCTTGTATCCTTTTGAATATGTAAAATATTTATTTATTTTAATTTTCTCACAAAATATCACATTTATTTCTATTTTTTTTATCTTCACAAAACTCTAAAATTCTAAAAGATACTTGTCTAAACAAAGCTCAACATTAGTATTTGCCATAAAAAAATGGAGGGGAATGAAGAATGAAATAAAGAGAAACAAACAAAAACAAAAATGTAATAGCAGCAGCAGTTTAGAATAGTCTTGCTGAACAATGACAATGCCAATGCCATCATCTCCTCCATTTTCAGAGGAATGTTCTGAAATAGATATATGTACAACAACAAAATAAAAAGGTTTGATGGAATTATAGTTCCATCAATAAGCAGTTTTGTCCTTCATTTTGTCATCCACGGCTGCTGCTTTGCAGATAGGGCATGAGTTCTTCATCGACAGCCATTTCTGAATACAGCCCACGTGAAAATCATGGCCACAGACTTTCAATGTCCCGACATCATCCAAGTTTTTGTATTCCTCCTACAAAAGACAACACCACAGTTTCACCATTATTGAAGCACTGGTAATATCTATGCGTTGTTTGAAATGATGCAACAGAAATTATAAAAGATGTAAGCTGGTTGAAATCTATTTTTATGAACTAAAGCGAAACAATCGGGGATTCTTACCAAGCAGATGACACAGGTTCCTTCATCTTGAGATAGGTCCGATGAACAATATATTGACTCGGTCAGGCACTTAGAAATCAAACCATCAGACAAGCCGGTGCTGACACTTCCAATCCTTTCTCCCAGTGCAAGGAGTTCCTGGTCATACCAAGTAACCAAGTTGTAACAATGAACTAAAACAAATTTGATAAATAAATAAATAAATAATTAAAGCATTCGAGCAAGAAGTGAAAAGAAGTTGGAGAAAGAAAGTTGTATGATAAACTGACCTCATAGCTCATGTTGTCAATGTCAAGCCTCATGTCCCTGTAATGATCAAGCATAGCAGCTCTAGATCCATAATATGCAGAGTGGTCCACAACCACAAGACCCTGAAAAACATGAAGTATTAACTTAGAAGGTAACAAAAACATGAATTTTCAATTAGATATTTAAGTCAAAAGCATGAGGGCATCTCATGTTTTCATTATCCGACTCTACAATTCACTCTGGGAAATAGAATATGGATCTAACATAACAGCTGAAATGACCTCTGAGAAATAAAAATTGGTTTTTGCTAAAAATTGGTATTAATGCATTTTCTAATTAATGCAAAGTGAATTTACTTAAAGAAATACCTCTGGTGTCCATCTGTCACGGATGTTTTCCTCCTCATTATAATATCTATATCTGTCACTTCGAGGGAAAGTCCTTGTGCTTCTTTCCACATTGTGCAGCCTTAAGTTGGGATGTATCCGAGGATGTCTTGAGTGATAGCTCTCAGAAACCACCTGCTGCCCATCATCAGATGGAGCAACATGTCCGGGACGAAATGCGCTTGAGGAAGACTGGAAAGTTGGGGCAGATCTTTGACTATAGCCACTTTGCATCCCTCTAAAGGGTGGATTCACATGGTTGTTAACAGTGCCAGGACCACGGGTAGCATCATTGTTGTAACCCCCAATTTCAAGGGAACTATTAGGATGGGTGTTCGGAACATTCAGGGAGCTTGGATCACGGTTAAGGAAACTAGGATCTGAAATTTTGAACATGAAAAATAATTTAGTTGAATCAGATTATGGTCCACAACAAAATAAATCCAACATAACAAACCTGAGCCTGAAGCTGCTCCATTAGAAGTCGCTGGTGATATAATATTACTGTTCCATTCCCTTGGGGCGTTTGTGCTCTGGCTCCAGAATTCCACTGAATTACATTGATCAGAAGATCTGCTAGATGGGTGATGCAAAGAATTGCTTGACAAATGGGCCCTGGCAACATTAGTTTCCCTGTCAACTGCAGCTCTGCTTCTCACATTTCTTACTGTACCCTCACCACCAATGGAGAGCCCATTAACACCATAACTTGGTTGATATTCCCAGTAGGGATGATAAGATTCATTGTTCGGCTTTTCCTGCCATGGATCTGCAGGTAAGCGAACATCAGAAGAGCTTCCAACATCATAGTATCTGCTTGTAGAACCCCTCTCACAGATTGGAGGAATGCCAGGACTTTTCCGCTTGTATGATCCCCTGCCACCAGCCATTGTCTGATTGTAGAAACCACCATCTGCTCCAGGTATAGTTTGCCCACTAATGTTGGATGAAGGTGGGCGATGCATATAATTATTTTGAAACATGTGGATGTTCCCAGGAGCAGATTGATGCATGAAAGGATCATGAGATGGACCAGGAGCCATCGGTTGATATTGTGGTAATTCACCATTAAAATTGGCTGAAGGGTACCCGCTTGACCTAGGAGCAGGGGGCCACTGAGAAGGAAAGTGAACACCTTGGACTGGCATATTATCCACAGGATGAACAACCGAACTGCTTTCAGAAATGCCCCTTGCTACATTAAATAAGAAATAACATAAGACACATCTTACAGAAACATATTAAAAAAAAGAACCAGTGACTGCTGTAACTAAGTAGGTATTAGCAGGTTACTTTCACATTGAATAAAAGTTATGTTGTCTTTAGGTTATCTGGCAGTTAATGTTTCATAACAGAATCACAATTTCCAGCCAAGAATAAATATTTCATGGCTGGTCTTTCAGGCAACGTAGCTGGTTACAACTACTTAGAGAATAGAAACAAAACTCAAGATAGACCATCAAACAGCCACAAATATGGTTTCCATGAACTTAAAAACTGGCTAAGTGCAATCTTCTGTAATTAGAATACCTTACACAAATAAATACTAACACTCATCCAACAACCTATCCAAAGTGTGTAAGAATACGATGTAAGGTAAGATTCCCCTTTGATTAACTGCTTGAGGCCAGTCTTAGTACTTTTTAATATATATATATATACAAGAATAAAAAATTATGATTGTGAATAAATACCAATGGGCATGTAGGGCTGCTCCGGATGATTCCATCCCTGGTCACGGTCAGTTTCAGAAACCTGAGGTGTATTGTTAAAGATGAGTCGGTGGCCCATAATCGTCTGCTTTTATGAAACTAATTCCTCCAGCAAACCAAAACCTGCAGGGCATCACATATTATTTGAGGATCTGAAGAATTTTAGCAACAATTTCTGAAGAAATAATGAACTTTAGGCACCCATTAGATTTTTGAAGAGCAAGCATTAATTACTTTAGTAGGAAAACATCTTGAGAAGCATGCAACTGAGGCTGGAAAAAAATAATTGAATTGCACAAGAGCTTATTAATTTAGCACACTCCCTCTCATAGTGCTTCATGGTTAAGTTAGTCACTCCACTCTATAGAACTTGAAGGTTATTGAAATCTAGAATAAATCCTACTTCCAAATGATTTGCTATGATTGTCAATTTGTCATTAAACATTACAGGTGCCTGAATTTGAACAAAAGATTATATTTACCACTGACATTTCAGTTCTTATTTTGTGTGTCACCTTCATTGTTTTTGTGCAGAAAAGTAGCCAGAAATCAAAAGCACTCTGCTTTTAAGGTCAAAGCATAATGAATAGTTGTTTTCGCTCTGAATAAGGTAAGTGCATTGAACTATAACCTCAAGTGACATGAATGTTGAACACCGAAAAGACCTGTAAGCATGGAAGACTCGAAACCATAATTAAGTAAAAATACTATGGTTTAAAGCTAAATAGAAATTGGTAGCCTTCAATCATACAGTATCTACATATTAGTTCTTGAGAACTTGAATCAACATATTGGCGAAGATTATGCATCAAATATCTTCACCAAAAGGAAGAGGTGCATTCACATGCAAGATCTGTTTCCCACCTAATAAAACATACTGGGAAATGGTTATGATAAACAAAGTGACATATTTTAAAACATGATGCTAGACTAGACTATAAACAAAGGAATCAGAGGCAACTTAAGTCATGTAATCCTAATTATGTTATCAGAGTCATAACGAAGAGGTGTATTTTGAAACAACCTGTACGAGTATTCTTACTTGCTGAATATGAATTCATATGTGCCCTTCCAACCAAACTAGCAAGGAAAAGCTTCCACCCAAAACCATCAGTAAATGAATGGAACATTTTAATGATAACAAGAATCTTCAATCACAGGTTTGGTACACAGAGGTTTTAATCCATTATAATTAGGCCACTCCATTAGCTTATATCATATCCAAGTTCAAACTACCCATTGAAAAAAAATATTCAATTAAATTACTGGAAGATTTGTCAATAATGAAGATCGAGATTGTATATATTTGAAATTTTTTGGAAGAACCTTGAGTTTAAAATGTCAAGCACAGAATTGCAAGCAAGTGGCAGCCGCCCATTAAACACAGGGCTTAAAAGACTTCAAATCATGACATCTTATCTCCACAAAAAGAAGGGAACTTTTGAGAAATATTTGATATAGAGTGGATAAGGCATTAACAAAATTTGATGTGCAATGGGGGCAATGCACCCAGGAACACCAAATGACCTTCAAAGTTTCAAACTGAAATCGGGAACCAAGAATCTGCAATTGTCTTTTAAACATACGAAACTGATACTAAAACAAGAAATATTAGCAGTAGGTTAAATGCATGAAAGTTAGGATGTTCTTGGTGTGTCTCAGCTCTTTTTACCAGTCACAGTAAGACATGAGAGAATAGGCGGCGATCAGATGCTGATATTATATTTCAAAAGCTTTTTTTTTTTTTAAAGGAAGAAATGCAACAAAATTGTGCTAGAAATTGAGCTCCATCTCTGAATTTATTAACCACCACATGCATCAAACATATTACTCGCATTTGAGCAAAGCTTAGAAACATCACCACCCACACCATATCCTCAATGATCTCTTCTTTACAGGCACCAATTGAGTGCGGAAAAGGCAGTAACCTCTAAATCAGATTAAGCATCACCACCTCAAATGCAGTCAGCTAAAAGGACATCCTACCTGGGTGAACTCTCTCAAGGAAGGGAGCAGCCGCCAACAAGCAGAGATATAGAGTTTACTGGAGCTAATGTCAATTTGTTTACATAAAAGTGTGCATAGACATATATGTAAAGATGTCCATACACAACTGTTCTCCTCCCCGTTGCACACAAACCACAGAGATAAGTTTTATCAGCAAATCCAGCATCTTGACCAAACTTGGTACTCCAATCTACCCATTACCACTAAGGAAAACCATAGTTAATATTAGTTCTAACAGCCCTAAAAGAGCTCTTAGAACAATAGCATTGCACTGATACATGTCTTACACTATGTAGCATCGAAGAAATTAGCATAGAAAAGCCCCAAGCACCAAATCATGTCTGTTTTCATTCGTGAGACACTAGTGGCCATCTTAACATTAGATCATAGTGATATGCAATGATCCATCACTTTCTCAGAGCAGTACAATGGGTTGGGTTACATGTAAATTCCACAAAGCAAGAATCTATAGTTTCTGGCAATAACTTTTTCCTATAATGCTTGTTTGTTGGCCAAATCAACGTCGGAAGCTTAACATACTGAAACTGCAGTAGTTCAATCTAATAATTCTCGAAGGGTACACCAAACCAAAACCATATCTGTTCATCAGTGATCCAGATAGATCAAACAAGTGCCTGCAATATCATTTGTGATTCAGATTACAAGTATTAGAGACACTATGCATCTGTGCACTATACATCTACTCTATCTGGTTTTGGGGGACTAATGCTCTTTCTAGAACCTCTTGAAGATTTTAAAACAGTACCTTATTTTTTAACATCCTAGTTTAGCAAAAAAAAAAAACATATCTGAAAATACTGTGTTCTTCATCACTTAAATGAGTAGAACCTTAAAACAACAGAGTGACGGAGAGAGGGGAGTAACAGAGAGAGAGAGAGTTACATGACAATATCTTACCTGTCAGATATCCTCTAAATCCATCTTCTTTGTTCACATATGTTCATTTCTATGCAAAATAAGTGAACGAAAAAATGGAATAGAATCGTTGTCCCCAAATCCTAGCTCAAATATATGGAAATGCTTAAAACATTGACGTATTAGGCTTCAGATACAGATTCCTACAATTCAAAGGTCAAAGTCTTCAATGAATATATGCTTTCAGAAATCCCTGCCTTGTTGCTCAAAAAGATCTGAACCAATTTTTCAACATAATACAAAGATACCTGGTACACAAGGTTATTTGATAATTTTGAATTCAATCCAGTTTTGAACATGATATATATGATCATTATGACAATTCAATCATATAAGAAATTAGGAGGGAAACCAAAACTGGTAGAGCATGGTTTTGACACACTAATCCAATTATATTGCGAGATCAACAGTGGTGCCAAGCATTTTATAATATCAAATGAATTGTTGGTGGTAGTAATAATAATATTAGGAAGATTTATACATGAGAAGGGAAACTTTCATGACAGAGAAGCTTTTTGACAGGCTATTGTGAAGTAATATTGTTTGATGAAAACAACAACTATTGTATTATTGGAGATGTTTTAAGAATGTGTGAGAAGATATCACATCGATAAACTCATCAAATTAGTTGATACCAACTAACAGGCTTCAAATATATATATACATATATACATTTATATTTAAACATCCATAAGGGAGAGATTTCATTGATGAGGAAATCTTCTGCAGCTAACAACATCAAATGTCAGGAATAGGCTTTCCATCATCTCAATTAGAGGGGATTCAAGCAGATATTGATCCTGTACATAAATTATCTAAGCATGGAACAGAACAAGATCTCAAAGGTAAATAACATCAACTGATATTATCAGTAAATAAATTATATAACCCTGTTAATTGCCAATTTTAAGGTAAACAAACTTACAATATTTGAGGAACCTTTTCTGTCACAGAATGGTGCAAAAGGATACCTTTCTTGGATTCCCCTTACTCAAGAAAACCTGAGAACAACACAACTCAGTGTTCAGGCAAAGCAATAAAACAATTCAAAAACGTAATTTCAAGGAATTGGGAATTATAGACAAAAATCACTTTGATCATTAAGGTGCACAATGATTTTATGGCAGATACAGAGAAATTGCAAGTCTGATCGCACTAATGGTTATGGAGTTGACCTGGTTCACCAAAATCAAACTGACCCAACAAACCACCGTACGTACAAACTTCAAACAGTACTTCCATCAAATTCAATAATGAAAAACAAGTGGACAAGCATCTCAAACCCAGATTCGCGTAATCATTTATAATAAAAAAGTGGAATAAGAAGAAACGGGTACGAAACCTCATAATTCTTGTTCATTCACCGACTCTAAATCCCAAGAGGAAGTTAAAATTTTGCTTAAGGCCAAAAGAACGGCGAAGAAAAAAGAGCAGCCACGATCGCGATAAGAAATACACCGATCATCACCCAAACATTCAATCGAAGAATCCATACAGAAATTTCATCACCAGGTAATAAAAAAAACACAACAAAAAAGTAAAAAAACAAGAAAGAAGGCAAAAAAACGATACCAAAAATCAGACCACGACGATAACAGCACACAAAACACAAAAGAGTCAAGAAACAACAAAAGAACCTCTAATAATTCAATCGGTCATCGGACGATTCAGATGGGCGATCAACGCCGCCCGGGCGTCGTTCACACGGATAGCAAGAACAGGAGGCCCACAGGGAACAGCGCCAAAAATAATAAAGAAAAATAAAAAAAAAAGGAAAAGGGTAAAGATTTGTGAAGGGAGACGGTGGAACTCGGTCACATACAAATGCCCATATATATAAGGAACCGATTCATCAATGGTGGTTGCGTAGGCGTATTCCTCCACACACACTCATCAAATACAATAAATAAAAATCAATATATAATAAATTAATAAAAATATTGATAATCACACCTGATTGAGGTTTTAAACAAGTAGCCTTGATTAGATAACTTGGAACCTGCAATGGATGATTTATTACAATTTTTAATGTGGAGAGAGGGGAAAGACAAGAGGAGATTGGAATTTAGGTAAAGATGGAGGACCTGGACCACCACCACCATTGATGAAAAAAAAAAGTTACTTTGTACTAAACCCCTTATAATTATATACACATAACCAATCTTTTGTACACAAACGACACCAATGATAGGAGGAATAAGGTATCCAAATTTCCGAAATTTATTATTATTGTTTTAGATATTTCTAATTTAAAATGATTTTTCTAAATTACTCAAATCTTATTTCCAAATTTTATAATTATGTTCTTCTTTTTTTGAATGTTTATTCTAGAAGAGGGGTTGAATCGTAATTTGAAATTGGTTAATAAGATTTTAAAAAACGAAGAAAGTAAAATCTACTCCCAAGATTTATAGATTTTTTAAAATTGGAGTTTTTATTTAAAGAAAAAATATATATATATATATTGTTTTTCTTTTCAGGTATAAAATAATAATTACAATTATACTATTATATTAGTATATATATTTTTAGATTATATATGCCTATGAAATCGTATACTAAATATAACAATTTGAAAACTAGCAACCCTAAATTAAATGGGCTGGGGAGACTGATTTGGCAGGCCTAGTTTATTTGCAATCATGTGTTAAAATAGTTCAACGAGGAGCCCAGTAAGGCCCAAAACACTTAAAATTGGCCCAATACTATATCAAAGCAATTGCATAAATATCAATTTATAATTAGTACTTTTTTTTTTCTTTTTTTTTTTTAAAAAATCCATAGAAATATGTATTTTTTCTTTATAGCAAATATATGTATGTACTTTTTAATTTATATATTCAATATTACATTCATTCATAAAAACATCGCAACTACTTACATATATAATCTATAAATAAATTTCTTATACTTCATTAACATATTCATATATTTTTTAAAAAAATATCATTACTTTATATCATAATTAACCAATATAAAACTATATTCATTAAATTTCACATCAAATTCAAATGAATATACATTTGGTGAAGGAAAATAAGTATTTGAATCGACTAACATCACTAGATTTAAAATTCACAAATATTAACATATGAGGAAAAAATGTTTGAATGTGTTTCTTTTCAAGGTGGATTGGTTTACCAGTTATTTTTATTTTTTTTTAAATAGTATTTAATATAATCTTTTTTTTAAAAAAAAAATAATAATAAATAAATAAAGAAATTCTATGAAATTCAATCATGATTTTACAAATGTGACATCACTGTTCTTATTGAAACATAAAATGATAATCATAAAATATGCTTAGGGTGTGTTTGGTTCAACAGAGAATATGAAAATTAGTATCTTCATATTTAGTCAGGAAAGAAAAAAAAAAAAAGAAGGAAAATAAAATAATTTCAAGACTATAATTAGTAACTTAATGAAATATATATATACATTTTATTTTTTCCTAATTATACCTATTTGGGGGAGAAGAATTTTTTTTTTTTTTTTTCTGAACTTACATACAATGTTAAGATATTGATATTGATCATGCATTAGTTTGAATTATACATATGATTATATATAGGGTGTGTTTGTTTGAGGGATTTGTTTGGATTTTTACTATTCATCCTATTTTTTCCCCTAAAAAACATCAAATCAAACATCTATTTTTTATTTTTTATATTATACTAAAAATTAATTTTACATTCAAAACATCACGTCAACACCTATTTATAAATCATACAACTATTCAAATTCAAAATTTTTACTATTCAAATCCCAACTTAAAATCCAAACCCTCTGTTATTTACTATGAATTCGCTATGTTCTTTACATATTCTTTTCATTTAAAATTTGACTAGATTAAATTTTATTTTTACACATATCGATAAATTATAATTTTCCATTGTCGAAACACAATATTTGGATTAGTTAATGATGAATAGTGTAATTGAGTAATGCAAAGCTATAAAATATATACATTTACTTCTAAGTTCTAAACCATAATATATATATATTAAAAATATTTGGCCTATAAATTATATATTCCCGATAAGGTATGTGCTACAAGAAAACCTTAAAATTGTCGCATATTATTACACGGTAGAATTTAAAAGAGCTAATTAATAATTTAAAATTAAAAATGTTTTTTTTTTTTTTTTTTTTGGGAAGGGATATTTATTACACATATCGAACTGGCGGCTGGCTGCTAGTGGTTGACGGTGTAATGGCTGAGCCCCATGGCTGAACTCATGGACGCCAATTTAGCCAGCTCTTGCGACAAGTACGGCCCGGCGCCGGCGCCGCCTCCCCCGCCGCCGTCGCCGCCCATACCAAGAAAATCTCTCGTAAAACTATGCTCCACGCCGTGCATTAATCCCGAATGCAAGTTCAAGTTCATTGCATTGACACTAGCTCCAGCTGATGCTGCCGACTGCTGCTGGAAATGATGAAGATTGCTGTTTTCAATGGCAGCGCTGAAATTCAGCAAATCGTCGGCGGATTTGGTGGCCGGATTATTCTCCGGCGGCGGCTGTTGTTGGGCAAACACCTGGTGCAGCTCGCTTCTGCTGAAAGATGATGTTGAAAGCGTGTTCGTCGTCGAGGAAGACGACGAAGGGGAGTTGGAAGAATTCATTACTCCGACGGCGGCGGAAGCGCCGCCGAGGAACGGCGAGGAGGCGCTTTTGGTGGAGCCTAACTGAGCAGCTTGCTGGAGGAGTGCAGTCGCCGACAATGGCGGCGCCGGCGCCGGCGGATGGAGGTTGCTTTGGGTGTCGGAGTAAAGGGAGATTAACGAATCCGCCATTGCCGTGGAATTGGCAATTCCTTTGCTGCTTTGGGGCTCCTCCTTCAATGGGGATAGTGACAAATTGGCATAGTTTGGTCCGAAAAGATTGTTGGAAGGGATGTGGATAATGTCGGGGAGATGGGGAGTGGTTGAAGTATTGGATGTAATGAAATTAAGATTGGGATTTTGATCGTCGAAGGTATGATGGTCGAGCTCCAACCAAAGGGGCAATCTTGGCTTGTGGTGATTAGGGTCTCCGAGGAGCAAATTTCCGGCGAAACGGCCGCCGGCGGCGGGGATAATTCCGGCGGTATTGGAGAGTCCTTGTTGCAAATTAGGGTGAGGATTGATGAGATGATGATGATGATCATGTCTGAAGCTGAGATTGTTAGCCCCAATTGTAGTGATTCTTGCATTTTCCTCAGCCAATGCGTCGCAGAAAGCTCGATGTGTGATGAAGCTGTCTTTCCTGAGGAAGAAGAAGAAGAAGAGGGACAGACAATAGTTATTAATTACCTAATCATTTGTTGACAAGGGGTACATATTTATTACAGAGAGAGAGGGAGACAGACATTAAAGTCTTGCAGAAACAACAAACATTCCGAAACAAGAAAACACACACGATGATGGATGGATGATGACGACGACGATGTTGTTGTTGTTGTTGTTTGTAAGAATTAATAAATTAATTAATTAATATGTACCTGGAAAATAGGGTTCCGCAGTCGCATTTGTACTCTCTCGTCCCACAGGTTTTGGAGTGGGCTTTCCAGTCAGATTGAACTGCATATTTCTTCGAACATTTCTCACACTTCCATTTCTTCTCCCCATGTTTTCTGCTGAAGTGTTTCTTGATGCCCGTCAGATCTCCCAGGGCTCGACCCGCGTCGTGGTGGACGCACGTCTTTTCCGGGCAGATGTAAACTTTTTTTCTGATCTGATCCTTGTTGGCTCTCTGCTTCAACCTCCATGGGAGATTGTGCCCTCTTCTGTGAAGTTGCAGGTTTTGGTCCCTCTGGAACCCTTTGTTGCAGATTTCACAGATGAACCTGTTCGTCGCCATCAGTGTCTTTGGGGAGAGGGCGATCACTTCTGCATCTGGATCTGCAATTAATGATCCCATTCATTCATTAATTCATTCAAAATCTAACAGCATCGGAATTAATTAATCGACGAATTAATTAATTAAACCTGGTGTCCCCGGGAGGCTGCGTTTCTTCTTCGCGGAATTGGGTTTAGGGTTAGGGTTTGGGTTTGGTTCAGATTCTAATTGACTGAAAATTGCTGTGGGTGGAGCTGAGGAAATGGGAGTAGAAGAAAAAACATCACCAGACATCGTTGGAGTGTATGTATCTGTCTGTATATATATGTATATGTATGTGTGTGTTCTTGAAGATGGGGTTGGGATAAGAGAGGGAGATAAAAATGGACAAAAAGAAAGCAAAGAGAAAGAAAGTGGTAGAAAACAAAAGAGAAATCGGTGGACAGAAGCTAGCTAGTTTCCCCAAATTAAAACAAACAGATAATCTAATCTGGGTTTGGAGTTATTCAAATGTCAACATTGAGATCGATGAAGAAGAAGAAGAAGAAGAAGAAGCAGAAATTAAACCCAAACAGGAAGCATCCAACGCCAGAAGAAAGCTTTAATTTGAATCCACAAGAACGTAACTAAAGACTGGATGCAGAAGCAGAAGCAGAAGCAAACAACAGTTTTTTTGATGACGACGACGATGATGCTGAGGAAGACGATGATGATGATGATGAACTGGTTTGGTTTTGTATGTAATTTGGCATCTAAAGAGCAAAACACCAAAACACCTTTTGAAAGCTAAGGAGAATATTTCCTCTATTTTCTTCCAACAACCTACACACACTGTCTCGCTTCTCTCTCTCTCTCTCTCTTCTTTCTCTCTCTTGAAATTGAGCTTCTTCTTCTTCCCAGTGGCTCTCTATATCTCTTTTATCTCTAATTCAAAGTTCGTCAGCCATAGATTTAGCTGCTGGGGCCCTCTTTAATTCTCTCTCTCCTTCTCTTTCTCTTTCTCTTTCTCTTTCTCTCTCTATCTATACATACAGTGACTATACGTATCTATTGGCTGTATGCTGCTAGTAAACAGCATGTGTAGAGCTGTGTGTCGTCTGTATGTTTTCGTGCTGATTTTCCTTTTATCAAGACTAGTAAGTTCATCAAATATATTTTAATTTAAATATTTTAACAGATTTATACAATTATTAATTTTAAAAATATAATTATTTTAACGATTCAATAGGTACGTTTACCAGCGTATACTTTGACTGATGTCGCAACTCTACTGCATGCTTATCATTTCCAAAATAACAAAAATAGAATAAAATATAAACAAACTTGTCAGACTTTTACTAATAAATCATATCAATGACTAAGTTGTAAGAATTTTAAAATAGCATGTAACATAATTATCCAATCGTATACACATATATATTATTCTCTACTTGAAAATAAAAAAAAATATATATATATATATAATTAAATTCATAATAATGAAATCCCTAAGTGGGGCTAAATAATGAGGCAAGAAATGTCAAATATGGAATGAATTTAAGTTTGAACTTTTTGACAAACATGGAGCTTTGTGACTCTGTACATGTATATCTGTGACTGTTAATGTTATTATTATTTTTATTATTAAATTAAACAAACATTGCATAGATTAGTGAAAACTGGAGACAAAAAAATAAACTTTGGCAGCAGTAATATCTAGACACCAAAAAGTGAGTTGCCTTTTTCACCAGAATCATTACAGTATAATTAAAAGCTGTGACACTTTTTTTTTTTTTTATTTTAATCATTTCTCCTTTCTTACAAATATAAGGTTAGTTGAAATATTTTAAATTTTAAAGTATTGATTTTTAAAAAATAAAATTTAATATAATATTAAAAAAATAATTAATATGAAAAAAATTCAAATTTAATCTATCTATTTTGCGGTGATATAGATATACATATACGTATATGAGGTACAGAGGAGGCAAGAAACAGCAGAGGTAGACTCGTCAGAAGGAGGCTAAATTGCAATTCCCGATGGGGGGTGGGGTGGGGTGGTGTGGGGAGGGCCTCAGCCACCCCGTGACCACTACCCCTCCACCCACCCTACCCAACCCCCTGGTCTGGGGGCCCACACCTCTTCTTTGCATCTTGTGATTTTATTTAACTATTTTCTTTTTTGTTAGTATTGATTTAACAGTGCTATTTTTGAGTAAATTTATTTTGAACAAATAATTAGAGAATGGATATTTATCGTATTAATATGTACCGTTTATTTATTTAATTATTAAAATATTGAAAGAATGAAATTAATGGCGTCACTCATGACTGCATGTGGATAAGATATGTAGATAGATGGTCTGTTACATCATTCCCAAATATTCCAGATATCTACTTCAATTCATCCTTTCTAATTTTATTGCCAAAAATAATCAAATATTATATGTATAAATGTATAATTTTTTATTTTTATTTTTTCACATTTTACTCTTCAATTATATAAATGCATTGGTAATTCTTCTTCAAGTGTGTTCCCACGTTTCAAGGGTCAATTTTAAGTGATTGTGAAATATAATTATATATAAAGATAAATTAGTATGGTTCAATTATTTGTCAAAATCAAATATAAATATATATAGGCAAACAGAATTACTATTCCCTGCCCTTTCTGTTAGGTTACATTGGTCACAATAATTAACATCTGGTCATTTTCTATCTTTTTAAATTTCATCAATTACTACAGAATATTTATTTGCCAGAATTCAGGGGTGGACTTGTCTGAAATTAAATTCAAGCATCAATTTTTAGTCATTTTCAATAAGAATTTCCTCTTAGATACAAAAATATGATGAAAATATTGAAAGTGGGTCTGTGTAGCCAACTTTTTGTATATATACATCCATGAAGGTGGTCCTTTTGTCTGTGGATCAAAATAATTTAATTGATAATGATTTTTGTAATGAAAAATGGAGAAAAAAAAAACTAATTAATATTGCATCCATATATATAATTATATATACCAATAAAAAATAAATATAGAAAACTTGTATACGTATAATATTAACTGCTTTTGGCAGTATGCACTTGGATCTTACTACAAAACGAATCATTCCCCCTCTCTCTCTCACACACACACACACATATATATATATATATATACCACATCTCTATCTCACCCATATTTCATTTATATAAATCTCAATAATATCAAAATATAAATAAATTTACTATACGTTCAATTTCGAAACAAGAAATGTGAAGACAGGATAAATGAATTATTAATTTGAAATTTGGACAAGACCCATCAACCATGCACATGCACATGCATACGTGGGGACATATGGGGCCCAAAAATTGACACCGAAAATTATACACATATATATATATATATTGATAATTTAATTAAATTCTTTTTCTATATCGTTAATATTATAATTACATTATTAAACAATCTTTTTTTTTTAAAAAATAATAATAATTAATATGAAAGTGCGACTCAGGATGAAGAATTATTAGGCGGAAAACAGAAAATTCTAAGTCCATCTTAAAACGCGTTTTTAAATGTCGCGTTTAGAAATCATAAAAGCCCTAATAAAAGCGTCAACGTCATTTCCAAATCATAAAACCCTATAATTACCTAAAAAGAGGGACCCACAAAATTGGGGGATTCACACGCACATTCAAGCAAAGGACGTATGCGTGTGGCTAAATTCTCCAAATTGCTGCACAAGTGGGTTTGAAAAATTAGTAAAGTAGATCGAGACATCATATAGATAAATAAATAAAATCATAGATAACATTTAACAAAAATAAATGAAATAAAACAAAATTGTTTCTTACAGTAGATTTGCTGGGTTGGTGATTTATCACTTAATTGAAATTCGTAGGATGATGAATAAATAAATAAATAAATAATAAAGCACAAGTTGCACGTTCGCCCACGGCAAACAATTCCATTTCGTTGCACTTACACATGGGGGCTGTCTGAAAATAATAAAATGGAACAAAAAAGGGTATCCAATGTATGTTATTAATTGCAATATAATGTACTTATTAATATTTTATTGCTCCCAATCAAATAAATGTTTCATAATCAAGAAACACGCTTTTAGTTTAGACTCGGTTTTGACGCAAGAGTCGTCACTATCTTAATCACGTCTCTTGATTGTATTTGCCCTTTGCCATTAATTTGCCACTGCACAGAATTTCTATATGAGTATTAATATATGATCAATTATTATTATTATTGCAAACAATAATTTGTAGGTCAGGTCAGTCAGTTAGGTCAGGTGAGCTCTGGCCTATGTGCTGATAACAATAAATGAGAGACAAATTAGGACATCCAGAATCGAGGCATAAAACCCAGAAATAAATTTGACCAGCAGATGACCTAAATTGAATACATCAATCGAATCAAAAAATACATATAATGTAAAAAAGAAAGCAAGAAGTTTTACAGTAAATGATGCAGATGAAGATGAAGATGAAGATGAATGAAACATATATGGCAGATGAGAGAGAGAGAGAGGGGATGTGTAAGTGTAACTTCTCTCACTCACCACATGATCCAACAGTGACTTGTCAGAAATTATATATATATATATATATGATATGATGCATGCAGCAAGTTCTCAGATCTGCAGGGAAGAAGACAACAGCAGTATCATCATCGTCTTCAGATCTCAGTTTCATATAGTAATAATAAATAATTACAGAGGGAGGGGGATCCATTAGAGAGAGAGTTATGAAACATAAAATGCACCAACTCACTAAGTCACTCGATCGTCTCTATGGTACAACACAACAGAACAGAGTAACATGGTAAAGACGACAATCTTGGCTTGGAGCTGTCGGTATATATGTATTTAATAAATTATACCATACTATAATAATAATAAATGACTTAACTAATATGTGTTGGTAGGCCATCCACTTCTGTCTTGCTACTATTCCTATGATTCCAAGTATACAATCATATTATCCCGTAAGGGATGGCCTGGTGGTGTAAGGGTTGGACTTGTGACCATAAAGTCATAGGTTGAAACCCCCAACGCCTCAGGTCACCTGCCACACATGGATCGTGTAATAAGAAAAAATCACACCAAAATGTAGAGTGCATTTATGTTTTTAAAGTTTGATTCTTTCAATTAATTGAAATTAAAAATTATAATCGAATCGAGGTCGTAACTGAAGTTTCCAAATTTGACTTTGGAGCAAATCAAACAGTCCAAATAAAATAAAATAAAATTCGGTTTTTTGGATTTAAACCTGCAATCCTCACCCTACCAAAATGTTTGTATACAATAAGTTTGGTAGTACCGAATGGATGGTTGTAAGGACACTCCTAATATAAAATATCCTCAAATTCGAACGGCCCATCAAAAGTAAGGTCATACTTAAGGGTTTACAAAATTATTGAATTTTGATAATTGATTGATTTTGAATTTAAATAAAAAAAATTAAGTTTGGTAGATTGATCATTGAGATGATATTTGGATATGTTGAATTACATATTTTTGAAACTAATTAAAAAATAATGTAAGATTATGTCGCTGATATTATTGCTAAATCATTTATAAAATGTTTTTTTATTTGATAAATTAACTAGAAAATACTACTACTACTTATTTCAATTTTCACGTACGACATAAATGTTATCCAGTACATTGTATATATTGCTCATACACTGAATTTTCTAAACCAAATCTTATATATGAATATGTATGTATGATGTCACGCAATATCGAAAAAGAATGCGAATTATAAAGTACAAAAAATATCTAAGCGTATATGCAGCCATGCATCGTCAATTGCTCTCAAAGTGTTCGACGAAATGTCGCAAAGACTAGTCCAGCGCATGCCATAGCGCCCACCCCGTGTTTGGACAGGTAATTTGCAGTTGAGGAATCATCGGGAGTGCTGCTATCGGAATCTGACGGCGAAAGTGCTGATTCAGCAGCCTTCTTGGGCTTGGAAGGTGCCGGCGCCGGCGCCGGAGATTGGAAGAAGCTGAGGGGAAGTAGCACGCGATCCACCTCGTACACTGCTAGTTGATTATCTGTGTAGACTGTATTGCCCACTGTTGCATTGGTGACACCAGTTGTGATGTTGAGGTTGTTCCCGGTCGCCGTTACGTTCATCGGGAAGGATCCCTGGCTGCCGCCTGCCTGCGTGCGGAGGGGATTGCTGGCGGTTTGGAACTGTGAAGTGGAGAAGAAGGAAGGGAGTACATGGAACTGCATTAGCTCGACTTTCTGCTCGTCGGTGAAGGAGTTGAGCATGCCGGGTTTGAGGCTGGAGAATGCGCTGTCCGTGGGGGCGAATATTGTCATCCCCTGGTTAGAATTGTTGAGCTGTGTGTTGATCTGATCGGCCACTTTGGTGTTCTGCAACAGGCGGATGAATGTGGTGAATCGACCGGCCTTCTCAAGGACAGCCGTCACATTTGTCGGGCCTGGCGGCGCCGGGGCTGGGGCAGGGGACTGGGCAGAGGCGATTGTGCAGAGAAGAAAGAAGATGAAAGCAGGGATGGCGAGGTTTGGGGGGTTCATGTTTTGGGAAAGTTGTGGAGTGATGTTGATGAATGGGAATGGTTGCAGTATGGAATGTTGGTTTATATTGAGTTTAGTTTGGATTTGTTTTTTAGTATAAGTGATGAAGGATGGGTGTGTTGAGATTGAGGTGAAAGGGGGTGCAAGTTAGGTAGAGAAATCTGGCATTTAAGGTGGGAAAGGTAAGTTTCGAAAATGTTGATTCAGCTACCTGATTGCTTGGCATGGAAGGCACAACAGCTATGGTGGATGGTGCCATTGGAGATGGGGGCCAGCTGCTGTTACTTCAAAACTCTTTTTTCTTCTGAGAATTCAGGTGACAAAGGGCCATCTAGGTATCATGATCTTTCTCTCTTTGCTTCATAGCCAAACTTGTGATGTTCACTGCAAGAGGCTTTTGGTACATTTAGTAAGCGTTTCATGACCATTACTGGAATCTTGAATCCTGGTCTGAAAAGCCCAATAGGTAACTTTAGGATAGGCCCTGTCTTTGGACCAAGAATCGAAGTCCACAATTGTGTTGGGCTAACATTGCTAGTAGATGCTTGAATGAATGATTTTATATGGATAGTTTGGATTAGAAAAGTGGAATAGGGCATAAAGAATGGAAGGTGAGTCTTGAAGTCTCATCATTTCTACTTTGACTGATCCAACTCATGTGGTATTACATTGGAGGGAATGATTCCTTGGATGCCTCATCATCATCATCATTTCCTTGTCTCTGGATTTTTCATTGACATAACCTCTAGTGCAATCTCCTTTCCTTCGGTAAACATTTCGTGCGCACCACACAGGGTTAGGAAAGATCGAATCTTGAACCTCCCCTTATTAACATAATCCTCTAATTATTAGAAACTGAATAACAAGAAAGTGGAACTTCTAGACCCTAGGAGGTGTCTAAACTTCGGTCTTCCCCCAAAGTCGAGTAAAATCACCGTCATAGGATTAGCTTTTCCACTGGGTAGTCTTTCACAAGAGGGCTTATTAAAAGTCTCCCCCAAGGCACAGAAATAATTAGCGGGTAAAAGAGAGGTAAAAGATCCCTTCATCCATATGCACATAGGGGACGGTTTCGAGGCTCACAGCGTTTGCGGACAATCCAGAGTGGATTTTACTTTGTTTTATTTTCTTCTTTCGTAGAGAGCAATTGAGTTTTTTTCCCGAATACATGATCTTGTTGGAAATTTTTGGCAAGATCAGTAGGTATCAAGATTTTGGGGGTTCTTGGTATTTGGTAGCAAGAAATGATGAACAGTGCGTCGAGTAATAACACTGTATCCTCTGTATCGGCGTCGGGGAACAACGCGCCGGCGCCGGGATTGAAGACTTATTTCAAGACCCCGGAAGGTAAATACAAACTTCAGTACGAGAAGACTCATCCGGCGGCCCTTCTTCACTATGCCCATGGTAAAACTCTATCTCAGGTGGGTCAATTGTATCTTCTTGTTTTAGGGGTTCTTTGCCCTTTCCCTGTTTCTATTACAATCCCCATATCTTACCCCCGCGGGTTCTCTTGTTATTCTTCGGAAAAATCGAATCAGAATGTCTTTCTGTTAATTCTGTTTTTCCGTCAGTTGTGCGTAGAAATTGTATTCTACAGATGGCCCATTGGATATTCTGATCATTTGCCAGTGTTTTACGCAAAAAAGCTGTGTTTTGGAAGGGGGTTTTTGTCAATTTGTGAATTCTGAGGTTTCAGTTGGATAGGTCTACAAATTGTAATCTATTTTGTATTTCTAGTGCCATTTGGGACCTGCATCATATACGTTTTCTTGGCTAAACTTTATCTGGTGCTTTAGTATAATTGTGAATTGTTGCTTTCTCGCCGGACAGAAATAGATTAGGAGTTCTATTTGCCATATGTTCTTAAATTTCTCCTGATTTAAAGATCTTTTGCTGTGGAATTCCTTAAAGTTATTGGATTAAGATTCTCAATTTGAAAGTTTATCAATTTGGGGGTCTTTTAGTGGCGCGTTCAAATCTTGTGTTTCTATAAAAAGTAGAGGCTTTACATATTTTTGTGTGATGCCAATCGCCATTAATTTTCTGGTCAGGTTACATTGGCTCATCTCAAGGAGAAGCCATTACAGGCACAGTCACAAACATCATCTAGTTTGGGAGTGAGCAGTGGCGTGAGATCAGCAGCAGCAAGGTTGTTAGGAGGGGGAAATGGGAGTAGGGCACTTAGTTTTGTCGGGGGGAATGGTGGGAGTAAACCTGCGAGTAGCAGCAGTACTAGAATAGGATCTTTGGGGGCTTCGAGTTCAACTAATTTGTCTGGCAATCCGAACTTTGATGGAAAAGGCACATACTTAGTGTTCAATGTTAGCGATGCAATTTTTGTGAGCGACTTAAATTCTCAGGATAAGGTATTTTCTTGGGCTGTCTTTTATGATTTTATCTACATTCTATTATTACAAATTCAAATTCGCATTAATTTCAATAATTTTACTGTGGTGCATAGGATCCTATAAAGTCTATACATTTTAGTAATTCAAATCCTGTTTGCCACGCATATGATCCCGATTCTAAAGACGGGCATGACTTGCTTATTGGTTTAATCTCTGGAGATGGTATGTCTTCGTCTCAGAACTTTGATTCATTGATTGGGCTAATATCATTGTTTTGCAGAAATTATTCAATGTGTATTGGTTTTGCTATCCCCTGTTTTGTAGTCTATTCGGTGTCTCTAAGACAGCAATTACAAGATGTTGGAAAAAAGCTCGTGGGGGCTCAGCACTATAATAAAGATGGTTCTATCAACAATAGGCATGACAATGATTCTTTTGATCTTGCTTCGTATTCAGATTTAGTATGTTATTAATTTTCACTATGTATTTATCTTTAATGGAGCTCTGAATTTGATTATTAGAAAAGGTATAAGTTCTCCCCATAGTCATAATTGTATTATATTAGCATGACTTCTTCAAATTTTATTTTTTCTGCATTCTAAATGACAAAACCTGATTCATAATCTTGGGCATTGATATAAGGGATATTCTGTTTCTTTCTTTTTTTGTTTTAAAAGAAAAGAAATTTATTACTTCGAAACTTGTTCCCATCTGTAGTTTTGATTTACTTGCAGAAGGTGCTTTGTAAATGCTTCAAAAACTTGATTGCTAATCCTTGTAGGCTGTAGCTGACTTTGTAGTGGAAGGAATCTGTAACTTGCATGCTGTGTCTAACATCACCTATATGTTTGAATTTAATTGTTTATTTAAAAAATTTTCCTGTAAACAGCCGCTGCATGAGTGTTGCTTGGGTTCCAAATACTGATGGCTCATTTGTAGTTGCTCATGCTGATGGTAATATGTATGTATATGAAAAGGCAAGTTTTCATTTAGAATACCTTGTTGTCACCTCAATTCCTTGGCTCTATAGAATAAAGCAACCCTGCTGAATGTTCCAGAATAAAGATGGTTCCGGTGATCCATCATTTCCGATCATCAAGGATCAAACTCAATTTTCTGTATCACATGCACGCTACAGTAAGGTAATGGCTGCTCTTTTAGACCTACAATTTGTAACTGCTTTCCGCCAACCACTGGATTCATCAAATTACGAACTGTTCCTTAGTTGAATCTTCAAATCATGGGTTCATCCCAATCTTTCCTCAATACAAATTGTAGATCATAATGTTAGGTTTAGTGATGCCTTCCTGATTAGGGTTTAGGGCTTTAAGCTTAGGGAAAAGCCGGCAGTAAGTTAATGCTCATTTGAGGGCGATGCTGTCAGGCGAACTGTTTTTTCGCTAGTCAAGACAGATTGCATATTGGTCAAGTATACGAGAAAAAGTTGCGCTGTTCATATTTTGTGCCTCGATGCAGAATCCTGTTGCTAGATGGCATATATGCCAAGGTTCCATAAACAGCATTGCTTTTTCAGCAGACGGAGCTTACTTAGCAACTGTAGGGAGGGATGGTATTATATTTTTCTGGTCTCTTTAATTCTTTGTGCGATTGTTACTGCGCCATTGTGAACGGGGTTGCGAATCGATGAATGCAGGTTACCTGAGAGTCTTTGACTTCAAAAATGAACAACTTATGTGCGGTGGAAAAAGCTATTACGGGGCTCTGTTGTGTTGTGCTTGGAGGTAATGTCTTTGCTGAATTGCCCCCTTGCTTTTGCTTTTATTTCGTTCACTTGATTCTTGTTCTCTCCGACGATGATCCTTCCTTTCGTGAAATTATTTAATCAAATATTGTAAAAATTGTGGAGTAACAGCATGGATGGAAAATACATTTTGACTGGAGGCGAGGATGACCTTGTTCACGTCTGGAGCATGGAAGATCGAAAGATTGTTGCGTGGGCTGAGGGACATAACTCATGGGTAAGTTCATTTTACATTGAGGAGACATAACTCAAGATTTTCCTGGTAATGATTTCTGAATCTATGAGTGAATGATGGCAGGTTAGTGGAGTGGCATTTGATTCGTATTGGGTGCCTCCGAACTCAGACGGTTTAGATGAAAATGTCGTATATAGATTTGGTTCGGTCGGTCAGGTACATTAAAAGAAAGCCTTATTGTTCTTTTTTTCTATCCCGAAAAAACCACTTATGTCGAACTGTGGGGCGCTCAGACTAATAATCATTTGCTCGATAATGTTGTGTAGGACACACAGTTGCTCTTATGGGATTTAGAAATGGACGAGCTTGTTGTGCCAGTGCGCCGCGCGCCTGGCGGATCTCCCACTTTCAGCGCCGGAAGCCAGTCAGCTCATTGGGACAGTGCTAGTCCCGTGGGCACCTTACAACCAGCTCCGAGCATGCGGGCTGTCCCAAAGATATCTCCCCTGATCGCGCACCGTGTCCACACAGAACCGCTCTCTGGTTTGATATTCACTCCGGAATCTATTCTCACTGCTTGCCGTGAGGGTCACATAAAAATTTGGACACGGCCGGGTTTCTCCGATAGCCCATCGAGTAACCCAGATTCTGCAACGAAGGAGAGATCGTTGATATCAGGGAAGGCAGGCGATTCAAGTTACAAACCATGATGTAAGATTCGAAGCCTCGGATAAAAAGCTTACGTAGTTCCTTGTCGGGACAAGACTTGGTGTCGATGCTGCTGTTTGCGCCGGTTTCTACTGAAATCCCACAGCGAGCAACTGCGGGATCGATGCGACGTTAAATGCGTGCCGAAAGGTTGTTTAGCAGGTCACATTGTACACAACCTAAAGGTCTTTGGTGAGATTCAAATAGATTGCTCAGCCCCTTTGTAAAGTACGAGAAAGATAGCTAATAGAAATAATTGTTTTCTTGCTTTCTATTTTTCAAATGAAGAAGAATATGTTGTCATGTTCTTTCAAGTGCATATAAATGACAAAAATGAAGAATGAATACATCCAATGTCATTTTGCTTACGACAGAATTCAGTGTTTATTTTCAAATTTTGGTTTGTACTGTCCGGTCTTCACTGTACAGGCAAGACTGGCTCTCAACTCAAGTAACAAAGGGCAGTGGCCAAAACTCTATACAAATACCAAAATTTTATTCATGCTGCGGCGACCCGGTGGTCGTCGTTCGGATGATTCTGCTGTTCATTTTGATGGGGGAGTTGCAAATCGGTATGATCGGGATTACCTGTCTCTGGAGCTTGGTTTGATGGCTGTGCAGGATCAACAGGGGGAGGCATCTGGCGAGCTCGTGCTCTCCTAAACTTGAGTATCTCGAAGAAGATCGAAGTTCCACACATTGCACCTCCAAAACCAGCAAATGTTGCGAGAAGAACTGAGAGAACCGCTTGCACGTGAAGCTACAGATCCATAATGTTAGAAAATTTGCAATCAGTTTCCATTGCAATAAGAGGTAACAAAGACCACTTTCAGTTGCTTGAAGACATACCAGCGAGTAAAAAACATGGGCGAATACAACAACCATCCCGAATTGGATAGTAGCGTATATCCATGCATATTTCCTCCTTACTGCACAAGAACACCGGAATCAGTCCGAAGACAAGAGAAACTTGTAATTGATCAGTTCGGAAGGTATAACAGCATCCATACCCATGGTAGTTGATGTCATCGATGCAAGAAGGCCTAATATGCAGGCAAAAGGCAAAGATATAGCAATAGCACTGGATCCCATTTTCATGACCTGTTTGACAACGATAGCAAAAATTATGACTTCACTTTTGGGGACAAAAATCGTCAATAAGAGCTACCAAGTGTCCAGAGGTAAGTTTACTCACCAGAAGTTGCTCCAGGAAACAAAAATATGCCAACATGCTCACAATGACGAGGACGGGTACGTCCTGCCAAACCCTGTATATAGAGCTACATTAACAACCCAATGGTTATGGAGGATATTGAAAGTATAACATGAGAGTATATTCTCCTTGGAGTGAGATTACATGCCTGTATTGAACTATATTTTGTGGGAGAGTTCCAGGCATTCGAGATTGACTACTTTGGATCCGCAAAAGTGTGACAGGTAAATTTTTAACCTCTTGCTTGCACACATCACAGTTCTTGTTGCCTTTTATGCTAAACCATTTAATGGCGCATTGTTGGTGGGCAAGGGCAAGTTCGCCTTTACAGTTGCATTCCATCTTAAGGGTGTCTGTGCCCTCGCCGAGTTCGACCAAGCAGATTCTACAGACTGCTTCTTCTTCAGGTATATCCGTATGATTGTTATTTCGATCTGAAGACAAAAAGTGCGGTCACTTGTGGTTTGGCTATCATAAAGCTCAACATAGGGATGGTTCGACTAATATGCATATACAGATCTATGAAGTACTGTTATCTTTTTTGAAGTAAATGCCTTATTGAAATCTTGGATTGGCAAATTTACCTGCATCAACTGGTGCATTGGGCACTGATGTCGGACAAATCCACTCTGTCTTCCTTGGAGCAACACGGAAAATATTGCCCAAGTATTCCATCTGTTTTGTGCTTCCTTGTTTATTCAAGTCAGGCACTGACAGCGAGCGATGCATGGATAGCTTGTGCCCACCTAACTGCACAGTGACAAACTCTGTATATTTCAGAAATTACAATAGTAGAAACAGAGTTGAGTGACAATAGCAAGTTGAAAAAACAAGAGGCACACACCGATGCATCAGCCGTTCCGACCATAACTCCTCCATGAGTAGACTCTGGATTCGAATGCAAAATAGGAGAAGGTGGTAATGACGAAGCCTTCTTCACTTTGGGGTTGAAAATCTTAGAAAGTGAGAAAGTTCTCGACATTGATGCCTTCCCTCGCATTTCGGGGGAAGCTCCAAGTGCTAGCATGGCAGCTCTTTCTATCTCCGCATCATTGTTCCGAAACTTGAAGCTCAGTTTGGGGAGGAAGCTTTTCACAGATGGTTTCCCCTTTGATGATGGACCTGGAGATCCACTGATTCTTATATGATTAGGGCTTGGCAATGGCGAAAAGCTCACTCGTTTTGGAGTTGGAATTGGAGAAGGAGGCATGTTTATAGTCACAGAATCATCCATGGATCCCTCAGTGGGTATCTTCACAAGGAGATCTTTCCTTTCTCTTTGCAGATAGCCAGGCGGTTCCACAACAACAATCTCACTCCATTCACCAGCCTGCAAACCACAATTGGGTCAAGGATCAAAAAGGGCACCAAAGTGTTCTAAACCAAATTGCAAATCAGTAGCACAAAAACACAAAAACCTTTGTTTGCTTGCAGTTGTTTTATGTAGTTCATCTACAACAAAATAAATAACCTAATAAAAACCTTCTCTGCAGAAACAGATAGATGCAAAATCATTGTTTCATACAGAATCTCTCTTCAACAGACACAAACAAATTCCAGAGAGATTTTTATTCCCGATAAAGAATAAACATTCAGTAATTACGACTACAGACTATATTCCCCCTCACACGAAAACCAAAAACACAGTCGAATACTGAAAAATTGAGTTCAAAAGCTTTAACACCAGCAGCAGCACATACACAAATCCGATGGAAAATTGACCTAGACCTCCGAACACAAAAAGGATGCGAAACATCGAATACCTTGGGGAACTGAGGAGGCGATAAATTTGCCGAGCCATGGCTATATCTCGAAAAGCCCTCATCACTATCTTTGGTCAAATACTTGCCATCGCTCGACTCCATAGCGGTCTGCGATCAATCTCAGACCACAAATTCTGAAACTAATTGAGAATCAAAACGAAAACACAAACCACAACCTGTGAAATAGAATATAATACACAAGTCCGACAAGGTGTGTCCTCTAATGGAGCGGCAGGAAAAAGGTTCTAGGTAGTATATAATGTAAAAGCAAACAGAGAAAAAGGAAAAGTAGAGGATTCCGAGCAAACTACAGCATGAGTAATGCTGCCATGGGCACGAAGAAACTGCAATCTTTCACCTGACCATCTGACAAGTGACCGCCATTTATATGTACAGTGCTGCCTCTTCTCCACCACTCTGCGCCTCTATATATGCCTATGTGTCTTCTCTTTATTTCTTATTTTTATATTTGTTTCTATTTCTGATTCTATTTATTTTTTTATTTTTGTTTTTTAAAATTTAAATGCTTCTAAAAATCGCTTACTAGTTACTCCACCGATTCTACTTCTTTTTTGTGCTCATCCATTTCAATTTTTTTTAATAATAAAGTCCTATTTTATTTTTTATAGATAATATTTTAATATATATATAGAAATTTAAAATTAATTAATTAATTTAAAACTTCACGTTGATCTTGTCTTCTTTTTTTTAAAAAAAATACTAATAAAATAAAAAATTCAACGAATCCCCAAATTGATAATGGGTTTATGGAACAAGAAATCACAAAAAATGCGTGTCCAATTTTGAGGAGAATTGACGAGGGTTCACCACACACGCCACGTGTCAGTATCTTATTGGTGGGACGATTCATATAAATGGCCAATCATAGTTTTTTGTTTCGTCTAAAATTTGGAAGCTTCAATAATGTCTTGCATATTTTTTTATTTTGTTATTTTTTGGGCAATATTGTTATGTGTCTCTGTCCTATCCTTAAGACTATAAACGAACAAGCAAAAGCAATCAATAAACAGACCAATTTTAAGTGAGAATGGGAATAAATGGGATTTCCCAAATATGGAAACATATTTAATTTGGTCAAGCTTATTTAATTTTGTGGCAAGTCACTTTCCATTTGGAAAAATATTTGGTTACTGCTCTCCGGACATTATTTAAAATGGACAGTGATTATTAGATACATATAGTAGTTTCGAGACATTCACAAAATCTTGGGTTAATTTATCCAAGACGTCCTTAAAAAATGATAAAATTCAATTAAAAGCAAAATTGGCCTTTGGGTTGTGGAAGCTCAAAGGGCAGACAATTAATACGTCAATGTCATGTCCAAATTCCAATTTTTAATTATTATTATTATTGAAATTTTCTTTAGATTTGGGTACATACGTGGGTAATCATCACCCCAATGTCGCCTTCAATAAGTCAACGTTAATTTTTTTTATTTTTTAAAATATTTAATCTAGAACACTGTTAAGAGATAGTAGATGAATACATTTCTCCATTAAGGGATTTCATTTTTGTTTTAATTTATTTAATAATAATAATAATAATAATAATGATGATGATGATGGGATTTTATATTCTTACACGGTGCATGAGAACTTATCCAAAACCACATACATTCCGTACAATGGCTATAGACAAAACCCAACTCTGATATAACCTCATTAATTGCACCAAATCACTATTGTGCATCTATTTGTGCTTTACGCTTTTTCTTTTTCTTTTTTTTTTTTTAAGCTAAAATTATTAATATATCACATTTTTATTTTATAATATACTCCCTCCATACACGAATTAATGTTCTGTTTTTTTATTTGGGACGTCCAACAACTATTGTCCTATTTCCCTTTTTAAATACAAATTTTATATTTTTATTCTACATTCATTTATTACTTTTAATCTCTACCGTATAATTAAAGGTAAAAATCGTCTAAATATATTCAAGACAATAAAAATTGGACGGAGAGAGGGTAATATAGATCTTTTTAGTTAAGATATTCTTAAAAACTGTATATGAAATTTGGGTCTGTTTGTGAATTGAAAATTGACTCTCTTCCAACCAACCAACACCTCACTTGTACAATTAATGCAGAAGCCCACTACGCAATAAAGCCCATCTGATACACCAAACGTTGACTTTCTATCGTAGACTTTTGAATTTTATTTAAATTATAATCGTCTTTAATACCATGTTCTATATATACGTATTTTTTTAAAAAAAAAAATAAATCATTAATTATTTGAACATTACTTGAAAATAATAATGATGAGTGGTTACCTCAGCAAGTTTGTCTCTTAGGTCTTTTACGTTATTTTAAAATTTGAATAATAAATATATATATTTTTTTGACATATAAAATATAAAAATAAAAGTGAAAAAAAAAAAAGGTGTTTGATACTACCATCAAATATAGATTTTGTTTACATAATTATTATTTCAATTTTTTTTTTTTTTATAAAACATCAAATCAAATATATATATATATTTTTTTTCAAAATTTTAAAAATCTTTGTTTAAAACCGCCAAACTTATATTATATTATTACACCTAAGTCATTCATTTGAAATAATCAAAAGGGTGGCCACACTCAATGAATTGAACCCATCATTTTTATAATATTATTATGGAGTATATATAATATATATTTTATTTTGTCTTAAGTATCTCTTATAATAATAATTAATAACTTTATTTATTTATTTTTATTAAATATACAATCAATATCTTTTTAATTATTAATAAATCATTACAATTACAAAATTGATTCAAAATATTTAGAAAACGTATGATAAACACATTTCAAAATCCAACACTTATTTGGCTATTTTCACGCGTCTAGTTTCACTATATTTTGAGTACTCAAAACAAATTTAAATTTAAACCCATAAGTTTCTAAAATCCCAAAAAAATCCCTAAACTTCTATCTAAGCCCAGTCTACATTTTTCCGACGCTCAATTTTGTAATAGAAAACACTACACGACACGGCGTGTTTGTTTTGAAGAAATTGACGCTTCATTTTATGTCCAAAGATAAATCCAGTTTTTGCAATTAATAACATATGTAAATATATTCCAATATATTAAATCATACTAGACAAATTATATGTGGCAGGTGACCTGAAACGTCAGGGTTTAAAACCATGATTTCACAATCACAAGTCCAAACCTTACACGACCAGGTCATCCTTCGCGGCGGGGACCAATCTTGCTGCAAGAAGAAACATCCATAGTGGTAGCTCACTGAAATTGAATAATTTTATGATATATATACATATATATGTATAGGGCGTGGAGAAATATGTGGTTTAAATCAAAGTCTTTAGACACGAGTCCATTTAGAATTCTGCGTTGAATACGTAGACACACACATACTAGAAACTTTTTATGATTTATGACCCCAAAATTGGATTAAATTTACTGCAGGTGTTGTTCAGACTAGGATAGACTGGTTCGTGTTACTCTTAGATTATATGATAATTAATTAATTAATTAATGCTCCTAAATAAGAAATAATTGGGACGTGAAATGCAGACTGTTTTGCCGCGTAGAATCAATCCAACGGCTGGCGGGAGCTGATCCGCTGACCGATGTTGAATCATGATCGTCAATCGGAGCCGTTCAATAATCTTGCATAACTTGCGGTCATCTTTACATACTCATCAATTACGCATTCATTTTTATTTTATTTATATATTTGTCCTAAAGTTGATACGAATTAATCATCATCATCATTATAATAATAATAATAGTGATGATGGAAGGAAAGGTGTTTTTCTTCTTTTTTTCGTTGAAGGGTAAGGTGGTCATTTCATATTGATAAGCATTTAAGACTAAAATTGTATTTTATTCGTCCAATTGTCACCTGTTTGTATATGATCCTTCCCTGGTCTTGTGCTCCGGGACCACATTGCCTAAGGCCTAAGCCGTGCTATATATATATATACTCATTTATCGATTCCCTTCAAAACGTCTTAAGGGAGGCTGAGAGCGGAGGTAATTGCAACCTCCCAAAACCGACGACTTCGAAGAAACAAGCGGGAATAAGGCAGACGAAGTTTTGATCCAAACATGAAATTTGCAGATTCGTTGTTTCAGTGTTTCAATCCGGTGGCGGTTGATGATGCAGCCGAGGCTGATGAGGGAGGAGGAGAAAGAGGAGGAGGTATTGTAGTTAATTTATCCAGTTCGATATATTTTGCTAATTTGTTTAGTGTAGAATGGGTGGTGTACTAGATGGATTATTGTATTCAATTGATCCAACTGCAGATGGCGGTGACAGTGCTAATTCAGATTTTCGCGTTTTTTCATACAATGAGCTGAAAGCTGCAACGCAGGGGTTTAAGAACAAGATAGGGGAGGGAGGATTTGGTTCGGTTTACAAGGTAGTTGTAGATGAGATTTCTTCGTGTTATTAATTCCGTCTCGATAATGTATGCTAGATTTAGAAAGTCAGCTCTCCTGTTTAATTTATTGTTTTTATCTTGTCAACGATTGAATAGGGGAGGCTTGTTGGTGATAACTTGATAGCAGTCAAAGTTCTCTCAGTTGAACTGGAATCACTGCGTGGGGAGAGGGAATTCATATCTGAGATAGCAGCATTGTCAGGTATTAAGCATGAAAATTTGGTCACTCTTCGAGGATGTTGTGTTGATGGAGCTCAAAGGCTCCTTGTTTATGATTACATGGAAAACAACAGCCTCTGGCATGCCTTTCTAGGTAAAAAACGGGGGAGGAAATTCCCAATTTCTGCAAATTTGATGTATCTTGGATCACTTGAATGAACATCATGTTGGTTCCTGATCGATCAACAGGTTCAGAGCAAAACAGGGTGAAATTTACCTGGACACTTAGGAAGCATGTTTGCTTAGGCATTGCCAAAGGACTGTGTTACCTGCACGAAGAACTGAATCCACACATTGTGCATCGGGATATCAAGGCGAGCAATATACTTCTGGATCAGGATTACACACCCAAGCTTGCGGATTTTGGTCTGGCTAAGCTGTTCAGGGACAGCATGTCGTATGTTAGCACTCATGTTGCCGGAACATGGTTAGAACACCTTGACATTGTCCTATAATTTGGATTTCAGAAATGTTACTGATTATTTAATGGTGTATGTTCTGCCCAGGGGATATATATCTCCAGAGTATGCTCATAGCGGCCATCTCACCCGTAAATCAGATATCTATAGCTTTGGCGTAGTTCTGCTGGAGATCATGAGTGGACAGCCCATTGTGGATTACCACGTTCAACAGGGAGACCTGTTCCTTGTAGAAAAGGTAACAACCTTTGTTGAAGCTGAAATACAAGCTTGATTAGGGATTTGAACGCGGATTTAATTATATTTCAGGCATGGGAACTATACAATGCTGGAAAGCTTTTGGACCTGGTGGATCCTGCCATGAATGGGGAGTTCCCAAACGAAGAAGCCATTCGGTTCCTGAAACTTGGGCTTCTTTGTGTGCAGGAAACCACCAGGCTCAGACCAACCATATCCGAAGCCATGAAGATGATGACTAATGAGATCAACACAGACAATGTTGAGATAAAGAGGCCTGGACTCGTTGCCAACTTAATGGAAGTGAAAATTCGAGAAAAGAATTCCTCAAATTTCACCTCTTCCCAAGCAACAAGCAGTACAGTTAGCTTCCAAGGAAGATAACCCTCAGCTAGATTGATTAAGGCCACAATTTAGAACAAACAATGTCAATGGTAGTCAGCTGGCAATAGCATAGGGTGAGTGTTAGGAATATGTATTTGAAGTAGCTGAGTGTAGATTATAAGATAGTAAAATTTATTTGCATTTTTTATTTTTGTTTGTGCTTTATGTAACATCAAATGATAAATACTATTATATCATACGTGAGAATGGAATTTTGTAACTGTATTCCTTATTTGTCATTCAGGCCACAATTTCCTAGTAATTTTAAATGATATGTTTCTGCTAATTCTACAACATTACACAGACAGTCCAACAATATTTTTACCACTATTTCTTTAATAAAGATCCTTCCTTATAAAAGTCTCAACTTCCAAAAGTTGTTAATGCGCAGCAATCACAACAAGGCCATCCACACAAATCAAACTGATCAGGTTCCAAGAACACACTGACAAGATTTAATATAAGATCAACTCAAATGCATTCTAAAAGTAAACAATGAATGGCAAACAAACCAAGACTCGATGCAAATTGTAATCAAAGACTATGCCCATAAAGTAAGTAAATAAAAATTGGCAATCACAAAAATATAGAAGATTATAGCAATTCAATTATGCATGATATAACCGTAAAGCAAAATCGAAAACACACACATATAGTCATTGCCATCACAATACGAAATTAGATTTAAAAAGAAGAGTTTTAAAGCAAAATTCGAAACCTAGGGGGCTTAAGGTTCCAGACAAAATCCATTAAAAACTCAATCCTGAGGAATCTCAACGTCTCCATCGGTGATCTCCTGCTGCAAATCCTTCGGATCCTTTCCGTCGACGGTACAACCGACGGAAACACAAGTACCCAAAATCTCTTTCACCGTGCCGCTCAAGTCCTTCGCCATGGACCGTGGGCTCATGACTTTCGCAATCTCAATAACATCATCAAGTGAGATGTTTCCACTATGCTTAATGTTCTTCGTCTTCTTTCTGTCGCGCTCGGGCTCTTTCAACGCCTTGATGACTAAAGCGGCTGCGGAGGGAACCACAGCCACCTTAGCCTGACGGTTTTGAACCGTCAGTTTAACGGTTACGCGCAGACCCTTCCAGTCCTTGGCGGTTTCCTTGGCGATGTCCTCACCAATCTTTTTGGGAGAAAGACCGAGCGGACCGATTTTGGGGGCAAGGGAAGATGCCGCGCCGACCTCACCTCCCGTCACCCGCACGTACACCTCAACAACCTGCGACGGATCAAACTTGGGCGGCATCTTGGCTGTCGGACTGGGAAGGGGACGATGATACGCGCAGGAGGAGGAGGAGGAGATATATGCAGCTAGGGTTTCTGCAGGTTATATATAGTAGCAGGCCTGGATAATTTCAATTCCTCTCTAATTGGACCGGCCCAATATATGTATACTCTGATGGGCCAATGCAAACAAAAGATCCAAAAATGTTAATTTTATAGAACCCAATGGACTTTCTTGGGCCGTTCGGCTCAGATAAGACCATCCTCTCTTCTAAGCCTTCTCGATTTACACTCCCATCGCAACTTAAACTACGGCTATGCTTCTCTTTTATGTAGTTTGAAAATTTTTGACTTTGATTTTAGTATTAAAATAATATATAATAATATATTTTATGAAAGTATTTATTTTAAATGCAAAGTTGAAATAGTTAAAACGTACATTTTAAGATTAAAGAAACAAACCCGGAGCTTCATCCCAATAGCACAGTTAGCTTCCAAGTAGCTGAGTCCACAATTTAGAAACAACATAGAGTCGCAAGAATAGAGTGAATTCTTTAAACATATTATAATGTTGTGAATTGATGTAGAAAGTGAGATGCATTTTATGTCAAACAAAAAATAAAATAAAATAAAAAAGCAAAACATATTATTGTTCTTACATTCAAGAATGTATCAAGAATCACAAAGATCGAAGAATCATTCAACAACAAACTTTACAATTAATGTGATGAGAAATGTAATGTACAGTTGTAGGAGAGCATTCCTCACAAAAAAATGCTAACTTACCTTACAAATCCGTCTGGCTTTTCAAGAATCAAATGCAAAAAAGACAACCCGAACCTACAATATCAATCCATCCTTCACCAACTGCTCCAACGCAACCGCCAAATCCGCCATCGAACCCCTTCCATCCCCATCTTCCCTCAAAGCAAGCTCTGCAATATCCGCAAGTTTCAGCAGAGGCTCGACATTTCTCGGCAGAGCAATGTATCGATCAATAATGGCAGCCGCCCTTCCCTGTCGTATCTGCGGCAACGCCCAATCCACAATGTCGGGAGGAACACAGTCCGCGTCGTAAGACTTCCTCCCGCTAAGAATCTCAAGAAGCACGATCCCAAATCCGTAGACGTCCCTTCTCATCTCCGCATTAACATCCCTTTCACTCGGCGTAAGCAGCCTGAAATCTGCGATCCGGGCCGCCCAATCAGCATCCAAAAGTATTTTCGAGCTCCTAATGTTACAATGAACTATAGGTGGCGCAGCTTCATTGTGGAGATACTCGAGCCCCTTGGCAGCCTGCATGGCGATTTTAAGCCGCAGGCTCCAATTCAGGCTAGATAATCCTCCATGGAGATGATCGTGAAGATTCCCATGTGGCATGTACTCGTAGACCAGCAGCCTTTCGCCCATCTCGGCGCAATAGCCCAACAGGTTCACAATATTGGCGTGGCGAAGATTGCAGAGGACTTCCAACTCCATTTCAAAGTCCCGGCTATTCGACTGGATTATCGTCGCAGCATTAGCCCTCTTCACCGCGACTTGCCTCCCGTCGGGAAGAACAGCTTTGTACACAAATCCGTAGCTTCCTCTGCCAAGCTCGTTGAACTCCTTGAATCCATTCGTCGCGTCCTTCAGCTCCGATAGCCGGAAAACTTGAGCGACTCCAGGGCACGCTGGAGCAACTGATGCTGGAGGGTGTTGATCGAGATTTCCATCCGATTCCGGATCAGCCTTGCGCATACACGGCAGGAACTGTTTCTTCCCTTCTTCGTTCTTGATGATCATCACGCGCGGTAAAAGACACCAGGCGAATAAAATTAACACGAATCCGGAAGCTGAGGAGCCGACTATTAGCAGCAGCTGCCGAAATTGATCCCAATGCTTCTTCTGCATCCCCGGGGACGACTGCAGCCGGCAAACATCCCAACAAGAGCTGTTCTGACAGAGCGAGCATGGCGTACAAACCCTGTCTGCATACGAAGTACACGGACTGGATGCGAAAAAGCCTTCGGAACAATTTAGGCCGCAAGGCGAACATATGCTTAGCTCCTTCCGAACACACAGGCTAGTCAGATCAGGCTCGTTCAGAAGGCTGGCATTGAAAGCAAACATCCCTTCCCTGCAAGGCCCGGCGGTGCATAGCCCTGGACTGCAGAGCTGCAATGGAGGATCATAATCGAGCCGAGCTGATAAATTGGTGAACCAACAATCCAGGACTAAATCGCTTTCCCTAATACCACATGTAAGAAAGTTGGATGAAGCTATGGCAAGAAAGCCAGGACCTTTGGGTATCAATGAATCATTGAAGTTCCCCCAACATTGTATCCCATGATCGTCTTCTCTAATCCCGCAAAAATGGCGGGCGCCGGATGCTAAGGACACGAATCTGATCCCGACAGGAGGATTAGCATACGAACTACTATTACCCCAGCATTTGATCTCACCAGACGTCTGTGAAACGCCACAGAGTGAGTCTAATCCGGAAGCTAAGATCGAAAAGTTTTCAGACACTCCGGCGATGCCTAGATCGCCGGAATTGGGGCCCCAACACGAAAGCGCTCCTTCTCTGTTAATGCCGCAGGCAAAGCCATCGCCGGAGACTAATTTCTTGAGGTTAACATTCTGATCGTAGAAGCGGGGACTCTGTGCTGAGGTCAAACTGGTATTTGACACCCTGACGATATCCCAACAATGGACGTCACCGGAATTATCATTGGAATAGTAGAGTCCCTGGATCGCACAAACGTGGTCCTTACCGGCGGCGACATGAGAGTAAGTATTGGTCTTGAATACCTGAGGGATGAGATCGGAGGTTTTAGCGGTTCCCATGGAGTCCCAGCACAGTAGCTGCGAAGTGTTCACCAAAATGCCGCAAAGAAATCCTTCCCCGCCGGAGATGGCGGCCATCGGAGGCAGAACGCTGGAGTAGTGCAACAAACTGGAGGCGGTGGAGGAGCTGTTATTGGCGTCCCAGCAGATCACGGCCTGCTTCCCGCTGGCGTCAATGGCACAGAAGAGGGCGTAATCTCCGAACGACGCTGCGATGGGGCCCATGGATCCGAATCCGGAGGCGGTTCCGGCGAGAATCAGGAGAAGCAGGAGAGGAGCAGAATAAAACGCTGGATTCGACAGAGGGCCATGAATGAATCGGAGAGGAAGTTTCATGGCTTCGGTGGAAGAAAGGAGGAGTACAGAGAGGAGGTACAAAGGACATGGAGTGAGAAAGTTGGGAAGTGTGAGAGAGAGAAGATGGGACAGCGATGAGGTTGGACTTGTTGTTGTGGAGCTGCTGATGAGGACGAGAGAACGTGGGTGGGGTGGGCTCTGCGGCTGTCATTGCCATTTTTACAGTTTCAAATCTTCTCTGCTTCCTCTCCAGTAAAAATTTTCCCCCAATATTTTACCATCTGTAAACCCTAATTTCTTGATTCTTGGTTGGGCAATTTCAGGCGGACACCATTGATTCTACAAAGAACTCGCGAGGTTAATTAGAAGATGGAGGAATTGGGGATGGCCTACTTCTACTTGGGGTAGAAAGCGAGCAGCAAATACAGAAAACCAGATATTTGAAGGCGGCCAATATCCGAATTCTTGTCGGGTCCACTGAGGGAGGGAGGGAGGGAGGGACTCCATTAATGGTGCAGATGAGATCAAGAAATTGAGCCCAGTTGGTGCACGTCTTCTCTTCTCTTGTGTGGAAGAAATGATGACAAGTGGGGCACGACTCGAGACTGGATCGACTGACACATGCCAAATTGCCCCCAAAATTGGCCAGGCCAGTGCATTCTTACACACTAGTATATTTTTGGTAAGAATTTATACATGTACATGTATATATATATATATATTGTTGCCTATGCACATGCTCCCTTCTTTGTCACCTCATGTATAAATAAATAATCAAATTAAAGGGCAATTTCAATTAGCTATTCTTGTGGATTGAGCAGTAGCAAAGGCAAGTTATTGCCTGCAGGTAGAAATTGATTAGTAGTGATTAATCAATGTAATCAGGCAGGCAGGCAGGCTTCATTCATTCATAGATGGATTAAATGTTGATGATGAATATTGGTTCTGAAGGAAGATTTGGAAATGGAGGGCATGTGGATGGAGGTGTTAGTCAAAGATTGCACACTGCTGCCTGCTGCAGTACAAATGGTGAGGACAAGAAATGAATCTAATTGCCTGATCTTGCAATCCACCTTGCATGTGACTCTCTCTCTATCTTTCTCTCTCTCTCTCTCATATCTATATCTTCTGTTTACACATAGATACATACATACATGCATGCATTCATTCATTCATTCATGCATTGTAGTTGAGTAGTCATGCATCACTCACAGCCGACCAATGGAAAAAGGTTCAGTGTATATGTTTATACGTAGAGAGAGAGAGAAGAGAGAGAGAGAGGAACCCACTTTGAATTTGAGCAATGGGTTTAATTAATTGGTTTTTGTTTTTTCAAGATTTGCTTGTAGAATTAATTAATTTTTGTGATGAATTTTGCGGAAATTGAATAGAGAGATTGATAAGGAGGATCTTTCATGTGATTTGTCTGAAGATTAAAGACATCAAAATCTTAATATTAGATTTTGAATATAAATATAAATATTGATCATGTACGTACGTAGTATTATCATTACTGTATTATTGAGTTTGACATGATGTTTGTGTAATGAAGATATAAATATTGCATATTAGGTCAGTTGTCTTTAGTAGTAGTAGTAGTAGTAGTATATTCTAGAAGTATGTAGTAAATTACATTAAAGAACAAATACAATAATTACAGGTTATGGGAGAATTAAAATCAGCTGCTGCTATGTCACTTATCCTCTTCGCCATTGGCCTACTCTACTCTACTCTACAATTTGTTTAATAATAAATTGATAATACTAATAAATAATAAGAGTGGAGAGTGAAGAAAGTGATGAGATGACAGATAATCAGAAATGCGAAATAATAATAATAATCATAATAAAAATAATAAATAGTGCTGTGTGCTGTGCAGAGATTGTCCTCTTCCTCTTGCGACTGCTCTGCGCCGCTCCTTTTATTTTAATCTTTTATATATTTTGTGTGTGTGTGTGTATATATATTCATTGCATATGGGGTTGAGGAGGAGTAGGGAATCTGAAATGTACTTATCAGGAGAGGGAGAGAGAGAGAGGCCCAAATCAATATAGCTACTACCAGCCCAGCCCAGCCCAACCCAATATTATTATGGATCTCTGTCTCTGATTTAAGATTACCCATCCAAATGAATTTATATTGGAATTTTCCATTACTACTACTACAAGAGAAGATAATTCTGAATTCGGAGAAGGTAAAGGAAATGGAAACAAACACACATTATTATTATTATTATTATTACTGAAGCTGACTTTTGGATTTGGAGGACATGAACACATTGAAGAAGTAAAAGAAAACACACAGAAGCAGCAGCTAAAGAAGGAAGGAAGGAAGTGAAATAAATGTGCATTGGAGAAGAAGGGCACTTTGAAAAGGCGTGCCTGCTTTGCTCTGCTCTCTGTTCTGCTCTGCTCTACCAAGAACAACAACAACATTCCCACCATTGCAGATGCTATTGTTACTGGTAAGAAGAGCTTCGGAATGATCCCAGAGCTTTCACTGCTCCCGCCCTCAGGATATACTGATGGTAGATTGCTGCTATGGCTGCCCCAATCAATGGCCCGACCCAGAATATCCACTGCACATTCATTCATACAGTCAGTGTCAGTGGAGAGGAGACAGAGAGACAAAGATCTCTCCAGATCTATCTATGGAGGAAGTAGTAGCAGTAGGTTACAAATACAATACATACCTGATCATCCCAGGCCTGATCCTTCCCAAAGATCACAGCAGCTCCGAAGCTCCGAGCAGGGTTAATCCCCGTCCCTGTAATCGGAATCGTCGCCAAGTGCACCATGAACACCGCGAATCCGATGGGCAGCGGCGCCAATACCTGTAAGAATTAAGTATTGAATAGATCAGATTAATGAATTAATTGTTCATAATTGATGATATTACATCATCATCACACGCTTACAGGAACGTGGGAATCTCGGGCGCTTCTCTTGGGGTCGGTGGCGGAGAAGACAGTGTAGACGAGGACGAAGGTGCCGATGATCTCGGCCGCCAGTCCGGTGCCGGTGCTGTAGCCATCGGCGAGGGTGTTGGCGCCGCCGCCGTACCTAACGTAGTAGGCCTTCTGGAAAGCCTTGACCAGGCCGCATCCGCAGATGGCTCCTAAGCACTGCGCCACAATGTACAGCACCGCCCGCGGCAGCGACACCTTTCTGGCCAGGAACAGCCCGAACGTCACCGCCGGGTTGATGTGCCCCCCTGTATTTGTATATTTGATTATGATTATGAATTGATTGATTGATTTTGAGGAATTGAAAATGAAAGGAATGAGAATCGAAAGCGAACCGGAAATGCCGGCGGTGCAGTAGACGAGGATGAAGATCATGCCGCCGAAGGCCCAGGCAATGCCGAGAATGCCGACGCCGCCGCACTGGTCGTCGGCGCTCTGGCTCTTGTAGCCGATGACGGTGAGGACGGTGACGTAGAGGAAGAGGAGGGTGGCAATGAACTCGGCGATGACGGCCCTGTAGAGCGACCACTTGGCGAGCTCCTCCGGGTTGATGAGCGGCTCCGGCGGCGGGTCTTGGTAGTCCTTCGCCGTGAAGTCGCCGCCGCCCACTTCGACATCCTTACCCATTTCAAGAAATTCTGCTTTGATTTGTAGTGAGCCTGTAATGAATAGTAGTTAGTTATCTTCTTTCTTATTATAAGTTTGGTTTGGTCGGAGGAGTGTTTGTAAGAATTTAGAGCCATCGGGTGGGTATTTATATCGAGGATTGAGGCAATAATTGGTGCCATGGATGGATATCGAGGATTTTGCCGCCCCAAGAATAATAATGATAATAATATTGGAGTGGACTGACCCTACGGTCCCTACCACTCGCCACGCCAACCCCTACGATACGATACAATCATAAAGCAAGCACTTAAGTGAACAGTGGAGGTGTTGTGTTTCTTGAGAGGTCCCTGGACCCCGGATCCAGATGCAGAGGCCTAAGGCAATGTATTCTCTTTACTTGGCAGTCAAATTTATTTTTTTTAATAAAAAAATAATTTTTATTTTTATTTTTATCTATTATCCTTATAATTGAATGACAGATAGAATCTCTTATTAATTATCCATCCATCCACGTGAAAAATAGGACTAAGCTGCTGCTGCTGCTGCTGCTGCTCACTCATAAGTCATCACTCTCACAGTGATATCGTACCATCCACCCACCCACCGTCCATCCAGTTTCATTTCATTATTTTGGTAATAGTGTTTGTCATCTTCCGCCGCCGCCGGGAAATAAAAATTTGTAATTGAAATGAGCTCCTGGCTTATGGTGTGCCGCGTGTCCCCAAACTCATCATTTTGTTTATGGTTGTGGCCGAGCCTGCTTGGCCGGTGTCTTTCTTTTTAAACTCTTTACCGACCGACTGATAGTGACATGTCATGCCACGCATTTACAAGCTATCAATTATCATATATATATATATACTCCATCAATTACATCAATAAAAGCATTGCATCATCAGTCACTGACATGTGATTCATCCCATCCCTATTTCTTTTTTTTCGTACTTCAATAAATAATATGCATCCATACATACTGTAACTTATGATCGTAAAATCATAGTTCAAACCCAAATTTTTAATTTCGGTTTGACAAATCTATACTATCGGGCCTGGGTGATTCAATTATTCTCGTTTATTGGGCCGGCCAATATATTTGTACCAATTTTGTATACTGATGGGCCAAAAAGGTCCAAAAGATTAAATTGAACACAGATAAAGATTAGGGTTCTTTTATTGCTTTCTTCTTCACCGAATCAAGAAGTGAAGAAACAACTGAGTACCTGAATGTCAGTAACATTCTCTATTTCAGATTCAGAGATGATTGCAGATTGCGTTGGTGAAATCTGTGGTTGTTGATTTACCACCAAGATCCCCCGTTCTAAACTTCCCTTCCGCTATCGTCTTCAGTATGGCATCATGGATTTGATCAGCCTTCTCATGGAGATTCAAATGGTGCAGCATACTCACACCACTCAAAAGCAAAGCTGTCGGGTTTGCCAAATTCTAACACGTTTTTTCATTCAATGAGAAACAAAAATCATCTGATCATCACACATGAACAGTAGGTGCATTCATTAAATTTTTTTCTGGATGGATACCAACCTTTCCAGCAATGTCTGGAGCAGAACCATGGACGGCCTCGGCAAGAGCAATGCCTCCCTCTCCAATATTGCAGCTGCCAAAGAACAAACTCAGCAGATGAAAAAGAACCAACATTCTTTTAGAGTGATGAGCTTAAATTAAATTTACCTTGGAGTTAAGCCCAGACCTCCGATCAAACCAGCACAAAGGTCACTGATTATGTCTCCGTAAAGATTCGGCATTACCAATACATCAAAAGTGGATGGATCCTTCACAAGCTGCAATGGTTACTTTCATAAAGATAAGAACTTCAATGAAGAAGTAATCAGGCTGCACGAAATATAAAATTCTTATACCGCCATGCAACAATTGTCGATCACTTCTTCTTCGTATTTTATCTCCGGGTATTTCTCCGCAACCTCTCGGCAACACTGCAGGGTGTATGAAAAATTCAACAAACTGAAAAGGGCATAACAAGAATAAGCTCAATCATATGACCATAGACATGCCTTAAGGAAAAGTCCGTCGGTTTTCTGCATGATATTTGCTTTGTGCACTGCAGTAACTCTTTCTCGTCCGTGAGCTTTGGCGTAATGAAAAGCATATTCTGCGACTCTAAGACTCGCTAGATGTGTGATTATCTTGACACTTTCGACAACGCCCCTTACAACCTTAGATGGAGATGAAAGGGGAAATGATCAAATTCAAAGTTCAATTAGCACTTTTAATTTTACGACAACATGCATCATTTGTGTTCGACTTACTTGATGTTCAAGCCCACTGTATTCGCCTTCTGTGTTTTCGCGAATGGTAATGAGATCTACATCATCATATTTCGTCTTGTATCCGGGCAGGCTGTAACAAGGTCGAACATTTGCATAAAGATTAAGTTCTTTTCTCAGAGTGAGGTTGAGAGATCGGTGCCCTTTTCCGATCGGCGTGGCCATGGGTCCTTTCAATCCTACTTTGTTCCGCCTAACAGATTCAAGGCTTTCCCATGTAAGAAAGCTCTGTGTTCTGGGATCTACCTCCTTCCCTACATAGTGTTCTTCCCATTCTATTGGTACCTCAGCTACTTTGAATACCTGATTTCACCAATAACATTCATTCATCTGAATTTTCCTCCTACACGACAGCAGACTCATGGTATTCAAAACAGATAGATGTCTATATATATGAAGCATGGACATGGATTGTTGTTTTATAGCAAAATACAGTATACAGATTGAGCATATGAAGGAAATAAAATATCTAGAAGATGGATTAGACGAACAGGACAACACAAAGTTAACGCGGCCTCAAAAAATTGAAAACCCTATGGATCGAATTACGAGACCTGTTTGACTGATTCGGCGATTTCGGGACCGATGCCGTCTCCCGGGAACAGAGTAGCGCGGATGAGATTCGAATTGGACGCCGCCGACTGGGAGCAGCTTCGATCGAGAAGACTAGGGTTTCCGAGAGAGGCATACTTTGATCGGCTGCTGCGCGCAATTCTTCTAACAATTTGTGACGCCATTTGCGGCTTTCGCTTCTGATTATTCGCTGCAGATCAAAATCCCTCGGCTGGCTGGATATTTTTCGATATATCATTTACTAGAAGTAAGAATCAGTACAGTAGGAATCGAATAATTGTTATAATGGCCCTTAGAACGACAGAGAGGGAGAATCCGTCCCTTTAATACAAGAAATGGCTGCAAGACAAGTGTCAAGTCAAAAGGCCATTTTGTACCTCGCGAAAACGAAGTTTGTTTTGTTTTTCAAGGTAAACTGTGAGCATCTGAAGACATGATGAAAACTACATCCCAATTATTGAATTGAAGACATTAATAAAAACAAGAACTAGTTGATGGGAAGAGGGGCACCATTCCAGGACTCGAGACATGCCAGCAATGGATCGACAATCAACCCATTGTTCAATGCTGCAAACACCTTGTCACTTTCTTCACCAGGAGATGTAACCTTCTCACCTGCAAGAATATCCGTTCCAATGTCCTGTCGGATGAATTTGTACAGAGGGTACGACCTGCAATCTTTAATCCTGTTAGGGATCGCCGGATTTCCTCCCTCCACGGCGGTTCTTGCAGTCTCGACTTCTTTAGGCAAATGGGTCTTCAGTTCATCCTCAAAAGCTTCAATCTTCAAGAAGATGGATGTGCTTGTGTTCATCTCACCATCACCATTGCTCAATGCGTGATCCACGAGCACTTTCCTCAGCTTCTGCATCAATGGGTAGGTTGCGCTGCAAGGATCATCTATGTATGCAAAGACATATTCATGGTCGACCGCACTGAGCAAATCTTTCTCACAGAATCTTGCCGGATGAAGTTCCCCGGTAGCCACTGTGGTTAAAGTTTTCCTGGCTACTTTGCTGACAGTGTTCTTGACAACCTGCCTCAGATTCTCCTCCAAATGCCTCAAATCAATGGCCTGGCAGAGTGCAATCAAGTATGTCGACGACATAAGCTTAAGAATGTCGAGTGCTTCGACTGTTTTCCTCGAAGAGATCAAACCCAGTGAGTTCACATCCTGGTTATGCTGCTCAGCACTCTGCACATGGTTCGTCACTGGATTCGCCAAGAATTGAAGCTCTGAACAGTAGGCAGCCATGGCGATCTCAGCTCCCTTCATGCCATAGTCCAAGCTCGGGTCCCTCCCACCTGAAAGATTCGATGGCAATCCATTGTTGTAAAAATCATTGACAAGTTCCGAAAATTGAGCAAACATCAGCTTCCCGATAGATGCAACAGCCAATCTGACATTATCCATAGCCACTCCTATCGGCGTCCCCTGAAAATTCCCACCGTGCAAAGCCTTGTTCCTCGAGACATCGATCAATGGGTTGTCGTTCACCGAATTGATCTCCCTCTCGATCATTTTCGTCGCTGTCCTAATGACTTCGATTTGAGGCCCCAGCCACTGCGGCGACGTCCTCAGAGCATATCTGTCTTGCTTCGGCTTCTGCAATGGATCCATATCGTGCAACTTCTGAGCTGCCTTGACGTAAGAACTCCCATCAAGAATGTGCTCCATTATAGCTGCCGCCTCGATCTGTCCCGGATGGTGCTTCAATTTGTGCGTCAAATGATCGGTAAACTCGGGCTTCCCGTTCATAACCTCAGCAAAAATGGCGGACGTAACTTCTGCTAGCAGAGCAAGAACATTGGCCTCATATACAGCAATGGAGGCCAATCCAGAGCCAACGGCGGTGCCATTGACAAGTGCAAGTCCCTCCTTCGGCTGCAGCTCGAAGAAACCGCCATTAATTCCGGCGAGCTTAAAGGCCTCCTCGGCATTCAAGGCTTCCCCGGCGGGACCAACTGCTTTGGCGTTCGGCCGCCCCGTCAGCATTCCGGCGAGGTAGGATAACGGCACGAGATCTCCTGATGCAGTAATCGTCCCGCGAAGGGGCAAGCGAGGCGTGATGTTGTGATTCAGGAATTCTGTGATCGCCTCGAGAATCTCGAATCTAATGCCGGAATATCCTTGAAGAAGGGTGTTGATTCGGACAAGCATTGCTGCTCTCGTCGCCGGATGCGGCAGCGCGTGGCCGGAGTCCGGCGAGTCCCCGAATATTCCGGCGTTCAAGAATCTGTCATTCAAAGAGTCGACAATCATTAATCGACCGTAAACAAGATGGGATTTTGAATTTAAAGAGTTTTTTAATACCTAATGAGCTCCTTCTGAAGAGCTCCGCCTTGCTTGGTTCTCCGGTGGGAGGTGGCGCCGAAGCCGGTGGTGACGCCATAGCTGTCGGTCCCCTTACCCATGCTTTCCATGACCCAGTCGCTGCTAGCCTTAACGCGACCTCTCGCCGTCTCCGACAGCTCCACCGTCACGGCGTTCCCCCTGGCGGCGATTGCAGCTACCTGCGATATAGTCAGCGTCTCCCCGCCGAGCTTCACAGCCGGGCGGCGGAACTGTTCCACCATCTGCTTCACCTCATCCAAATGGCTCCCCTTGAGCGACTCCGCCGCCGCCCCCCAATTCAGGGGATCTTTCTGCTCCATGCAGAACCCGCCGGAAAGATCAATCTGCTTCGCCACAGGCGCCATTAAAGCAAAGGAAAGTAAAGCAGGTGCACTGAAATACACAAGAAAGTCCTTGCACGTAAAGTTTAGGAGCTCCTGCAATGTCGATGAGGGGACAATGGAGTGTATAAATAGCGAGGAAGGGTGGAGTGTAATGAATGTGCGGCGCATGGAGATTTTGGTAGGTAGGTGGGCATGGCGATGGGTGGAAAAGGAAAGAGTGGCGGGTCACAGGTGTCGAAATCAGTAAGTTTGTTGAGAAAGGATCTGGGCCGTTGGTGGGGCTTATCTGACGGTGGAGATTCGGTGATGGTGGTATGTCTGAAAGTCTTTTGCGGTGGTTTTGGTGGGAACTCAGAAACCGTTTCGGTGTTAGGAATATGTAATTAAGGTAGCTGAGTGTTCATTATAAATACTAAAATCTATTTGCATTTATTTCTTTTTGTTTCAGGCAATTTAACATTTAATGATAATTACTACCGTATCTGAAAATTGAGTTTAGCAGTTGTATAATTTGTCATTTCCATTTTGTTTTTAGGTGATGGTATGATTGATATTGGGAATTTAATTTAAATTAAATTAAATAATTACACAGGTGAGTGGTTGTTATTGTATTGATTATGATTGTTGCAGAGTAGCCTACTGCTTGTTTGCTCCCATCAAATAAATATCTATTTTTAAAAATTTTGATCTGTACTATATTATTTATTATTTTTAAAAAAAATATAATTATACATTTTAATTAGATTTTATGTATTATTTTATTTTTATTTTTATTTTTTAATTTTAATTTTTGTCTGTTAGAATTGTAGTACGTTAAATTCAGGTGGAAAATACGACGAGTTCCTAGTAAATGATATTGCACTATATTATATTCGAGTTCAGGTGACAATAACCAATACTGTTCAATATAAAGCAAAATGTGGACTGGGATCTTTCCACCAATGATTGTTTGCCACGTCATTATACACGGATGAAATGGGCTGCTATGACCGGTCAATCAAAAGCGGGTCAACTCAAAAGTTGGTTTGACTGCTTTAGTCTCAATAATATAGGTCCCTTTTGAATATAATGTAGTAATATTTTACGAGAATAAAAATATATTTGGTTTGATATTTTTTAAAGAAATGGATTTCAATAAAAAATTCAAAAAATATTATGCAACAAAACCCTTAAACGTCATTCATCAACCACGATAATATATACAGAAATACGGATATTTGTGATGTTTCAGAATATTATAGCATATAATCTTAGCTGCTAATTGTAAGAAAAGCTGTGAAGGTAATGAAAGGAGAGGAGCATAACAGAAACAGAAGCTGAAATGATCTCTGTGTCAGAGCTCTGGCTTCGTCTATTGATTCATTAACCATAAAGAGCCAGGCACACAACAGACATGATACACACAAGAAACCATTTATATATATCGGCTTGTTTCTCTGCACATGTCGTTGTCGTCTGTCATCAGATGATATGATAACGATCACACAACATTACACAGACAGACAGCACAGATAGGGGAGAGGGCAATAATCAATTCAATGCAACGACGAGTTTTGGGTGTGGGCGTTGGGAGACGCTGCCTGATCATTAGACAGGCGGCGTTTGTACCTCTTCAGCACCGATGACAGATTTTTCTTCCCGTTTGGAAATGCGACGTCGCCGGCGGCAGTGCCTGATCGTCCCTTCCGACACGAAATCGCAACTTCCACATCTTTGATTAACTCCAATATCATTGCTGCTGTCGTCACTTTTCCTCTACCCACTTTCGACTGCGGCGGCAAGTTGCTACTCAGAACCGGCCAGCTCGACCTCGACTTCTGCTCATATCCATCCGGCAGTTGAAGGCAGAAGCATGGCGGTGGGGGGCTCCGCTTCTTCAAGATTCCCAGATCGATAATCCCCTGCAAGAATTAATACAATACTTTTGGTAGTCAGTAGGAGATTTAAAAGAGTAATTCCATAGACTAAAGAATCATCTTTACCTGAAGTCGATTGAGGACGTAGGTGTACTTCCCCCAAAGTTCAGGCCGGCTTTCAACCAGCGAAAGTTCCAAAATCCGGTGAACGCACCACACGCCGAAGCTCACAACAAGATCCACTCCCCAGACGCATCCATCACCACAGTTGGGGACAGACATAAGCTTTGAATGCTCGGTCTCATAAATCGACACTTTCATGGCAGAGCTGAGGTTTCTATCTGATGTCATTGTTTCAAGTTCATACAAGAACTTCTCCCGTTCAGCCACCCGACCGATAAGGTCCTCATCAGCTCCGTCGTTTTGTCGGAAAAGCCAGCTCATTCCTTCCAGCTTCGAAAGCTTCATTATGGTGCTTCTAAAGGAGTGAAGAAGCTTTGCTTCACAGTCCATAAATGAAGGAGAAGGAGGAGTTTCTCGACTTCCCAACAGAGTTTGACATTTATCCGCCACACCAAACTGTTCATAAGGCTGCTTAGACCACAGCGAATCTGTGCCGAAGTTAGAACCTAATTGCGAAGGAAGAGCATCACGGCAAACTTTTGTATCATGTCGACCCAATCCTACAGTGCTCAAAGTAGCTTGCTCAGGCACCTGCGGACTAATAAATTGTCTATGTACACCTCCAGAATAAGAAGAATTTGAACGAGGTCCGTAAAGTCCCGATATGTTGGGCAAACTGTGAAATTTCTTCTCACCAGGTGGGTCCCTGTTGGTGTAGTCGACGGATTCAGGAGATGAAAGCTCTTGCGAAGGCCTTTCAAATCTTAATGAACTGTTTCGGTGTATAGGAACATTGTGAAAACCCGGCGGTGCGCGCAGCACATTCTGTGACTTCTGCCCCACAGGCCGTGAGTAGGGATCCAAATTGTTCGATTTAACTAAGAATGCTGAGGGTTGTGTTACAGAACCTAGTGGACTTTTCAGATTCTCAGAACCTTTTTCTACAGAGCTCAGCTGACTTCTTGCAAAATCAGAGCCTTTTTCTACAGAACCAAACTGACTCTTCAGATAATCAGAGCTGTTTTCTTGGGCCATTCGGCTCATATAAGATGCCATGTTGAAACCCTGAATCATAGCTGGCTGTTTATCTTGGCCTTGGGTGGATGATCGAGCATGCACGCTGTGATAACGCCTCTCCATAGATTCAAGAGCATTGTATGAATCCAATAGTTGCGTATAGTTAGACCACCTCGGGGAGCCTGGCTGAAGCCCTAGAGACAATCCACCATTATTCGGCCCAACATTTTGGATTGAAGGACTATAAGAGGTAGAATTTCGTAGATAGGATCCTCTTCCAATACATCTCGTTGGTTCGATATTCATAGTCTCCGATTTAACAGGGGCAGGGGCAGGGGCAGGGGCAGGGGAAGATTTCAAGTCTACCTTACAGTCAATCCCAAACAATTTGTCCAGTTTCTTAGACTTAGCTTCCGGTGTGACTTGACCATGGCGATCAAATAGCTGCCCCCAGAACTCATCCAGAACTGAAGTTAATTGACGCCTAGAAGCACGGCCTAATGTCGACAGACTCCCTGCCCCACATCCCACATCGTCAACTTTTCCACCGAGACTTCTGAAGGATCCAGGCCCGTCAGATGCCAGAGCTTGGCTACTCTCAACAACATCTTTATTAAACTCTTCATCCCCAATGTTAACCCTCTCCATCTGGCCATCTCCCTCGTTTTTTGGTGTTGTTTCCACTACTTCTTTCAATTCTGTATGCAGAGAACCATCGTCCGGCAATTGACTCTTCTGAACTTCAACAGATTCTGATTCCATGGATTGAGTAATCGAAAATGTGGTCACTGATGTGTCATCCGAATTCCTAACTGCACTAGATTCCAAAAACGTTTTTGGCAAGTTCACGTCAGAACTAGAACTCGGTACAGGTTCCCACTTCTCCATGCTTTTTGACTGATGCTGGGCCTCTTTAGCTTCAGTTTCTCCTCCATCCATGGAAAACTCGGTTACCACAGCCTGTTTGTCCCATTGCAATGCATGCATATCCACCCGGGAGCGTGCAGACTTCAGCGGGGTGATAGCTAGCCAAAGCATCAGAGATAAGGAAGAAAGACCAGCTACAAGAAGAATAAGATACAATATAGGCACCCTAGTCCCAATGTTCCACTTCAAACTTGTTACCCAGTGGCTCCTCCCAAAAGTTAATTCAATAATGAAGATAATATTCAGCCCAAGAATCCCAATAAAAGAAGCTAAAGCCGCAAATTCCACAGGACGAGGAATTATATAGGCTCCCATAATTGGTCTCGAGGAAGCAACTTGAAATAGAGGAATCAGAGAAGACGGGAGTAATAGAGCAACCATGACTTGTGCAAATATCAGGAGCTGAAAAATACCTTCAGCCCCAGATTTCCAGACACAAGATATTGCTAGCATGACAGTAGTTATTCTGATCCCAGCACAGTGAAACCAACCGGGAATCTTCAGCTTGAAGAAATCATTAGCAATGACTTGTTTCTCAAGACCCCATGTTGCTGCCACCAGTTGATTGGAGAAAAGCATAATGAATATCAAAGCGATTGAAGCTAATGAACTCCTGAATCCCTGCATCACCAGTTCACAGAGTTTAGTTACCATTCATCGACACCCGAATGGTTTGTATGTTTAGAAAACAGATACACAAATGGTTTATGCGCCAAAGATCAAACCTGATCCATCAACAAGACTGCATCTTGCAAGGTGAGTGAAGTGAGCCCGCTACTATAGAAAACGTTGGAAGCCAAGTTAACTAGCATGCAGTTCGCCACAAAAATGCCACTGAAGACACCAAAAATGGCGAAAAAATGGTAATTAAATAATTCCCCCTTAGAAACACTTCTATGCCCCTGATTTTGCTGCAAAGGTCACGAAAGGGTAATAAGAAACTGTCCTAAGCTTGTGTATAATAAGGAAAAATGAAGATCAGATAGACACCTGAACAATAGATGAGTGGAGGTAAAAATTGTGGGGCATCATATTTGCACCAAGAATAGCCATTAACGCGTATGCATTTTCCATGGTAAGATCACTAAGTAGTCCACCCACAGAGAGTGAGCGTTCGGGTGGATTCATGAGAACTCCAGAGACACAAAACAATAACAAAAAGCACAGCAAGCACATGCAGATCTTTGCTTTGGAATTCCCCTGAAAACACAAGTCACACTACAACTAATTTTTGTAACAATCTCAGAAGTGACAGGGTGAAAAAAAGATAGCAAGTGGACTTACAAGGAGGTTGGTGAAAATTGGAAATAATATAGCATCAAAACAAGACAAGAGAACACAATTACATAGGCTGATTCCGGAAATGGCATTAAGGCCACAGGCAGTGCCCAGAACCTACCATAACATTAATTTCCACGATTAGCAAAGCAGAGTGAAAAGGAAGAAATGACTGGAATTTAGATAGTTTTGTAAAGAGAGCAGTTACCATTGTGAGATCTAACACAACCATTGAGATCTCGGCCTGAATTCCCAGAAGAACGCAAGCCGTATTATCATATTCCTCTCTGCAAATCTACCAAATGAACACAACAGTTTTTCAGAGTCAATACTATAGTTCTCACAGCAGAGCATTCATACATAATACCAAACTAAATGAAAACATCTGAAGGAATAATAGTGACTATTCCTCCATCAGTTTATAACAACCTGCACAAGATTTCTGCCAGTGGCAATGGCTATACGAGCAGAGATGTAGTGGCACAATATAGCAACAAAGTTTATAACCACCATGAGTAGAATAAGATCAAGACCAAACTGAGCACCACCCTCCAGAGCTGCAGCCCATTTTCCAGGGTCTAAATAGCTGATAACCACCCAAAGTAATGGTCTAAGAGCAGCAAGCGCCTGTTCTCCATTGCGTGGCAGAAGTTCAATTGATGATTTTTCGGATTCCATTTGTCTTTAATACTCGAAATAAAAGAGCAGCATTATACTCTGATAATGGAACTTTAAATGAACTCGAAGTGAGCCAAACAATACCAAACTCAGTTCACTTACACCTCACACACATTGAATTCCACCTCAATGGCCAAGTAACATTTCAATTGGGAAAATCAGGGATTTCAAGCAAGATAAAAGACACAGTTCCTCATCGGGCAAAGAACTCCGTTTTCAATTCAGTACTGTGAATCCACTCTTCCGTATTCTAGTTTCATCTGATCACAAAGCTGAGCATTGGGCCAATGTTTAACCGACAACACATTGAATGTGTCAGATTGCACGGTCAGATCTTTTTTTATATTAAAAGATGAGAATAGCTTTGGTTTGAGTCGATACTCTGTTCCTAGTTTTACTGAAACAAGCAGTCAGAGAGTGGTAATTGTATGTACATTCCCCAATCCAGAAAGGCATGCAGTGGTAAAACACTTCTTCCTGGAGCTGAGCTTTGTCAAATGAGACTCCAGAGGCAACATACACATGTAGAAATAAATGTGATGTCCACAAACCTGCAATATCAATAATTTGAGCATCTTACTACATTAAAAGAACACCACAAAAGTTAACTAGTAGCAATCATAAGCACGGGACACAATGACAAGACACTCCCAGCCAACATTGTATGTGAAATACCCATAAGCTATAGTTCTTACAACCAACCACGTATCAACTAAGCAGGGGGCACAGAGATGTCGGTGAAATGCTGGTCATCAGTGAGATCACTGAATCGCAATATGTAAGAATCTAATATGACACTATTAAGCAATAAATCACATAAGCCATCATGCAGGGCAATCAGAGAAAATTGAACTGGTTCTTGGCTTTCAGGTGCAACCACAGGATTGACAGGCAGACATGCAGATTCGGTCCAATCTAAAACCCAGCCAAGTTGGTGGCTGAGATACATATAATAGCTGCGCCAAAAACTATAATCCACATGTTTGTGTTTGCATGGAAAATGAGTAATAAAGCCTTCGAATACAATTTTAATCCCCATATTCATTTACAAACAAATTGGAACTCACAATCACAGGATATCTAATAAAGAATCACAGAGAGTAAACGACTTTCAAATTTTGTCAAAGAACACCACACTTCACACCCTAATAGATCTTCACGTCATAACAATATGACAACAGAATCATACAAGCAACCCCAACTCAAATTTGAAGAACCAAAACCCTGAAACAGGTGATGAAAATTCAATTCCATTCAAATCGACTCCCCACTACATATAATCAACCATCACTCAATCTGAACGAGATCATAGACCAGCATGCAATAAACGACACAGGCAAAAGAGATACACTAAGCCCACAAATTACACAATTAAGCACCTGTTCAGTAAAATGAGTCCAATATAAGAAGCTACTGCAATTAGGCGTGTTCTACCCCTTCTTCTCCCCTCTCCAATCACCGACTCACACCAAACGCTTCACAGTCCTATGTTTCCCGTGCACAAATTTACTTTAGATCAGAAGCCCAGAAGAAGGCCGCGCGTTTATTGATGAACAAGAAAAAAACTCGCCAAAGGAAACAGACAAATAAACTAGAGCTTTAGATAGAGATAAACATACATGTGAGATTAGACGGCGTCGAAAGCGACGGGAATCAAACATTTAGGGCATGTTTGTTTTAAGTTTGGCTGGAGTTTGGCACTGTACATTTACTATAAAGCCAGATTCAAGCGCCAAACCGGATAAACGACCAAACCTTCCTGTTATATGTTTGTCTGTCAGCGTAGCTGTAGCTGTTGACTAAAATTCACCAGACTTGTATCCTCAAACAAGTTTGCCTTTAGCTGCAACCCTTCCCCGCCTTTTCTATGCTCGGATCTGGGTCTTCGTCAGAAAACCCTTGCCCCGCGGCCTCTTATCCCGGTAAAGCAATCCCTACAGTTACTGCTGCTACTATTTCAGTAAGATAGGTGTGGCGATTTCGGTGATGCGTGAATGACGAAGAAGAAGAAATGAAGAAAATTAGGTTAGGAGAAGAAGAGGAAGAAGAAAGAAGAGGATGAGTACAGGGAAGCGGGGGAAGGAGGAGATAGCAAGAAGATGGTGTAGAGGCGGCGGTTGTATTTTTTATTCTTTTATATTTTTTGAGAAATACGAGCAAATTTTAATATGTTAATCAAAATTGATCTTAATATAAAATTTCCATAAATTTTGATCTAATCAATTTTAATTCTATCATTAAAAAAAAAAAAAAAACTGAAATGGAGGTAACAAAAGTGGTATGAATGATGATCTAGATATAACAGTACCATATGCACAGTGTTTTTGCAGTATGCACGACACGGCCGTGTTAACTGTGTTTTATTCTGTCAAACTGTAATTTAAAAAGAAACACACACACACACACAATTATATTGAATGTGAAAAGGACTGGACAGTTATGTTATGGTTAAGGTGCAATAATTGGTGAGATTTGGAGACTGCGCACATGCTGTTGCTGCTGAGGCATTCGCAGTTCATTGAACCAAATCGACAATTGGTTTCCTATTAAGTGAGTTTTTAATTCATAGATTGTGCAATGTTGTGTTGTTAAGATTAATTAATGGGAATGTATAGAAATAAAAATGTGATTTGTGACATGCACGGACAAATACATTGTATTTAATTATGACATATATACATACATATAGCAGTTGGGGGAGACAAATTAAATTAATTCAAACCCACGTAGTAATAGGATTTGGATTGTGATTTTTGGGGTTTTGTGACTATTCAATTTAATTGGGGATTAATGTTGGTTCATTGAATCTAATTTTGTTTTTGTTTTTAGATTATAATTGGGCTGGGCTCAGATTGGGTTGTTTTTTTGAATGTGGGCTTATTACGCATATTTGGATACGGCGTCGTTTTAATAGATAGTAGTGTTGTGTATAGAAACCCTACCTCTGTTACTTGGTGGTTAAACCCTAGTTTTTGGATCGGGGAGTTGGAGGGGAAATGGCGTGTTTGGCAGCAGCGAAGCGAGCTAATTTCAATGGGCAGCTATCGAAGCTGTCTTCTCCATTGTCACTTGGATCGAATTTTTTCTTCTGTTCCTTATCCGCCCCTTCCGAGCCTGCTAAACTTGATGAGGAGTCCGCCGTCTCTGGAAATGGGAATGGGGACATTTTGTCAAGGACGGCGGCAAGAGAAGCTGTGACAACCCGTTCGCAGAATTCGATTCGTCGAGAAGGTAGGCGCAGCAAAAGCCCGGAAAAGATCGAAGATGTTATTTGTAGGATGATGGCTAATCGGGCATGGACGACCCGTTTGCAGAATTCGATTCGGAATTTAGTCCCGTGTTTCGATCACGAGCTCGTGTACAATGTGCTGCACAGCGCCAGGAATGCGGATCACGCGCTTCAGTTCTTCCGCTGGGTGGAGAGGAAGAATCTCTTTCGCAATGATATGGAGACCCATCGCAAGATCATTGAGATTTTGGGGGGCGCTGCGAAGCTTAATCATGCTAGGTGCATTCTGTTGGATATGCCGAAGAAGGGTCTGGAATTGAACGAGGATTTGTGGGTGTTGATGATTGATAGTTATGGAAAGGCTGGGATAGTTCAGGAGAGTGTAAAGTTGTTCAACAGAATGCAAGAATTTGGAGTTGAGCGGACTATCAAGTCATATGATGCTTTGTTTAAGGTGATTGTGCGTAGAGGTAGGTATATGATGGCCAAGAGGTATTTTAACAAGATGCTAAACGAGGGGATTGAGCCGACAAGGCACACGTTCAACAATTTGATTTGGGGATTTTTTCTTTCTGGTAAAGTGGAGACTGCCCTTAGGTTCTTTGAGGACATGAAGTCTCGCGGCATTTCGCCTGATGTTGTTACCTATAATACGATGATCAATGGGTATAATCGGTCTAAAAAAATAGAGGAGGCAGAGAAGTATTTTGTGGAGATGAAAGGGAGGAATATTTTGCCAACAGTGATCACTTTCACAACCATGATTAAAGGGTACATTTTGCAGGACCGAGTTGATGATGCGCTGAGATTGGTGGAGGAGATGAAGTCTTTGGGGGTTAATCCGAATGCAATTACTTACTCTACCCTGTTGCCGGGGCTATGTAATGCCGAGAAAATGTCTGAAGCTCAAACTGTATTGAAGGAGATGGCGGACAGGTATATTGTACCTAAGGATGAGTCTATTTTCATGAAGCTAATTTCAAGCCAATGCAAAGCGGGTAATTTAGATGCTGCCGTGGATGTACTTAACGGTATGAATCGGTTGAGTGTTTCCACGGAGGCTGGTCAATATGGTGTTGTAATTGAGAATTGCTGCAAGGCTGGTCAGCATGATAAGGCCGTTGCATTGCTGGATAACCTCATTGAAAAGGATGTTATCCTAGTGCCTCAGAGTACTCTGCATATGGAATCAAGTGCATATAACCCATTGATAGAGTATCTTTGCAACAATGGGCAGACTGCAAAGGCTGAAACCTTAATGCGGCAGTTGATGAAATTGGGCGTACAGGATGCTCTTGCCTTAAATGCTCTGATTTGTGGGCATTCGAGAGAAGGTACCCCTGAATCTGCTTTAGAGCTTCTGCAGATTATGCACAGGAGAAAGATTCCTTCAGAAAAAAGTACTTATGAATCACTCATCCAAAGCTTTTTGGAAAGGAACGAACCAGCTGATGCCAAGGCTGTGCTGGATAGCATGCTCGAGAATGGTCACCTGCCGAGTTCGTCCCTGTACAGGACAGTGATGGAGCGGTTGCTCAAAGATGGGCGGGTTCAGACAGCAAGTCGGGTAATGAAGGCCATGTTGGAGAAGGGTGTGAAGGATCATGAAGATCTGGTTACGAAGATAGTGGAATCTCTATTAATGAGGGGGCATGTTGAGGAGGCTCTCGGACGAATTGAATTGCTGATGCATAGTGGCATCACACCCGATTTTGACAACCTCATTTCTATTCTCTGTCAGCAAGAAAAGATTGTTGCTGCTTTGAAGCTCCTGGATTACTGTTTGGAGAGAGACTACAGCGTTGATACCTCAAGCTTTGAAAAGGTATTGGAAGCTCTATTAGCTGATGGAAAGACTCTGAATGCATACTCAATATTGTGCAAGATAATGGAGAAAGGAGGATCCACTGATTGGAGTAACTGTAAAGACTTGATCAAAAGTCTCAACGAACAAGGGAACACAAAGCAAGCAGACATTTTGTCGAGGATGATTGTGGGAAAGAACGAAGACAGAAAGAAAGGAAAGAAAAAAGGTGCAGTAGCTGGATAAAGGCGACAACTTGGCTATGTCAAGGTGAGAGTTAAATTCTTCTAACTCATGGCTGCCATTAGGTTCCTTTTCCAGTAGTTATTTTGATCAATAGAATTCCAGAGAAACCTACAATTTGGGTGATAGATGGTCTGTGATTGCATTGTTTGTTCATTTTCCTCTGCTTGTTTTACTAATAAGCAATGTGGTTTTGTAAAACTATATTTCATTGCATCTTCTGGCTGGGGGAATCCAATCACCTGCCATTTTCATTTTACTAAATTAGTAGAGCCCTTTTAACAGCAGCAAACACACTGGGGATCTGTTAAAGACTATCACCAGTCCATAAACTTGCTGAAGATAGGAAGGATAGGGGTATAAAAGTGAGAAGGTATGGATAAAATTTAATACTAAAAACTCTACCATAAATTCCTTAGCGTGTAAAAGCCAGACAAACATTAGCAAAGTAACTGGCGAGGGAATGGGTCCCCCTATCTAGACCTCTGGCGTCGTCTATTGATTCATTAACCGTAAAGAGCCAGGCAGACAACAGAAACTTTACACAGACAGACAGCACAGATAGGGAGAGGGTAATACTCAATTCAATGCAACGATGAGTTTTGGGCGTGGGCGTGGGCGTTGGGAGACACTGCCTGATCATTAGACAGGCGGCGTTTGTACCTCTTTAGCACCGATGACAGATTTTTCTTCCCGTTTGGAAATGCAACGTCGCCGGCAGCAGTTCCCGATCGTCCCTTCCGACATGATATCGCAACTTCCACATCTTTGACTAACTCCAATATCATTGCTGCTGTTGTCACTTTTCCTCTACCCACCTTCGACTGCGGCGGCAAGTTGCTACTCAGAACCGGCCAGCTCGACCTCGACTTCTGCTCGTAACCATCCGGCAGTTGAAGGCAGAAGCATGGCGGTGGGGGGCTCCGCTTCTTCAAGATTCCCAGATCGATAATCCCCTGCAAGAATTAATACAATACTTTTGGTAGTCAGTAGGAGATTTAAAAGAGTAATTCCATAGACTAAAGAATCATCTTTACCTGAAGTCGATTGAGGACGTAGGTGTACTTCCCCCAAAGTTCAGGCCGGCTTTCAACCAGCGAAAGTTCCAAAATCCGGTGAACGCACCACACGCCGAAGCTTACAACGAGATCCACTCCCCAGACGCATCCATCACCACAGTTGGGGACAGACATAAGCTTTGAATGCTCGGTCTCATAAATCGACACTTTTATGGCAGAGCTGAGGTTTCTATCTGATGTCATTGTTTCAAGTTCATACAAGAACTTCTCCCGTCCAGCCACCCGACCGATAAGGTCCTCATCTGCTCCGTCGTTTTGTCGGAAAAGCCAGCTCATTCCTTCCAGCTTCGAAAGTTTCATTATGATGCTTCTAAAGGTGTGAAGAAGCTTTGCTTCACAGTCCATAAATGAAGGAGAAGGAGGAGTTTCTCGACTTCCCAACAGAGTTTGACATTTATCCGCCACACCAAACTGCTCATAAGGCTGCTTAGACCACAGCGAATCTGTGCCAGAGTTAGAACCTAATTGCAAAGGAAAGCGAACTTTTGTATCATGTCGACCCAATCCTACAGTGCTCAGAGTAGCTTGCTCAGGCACCTGCGGACTAATAAATTGTCTATGTACACCTCCAGAATAAGAGGAACTTATATGAGGTACATAAAGTCCTGATATGTTTGGCAAACTGTGAAATTTCTTCTCACCAGGTGAGTCGCTGTTGGTGTAGTCGACAGATCCAGGAGGTGAAACCTCTTGCGAAGGCCTTTCAAATCTTAATGAACTGTTCCGGTTTATAGGAACATTGTGAAAACCCGGCGGTGCGCGCAGCCCATTCTGTGATTTCTGCCCCGCAGGCCGTAAGTAGGAATCCAAATTGTTTGATTTAACTGAGAATGTTGAGGCTTGTGTTACAGAACCCAATTGAGTTCTCAGATTATCGGAACATTTTTCTACAGAGCTCAGCTGACTTCTTGAAAAATCAGAGCCTTTTTCTACAGAACCAAACTGACTCTTCAGATAATCAGAGCTGTTTGCTTGGGTCATTCGGCTCAAATAAGATGCCATGTTGAAACCATGAATAGCTGGCTGTTCTTGGCCTTGCGTAGATGATCGGGCATGCACGCTGTGATAACGCCTCTCCATAGATTCAAGAGCATTGTATGAATCCAATAGTTGCGTATAGTTAGGCCACCTCGGGGATCCTGGCTGAAGCCCTAGAGACAATCCAACATTATTCTGCCCAACATTTTGGATTGAAGGACTATAAGAGGTAGAATTTCCTAGATAAGATCCTCTTCCAATACATCTGGTTGGCTCGTTGTTGTTGTTGATAGTCTCCAATTTGACAGGTGCACGGGAAGATTTCAAGTCTACCTTACAGTCAATCCCTAACAATTTATCCAGTTTCTTAGACTTAGCTTCCGGTGTGACTTGACCATGGTGATCAAATAGTTGCCCCCAGAACTCATCCAGAATTGAAGTTAACTGACGCCTAGCAGCACGGCCTAACGTCGTCAGACTCCCTGCCCCACTTCCCACATCATCAATTTTCCCACCAAGACTTCTGAAGGATCCTGGCCCGTCAGATGCCAGAGCTTGGCTACTCTCAGCAACATCTTTACTAAACTCTTTGTCCCCTATGATAACTCTCTCCATCTGGCAATCTCCCTCTTTTTGTGGTGTTGTTTCCACTACTTCTTTTAATTCCGTACGCATAGAACCTTCATCCGGAAATTGACTCTTCTGAACTTCAACAGATTCTGATTCCATGGTTTGAGTAGTCGAAAATGTGGTCACTGATGTTTCATCCGAATTCCTAATTGCACTAGATTCCAAAAACGTTTTTGGAAAATTCACTTCAGAACTAGAACTCGGAACAGGTTCCCACTTATCCATGCTTTCTGACTGATGCTGGGACTCTTTAGCTTCAGTTTGTCCTCCATCCATGGAAAACTCGGTTACCACAGCCTGTTTGTCCCATTGCAATGCATGCATATCCACCCGAGAGCGTGCAGACTTCAACGGGGTGATCGCTAGCCAAAGCATCAGAGATAAGGAAGAAAGACCAGCTACAAGAAGGATAATATACAATATAGGCACGCTAGTCCCAATGTTCCACTTCAAACTTGTTACCCAATGGCTCCTCCCAAAAGTTAATTCGATAATGAAGATAATATTCAGCCCAAGAATCCCAATAAAAGAAGCTAAAGCCGCAAATTCCACAGGACGAGGAATTATATAGGCTCCCATAATTGGTCTCGAGGAAGCAACTTGAAATAGAGGAATCAGAGAAGATGGGAGTAATAGAGCAACCATGACTTGTGCAAATATCAGGAGCTGAAAAATACCTTCAACCCCAGATTTCCAGACACAAGATATTGCTAGCATGACAGTAGTTATTCTGATCCCAGCACAGTGAAACCAACCGGGAATCTTCTGCTTGAAGAAAGCATTAGCAATGACTTGTTTCTCAAGACCCCATGTTGCTGCCACCAGTTGATTGGAGAAAAGCATAATGAATATCAAAGCGATTGAAGCTAATGAACTCCTGAATCCCTGCATCACCAGTTCACAGAGTTTAGTTACCATTCATCGACACCCGAATGGTTTGTATGTTTAGAAAACAGATACACAAATGGTTTATGCGCAGAAGATCAAACCTGATCCATCAACAAGACTGCATCTTGCAAGGTGAGTGAAGTGAGCCCGCTACTATAGAAAACGTTGGAAGCCAAGTTAACTAGCATGCAGTTCGCCACAAAAATGCCACTGAAGACACCAAAAATGGCGAAAAAATGGTAATTAAATAATTCCCCCTTAGAAACACTTCTATGCCCCTGATTTTGCTGCAAAGGTCACGAAAGGGTAATAAGAAACTGTCCTAAGCTTGTGTCTAATAAGGAAAAATGAAGATCAGATAGACACCTGAACAATAGATGAGTGGAGGTAAAAATTGTGGGGCATCATATTTGCACCAAGAATAGCCATTAGTGCGTATGCATTTTCCACGGTAAGATCACTAAGTAGTCCACCCACAGAGAGTGAGCGTTCGGGTGGATTCATGAGAACTCCAGAAACACAAAACAATAACAAAAAGCACAGCAAGCACATGCAGATCTTTGCTTTGGAATTCCCCTGAAAACACAAGTCACACTACAACTAATTTTTGTAACAATCTCAGAAGTGACAGGGTGAAAAAAAGATAGCAAGTGGACTTACAAGGAGGTTGGTGAAAATTGGAAATAATATAGCATCAAAACAAGATAAGAGAACACAATTACATAGGCTGATTCCGGAAATGGCATTAAGGCCACAGGCAGTGCCCAGAACCTACCATAACATTAATTTCCACGATTAGCAAAGCAGAGTGAAAAGGAAGAAATGACTGGAATTTAGATAGTTTTGTAAAGAGAGCAGTTACCATTGTGAGATCTAACATAACCATTGAGATCTCGGCCTGAATTCCCAGAAGAACGCAAGCCGTATTATCATATTCCTCTCTGCAAATCTACCAAATGAACACAACAGTTTTTCAGAGTCAGCACTGTAGCTCTCACAGCAGAGCACTCATACATAATACTGAACTAAATAAAAACATCTGAAGGAATAATTGTGACTATTCCTCCATCAGTTTATAACAACCTGAACAAGATTTTTGCCAGTGGCAATGGCTATACGAGCAGATATGTAGTGGCACAATATAGCAACAAAGTTTATAACAACCATGAGTAGAATAAGATCAAGACCAAACTGAGCACCCCCCTCCAGAGCTGCAGCCCATTTTCCAGGGTCTAAATAGCTGATAACCACCCAAAGTAATGGTCTAAGAGCAGCAAGCGCCTGTTCTCCATTGCGTGGCAGAAGTTCAATTGACGATTTGTCGGATTCCATTTGTCTTTAATACTCGAAATAAAAGTGCAGCATTATACTCTGATAATCGAACTTTAAATGAACTGAAAGTGAGCCAAACAATGCCAAACGCAGTTCACTTGCACCTCACACACGTTGAATTCCACCTCAATGGCCAAGTAACATTTCAATTAGGAAAATCAGGGAATTCACGCAAGATAAAAGACACAGTTCCTCATCGGGCAAAAAACTCCGTTTTCTATTCCGTACTGTGAATCCACTCTTCCCTATCCTAGCTTCATCTGGTCACAAAGCTGAGCATTGGGCTGATGTTTAACCGACAACACATTGAATGTGTAAGATTGCACGATCAGATCTTTCTTGATATT